TGTTTTTTTCTAGTGATCATAAGTCTATAGTTACTTTCCTCCACAGAAGGAAAGGCTCAAGATATAATAACGGATGATAATGGTGTATCGAGGCCCTTGACAGTTTCGTAAAACTCAAGCTAATACTATAACTTGTAGCCATTTTTCTCGTGATCTATGCCACTTGGTTGATCCTACTGATGAGTTCATCAACGTCCAATGACATACTAGTTCCATTTTCCACCTTCGTATTAATTCTAAAAGAATTATTTCGCCTTACACTAGCATATATCGTATTTTATGCTTTTTCAAATTTTTTGTCCTTTTATTTGTAAATGTAGTAAATTTATTTCACAACAGTAGTTCAGTAATTGTGACCATAACCTCAACTTTTACACTCAATTTAGCACCGCCTATTTCAAGCATATAATCTTAAATTGCTGGATAAATAAGCTTAATGGACAGACTTAGTAAAGTCGATTGATTATTTTACTCACAGTGTATAAAAGAAAATCGATATCATCTATTTACTATACTGTACATTTGCTGGATAGTTTACTGTAATTCACTCAGTTGGAACTAGATCTAGTGATTCTGAATTTTCGATTTTTTGTTAGGTCGTCATTGGCACATGATAGAAGAGATCACACAAGAGTGGTATTGAGTCGTTGCATAGACTGTATTAATACGGAATATTAGATATAGTAAATACATGTACTTTTTTTAATCGTAAATTTATGGTAGCCACTAATATCCAAATAGAAACCCGACAAACTTTATTAAGATATCCTCTATCCATCTACAGTATAGTTAGTATTACTGTAGTACGCAATATGTCTTTAATACAAAATCATAAAGAGTATTTAGCACTTTTGCATCTAGAAATGATTTTAATGTTCTCCAAGCAGTTGCTATAATGAAGAATAGTTCAGATCCTTAATCTATAGGAAGATCTAATACATTGTAAAAATATTCAGCGCTATGTGATGAATAGTTACGAAAATGTGGTAGTGAAAATATCAACCAAGAGAACAGATTAGTTTATATCCATGTAATATATGCAGATTAATTCCAATATGCTATTTAGACATCGTACATTAGAGACCCCATTTTCTTAAGTACAGAGTCCCTATCGTATATGTACTGCTTGAAGTTCAGACATAAAGGAATTGCAACAACCAGCTAATAGTATGAAATTATTTCTGTATTCAATGGAAAACTACATTTTAAAGATAATATCATTGATGCGAAGTTTTATTTAGAAGAATTTTAAAGTACATTTTATTTTAATATATACTACTGCATTATAACTTAAATGAAAGTAGCAGAAACTCTAAAAGCTCGGTAAAATAATTAGAAAAGTAAAGCAAAGATTCTGTTTCTAGCTATTCAGATCTTAGGCAGAAAATTACATCCTAAATTTCTAGTCATTTAGACAACGTTCAAGCACGCATGTTATGCAATAGGGAATAGCTAAAACTTTACACGTAGTTTATCTAAAATGCGTTATTACAACAGAAAATAAATTTAGTCACAACTGACGAACCCAAATAATTACCGGTAATTAATTAATTAATTAATATAATAGTCTTCTAAATGGTAACTTTACTTTATAACACTAAAGAATTGATAAAATCTTGTTTCCGTTTTCAGTAATCAGACATTTTTTATTCTTCAACTGTAACTTTAGAGATCGTAACCATTTGTAAGAATTTACGAGAATTTGAATACGTCGCAAGTCTTTCTATTTAAAATCGCTAAGAGGAGGAAGTAGGTAGCTCGAGAAAAGAATAAAACATGAAATAAAGATTGCTATCACTTCATCAAGGATATCTGTGAAGATAAAGATTATATTTGCAGCAAAGCTAACAGTTTAATAGCTAATTTATCATCATTCATTTCTGTTTTTTATGATAACCTATAATGCGACAGTCGCGTGGATCCAGAAATATAGGCAGGCTAGCTGACTTAGAATATTATATACTGAACACTTGTATACAATATATTGATGATATTTGTCATATTGTATTTGCGTTATCATGCAGATATTCATATATACTCAAGGTTTTGGTAGCACAATTCTAAACTCATTTTATTTGGTACTAATACTATTGAATATATCTAAAAATCTTATTCTATTGTAAGTTACAATCGGGATACGTATAATTAATTAATATTAGCAGCAATCTATGCTGCACAACAATAACTGCATAGTAAATCGTTTGCTTAATGCAGATTTAAACTACATATCTTGTAGATTATGAAGATATAACCAGTAATGAGAAAGGATAGTAAATGAAACCTAAAAATGAACATAGATAATTGTAATAGTACAGTTCAAGAATTACTATTTAAGGCTAAAATTCAAAGGCTTTGTGATCACAAGTAGTCCTATAACATTGATACCAATGGGCCCTCTTAGAAGGTAAGATTGCAATAGCGATAATTATAGGAAATTGAATTTTATTAGACTAACTAAAAAGAAAAGTTTCTTGTTGATTTTATTCATTTGCAAACAGTCGTTAATAAACAACTACCAAGTACAGATAGATACGATCTTGAGTTATTGATGTAGTGAAAATAAAACAGACGAGACTTAATACTTCATTTTGATTACTGGATATTGGAGAGTACAGAATGCCGCTATTTTATTTCGAATCAGTTCGCGTATTTAGGTAGTGTAATTAATTAATATTATGATCTTTCGTCGTAAAACTACTACTATACATACAAGTATGTAGTTAATACTAGCGTCTTTAAATACACTATGAAAATATCAAACGCTAACATACTTCGTAATGTATTAGCCAATTAATTATTGAACGATTAAAGCAATTTTACAGACAAACTACGTAGGACAGTATTATAAGTGACTACAAAATAACACGGAAAGATACTTCTATACTTTTAGGCCGATTTTACATTTCTGTATTTGCTATATAGAAATTTCAACATTCCATACAATAGCCTACCCCTGCTAATCTGTCGTTATCAAGGTTTCAAGTTTGTATAGAGCATATAATACTATTACAGAAGAATGCACCTAAATCCATTTATTAGAATATGATCCCGTTTAACGAATCTAGCATAATAGAATATTAAGCGACAAAACTCAGTTACCTTGAAAGAAAGTTGAAATTGTCCTTTTGATAATAATAAATTTGCGAGTCAATGTAACATCACGATGTTTGCAGAATGATAATAACATAATCACTGCATGCTAGTTTATACTATATTGTCGTGTTTTTACAATGATATCGTGATTAAGTGATACTTTAATTATCGCGTTCTCCTCAGTATTGGCGGTCTAAATGGCTGAATGATGAAAACTAACTTAGAAACTATTTTATCACCTGCGGTTATAATCTTGCAACAATTAAGCGTATAATTATAACTTGATATCGATTATTTAAAGTCCATAATAGCATGCAAGCAATTGAGAGCAAAGACAAATGGATATTAACTGAAATCTATCCAGTCTCTAATTTTAACACGATAAATTGCCAATTGTATTTTTAACCGCTAAAAAGTATGTGTAATGGTGGTAAAAGAAGATGGAAGCTAGCTGAAATCTGTAATTTTGTAATACTGTAACTGCCAACTAGGGCATATCCATAAGATAATAAATTGCGAATGATTGAGAATAAAGAAGCACATTTTATCTACTATTGCTTTATAAATTTACCAATTATGTTAACTACCTCTCGACATTAATTGTAAAGTTTTTGACTATTAAGAACGTGGTGACTTTCTCTGTTTTAGTTGATCTTGTCCTTTTTGTGAAAGATTGATGATGTAATAATCTCAGGGGCAGACTCTAAAAACTTATAAAACGCATTTATATTTAATTTTTTCAAAAAGTTCATATTGTATTATATAGCATAGATACATCTATCGTTTTGGAATTATTAATGCACGTATCGATTTTAGAATACAAATAGAGAAATATTTTAATCCTGATCAACGGATCATACGTTAAAACTCGCTCGCGTACAATATGCGGAACAAATTTTCAGATACCACGATATTAAGCTCAAGTACCAAAAATAACATTCATCGGTTTCATAAGAATATTTAACTTTTATTAAAGCATCTTCCATGACCGTGAGCGATAATAATATCAGCTATTAAATAGAGTATTATGTCATAATTTATATGATCTTTTTACGTAAAGCTACGTTGTTAATAGTTACTAATCCAAGAAATCCAATCGTTTTTTTAGCTGAGACTTTGTTAATCATGCTGTTAGGTTTAAACTAATAACAATTCTTGCTGGTATACAATTATATCTACGAGACTACTTTCCCTATTTTGGATGAATAAGAAATGCTCCTAATACTTTACATTTTATGATTTAGTCACATAGTCTATAGACTGTCGGAACTTATAAGAATGTAATAATTAATAAAATGCCTAATTACTAAATCATAGCAAAATACTGCGGTAGATAATGGCGCATACTAATTTCGTATATTATTATTATTCTGCAAGTATTGTAAAATTATTGTTCATGTTGTATTTTATTACTATTATATCATGAATAATGATATAGAATCACACAGTACAGGATAATTTATATGACAATATGCTCTATTTTATCCATACACTCCCGTAGAGGAACAGTTGGTCGTAATGAACTACTGGTACTGCGTAATTGAGCATTTGAGCGCTTGTCAATTTAGAATACTTTAGCAGTGAAGTAAATATATAGCGTGCAAAAGTAATAAATTTAAAATTAGTGCATGTGGACAGTCCATCACTTCGTGACAGGTACAACAACTATAACTATACTCATTAAAACCGATAATTTAATCCAAACCATTGTTAAGTGTCGACTTTTAGATAATGGAAACTATTGTTTACAAGTTAACATTGTACACGTCTAATTTAATAGATAAGATTGTGAGTCTATATAAATTCATTAAATTGATAAAAAAATAATCAGCCATTACACTCCTTCGCAAATCACTTCAGCTCATATTTCCATCTCGGCAGCTATAGTAGCAGAAAGCGATAACAAAATGGAATCGAAAAGATCTAGTAACGATATAGTTTTAGCCAGTATAGACGAAGATCGAGAAAGTTCGAATGAAAATGGTACTGTGACTTATCATACTTCTACAAGGTCATCCCTTGAAAATAACGTAGACACAGAAAATAGTAATAATAGATTTGGCGTTGATGACGGCATCAGATCAGTTTCAAATTCTAACAATCCAATTATCATCGCTATTAAACCAATTTTATGCATATTAAAAGTATTTGGCGTGTACTATTCGGTTCCAGATAACAGTAATGTTATCGATACGCATTATGACGACTGCCGAAGTGCAATGTTAGCCGACTGTCAACTAAAAAAGAAACGAACAAGAAGAACTATCTTCACTCCTTTGCGACTTTATTCCCTAGCGGTTTGTTTTTTACTGTGGATTAATGCAGGACGATTCGGGGCTAATGTTTTTATATATCAAAATACATCTTGGATGCCATTTGTTATATTATACGTTCTATGGCTTTTCCAAGTAGCAGGCAATGTATCTCTTTATTATTATATGTGCCATCGTAAGTTGCCGATACTCTTTAAGCACATTAGTAAGATACAAAGTAACGAATGTCAAGACTTTTTAGCTTGTATCGGGCGTTATACTAGAAAACGATGTATCTATTTTCTGATTCCGGCGACGATCTTTGCCTCTATAAATATCGTGTTTCCTATATTCTCTCAATTTGGTCCAATTACAGAATTGAGAGTTGTAATGGATGTGATAAATAGTCCATGGCAAAATTCTACTGTCTTTCCCTACGTGTACATATTTGCAATTCACGTCTATTGTACAATAGCATGGATCTATCCAATGGTTCTATTTTGTTTATGCTGCTTGATAATGGCCCATAAATTCCATACCTTAACTAAACGCTTTAAAAAGGCGATTCTACGGAATAACAGCGATATTATCCGGACTCTAGCGATTTATCGAGAACAACATCAAGCGTACTGTGTTATAACAGAATTACTTTCAGATACTTTCTCATTATTTATAGGTTACTTATACGTTACAAACCTTGCAAAAGCTTGCTTTAATTTATATCGCCTAATTTTTAACTGGAGTGTAAATGGTTTGTTAATGAACATTACATTAATAATATGGTTCATTGCTACTACTGGTATGACTATAATAACTTCATGGGTTGCTTCTATTCTTAATGCAGAGGTACAGTATAACAATATTACACTAAACAAGTAATACGATGAAGTTTATTCTCTATTATTATTTCAATATATGCGAATTCGAAGTTCGTCAAGAACGAGTACGCTTACAATACACTAAATTATCATGTTATCGATTTGTATCTATATAATCAATACTTATAATATTGTTAAATATATTAAACATAAAAATACAAAAACTTGAATAATGATGTAAATAGACTCGTAAAATTGTTATCTAAATTTAGACAATTTCGACTTCCCTTTCGAAGTAACTAAGATTTATCGCTTAGTATTCCGTTACGCTAGATTTGCTTTAATGGTATTTTATTGTAATAAATATTCTTAGGCACATTCTCCAATATCAGTGTTATACTCTCTACAAACTCGAAATATTGGTAACGACGGATTAGCAGAGGTAAGCTTTATATAGTTATCGCAATTTCTACATAAGTAATAACATAAAATCAAGTTAAAGTATATACTGTAAACATATTACTTTATGTCGTATTGTACTATTTCGCAGTCACTCATAACATTATCGTATGTAGCTTATCAGTAAAATTACTTTTATTTTCTATTAATTATAATAAATTAGCTAATGCATTACCAGTATTGAATATGCAGACAAAGTAATAGCAAATGATTGTAGGAAACAGTGAAGACTGTAGGCGCTATAAATAAATTAACATAACAAACTATATTTGAGTATAATTGAAATAGACTGTAAAGCTATCTATATTCGGTATAATACAAGATGTCTATATTTAATTAAGAATATGTTACAGACTACAGTGAAATCTAAATACACTACAATCAATAACTCAAGATATTGTCTATATGTAGATGGTAGCAATTTATTAACGATCGTTTATAACTGTATAAGATTAAATAAGTAATATTTCTTTAAAGCTGATCTAGTAAAATTCTAATAAAATTCAATTTTCTATAGTTGCTCCTATTTCAGTCTCGCCTTCTAGCAGAACCCATTGGTATCAGTATTGTTGGAATGTTTGTGATAACAAGATCTTTGATTTTGACAGTAAGTGTTACCTACATTTCTTTAGATGTATTATTACAACCAACTAGGTACATTTTCAGATCTCTATTTACAATTCTTTCTCATTACTGTTTATATTTATATAATGGGCGAGATATCGCAGTTTATGTCTACAGTATAGTTTCTTTAGTGAGAAATATATGGGATTGAATTTAGTTGTCTTTACTGCGGTAGCTATCTTATGTAGGTACTAATAGGCGATATGGACTGCAGCTAATATTAATATTAATTCTATTTCGACCTTAACTTAAAATATTAGAAAAGATCCATTACATACATTCAGTTACGCCATTACCCAATAAAGTGATTTTAAGATTGTGGCATCAAAACTTAGTATACATTACGTATAAGTATATAATTACATAGTACGTATATAATATAGGAGTATTAAGTCGGTAAGCCTGAGTCTCTTTCTAGATTCGCATGATTATACTGTCAATTATCGTTTATCAGATTAGGTTAAAATGAATGATATATGTAATTAATTAGCTGTTAGACTACTAGGTCTTCTGTAACTGTAATATGTATCTTTACGGATATCTTTGATAACGCGATAGTAATCTTTATATTTTATTTTTTCTAAAGTTGCTAGGTATTTTTGTTACCTACTTCTTTCTTTTAGCGCAGCTACATGGAAAGGCTTAAACGAATTAAGATTCTCGTGAGCACTTACAAAGGGTTTACAATTTCTGAAGTTACAGTTACGAGGAAAAATACTGTTACTACTTAAGACGAAAACAAGTTTACATCAACTCATTAATAAACTATTTAGATGACTATTACACGAATTGACTACTATAGGATTTTTAATAAATCTATTTTATTGTCGTGATAGCGTATGTTATATAAACTGTACATATATCTTTAAGTCATACTCTGTTTACACGACGTATATTTTAAAAATCGCTTTAAATAATTAAAATTTAGAGACATAATTTTTTGTCCAAGATTTGGATATCAAGCACTAAAATACTGTTTGTAGTTGTTTTACCGAGCCTTAAAAAGTTTCAAGTACTATCATGGAAGTTGTCATGCAACAACTAGCTCGTCTTTGCAGTTTGCTTTTACAGATTATCTTGGTATCTAAACTTTAAATAATATGATATTTCTATAGAATATCAGAACTAATCTTTATGTTCTATGCTTCTAAGTACAGATTAGGTTCTGTTAGCTGACATTTTTATCACCACGTAACCCTAAACACTTGTACATTGCTGTAGATCTGGATTATCCTACACTATACTAACTTCTTCGAGAATATTAAAGTCATTTCTGGAGACAAAAAACTGTGATTACTTTTTATGATTTTATATTAAAGACATTATGACGTACGGTATCTAGAGTAACACCATATATACTGTAGAGAAATACAAGATATCTTGCTAATGTCTATCAGATTTCTGTTAGGATATTAGTTACTACTGCATATTGCAATTAAAAGCAGCAATTGTCTTTACTATCATAACTAACATTACACAGCATTACAATTTATGCAATACTAATACCGATGTACCGTAATACAATAAATCGAAAGTTTGGTATCATCGTGTAGTAGATTAAATTATCCGTCCAATGTATAATGAAAAGATGACATGAACTTTCTTTTCTACTCTGTAAGAGTACAGTGATCGACTGTGCCTGTTCTTTCGTTTAGCCTCGCATATCTAAGACTAAGCACGAAACTGAAGTAAAGGGTTAGGCTATGATTGCAGTTTCTGCGCTACCATCATGAAAATAAATTTACTATGTTACGAATGAGAGGACAAAAATTTATGAAAGCATAAAATACGAAACATACTACTGTAAGACGACGTTCATATTTCGCAGAATTAATTACAGTATCATGTAATGCTTTCGCGTAAAGCTATATAATTTCTATTCCAAGAAATTTAATCGTTTTTTAACTGAGAATTTATTAATTAATCACGTCATTAGGTTAAAATTGATAACAGTTCTTGCTGGCATACAATTTATCTACGACAATACTTCTCCATAAATGGAATCAGAAAATAGCAACAATGTATATGATACTCATGACCAAAACTGGCACAGACTCTCTGTTGATATAAAAATGGGTGTCATTAATTATTTAAATTGCTGCACATATAGAACAATAGACTACGCTTTCAATACTTGCATTTTATGATTCAGTCACCTAGACTACAGGAACTTATGAGAACGTGATAATTAACAAGACACCTAATCACTGAATCATAGCAAAACACTACGGTATATACTGGTGCACAATAACCATGTTATTATTATCCTACAAGTATTAAAAACTTTTGTTCATACGAGTACTGTATTATGTCATGAATAGTAGAATAATTTATCATAATGAACTACTGTATAATTGAGCGCTTGTCAATTTATAATTCTTTAGCAGTGAAATACAGACCTGTATGGCATACGGTATTTGCGGCAACATTAAATTTACTAATGTTGTATTGTTTCCAATATATAGCATGTAACAGTATTAAATTTGAAATCAGTGCATTTGGACAGTCTATCCCTTTATTACAGGTAAAACAGCTATAAGTATACTCATTAAAACGAACAATTTAATCTAAACCATTGTTAAGTGTCGATTTTCAGGAGATAAAAACTATTGTTTAGAAGTTAAAATTGCTTATTATCTAATTTTATAGATAAGATTTCGAGCCTATATAAATTGATGAAACAATAATCAGTCATTACGACCCTTCGTAAATCACTTTAACTCACACTTCTATATAGTTGCAGAAAGCGACAACAAAATGAAATCGAATAAATTTAGTAATGATATAGTTCCACTTAACATAAATGAAGATCGAAAAAATTCGGATAAAAGTGGGACTATAGCTCGTCATATTTCTACAAGATCATCCCTTGAAAATAACGTAGACACGGAAAATAGCAATAATAGATTTGGCATTGACGACGGCATCAGACCTATTACAAATTCTAACGATCCAATTATCATCGCTATTAAACCAATTTTATGCATATTAAAAGTATTTGGCATCTATTATTCGAATCGTGAACATCGAACTTCAATGTTAGCCGACTGTCAACTAAAAAAGAAGCGATCAAGAAAGACTTTTTTCACGCCTTTACGAATTTATGGCTTGGCGGTTTGCCTTGTGCTATGGATCAATACAGGACGATTCTGGGCTAATATTTTTACATATCAAAATACATCTTGGATGCCATTTGTTATATTATACGTTCTATGGCTTTTCCAAGTAGCAGGCAATGTATCTCTTTATTATTATATGTGCCATCGTAAGTTGCCGATACTCTTTAAGCACATTAGTAAGATACAAAGTAACGAATGTCAAGACTTTTTAGCTTGTATCGGGCGTTATACTAGAAAACGATGTATCTATTTTCTGATTCCGGCGACGATCTTTGCCTCTATTAATATCGTGTTTCCTATATTCTCTCAATTTGGTCCAATTACAGAATTGAGAGTTGTAATGGATGTGATAAATAGTCCATGGCAAAATTCTACTGTCTTTCCCTACGTGTACATATTTGCAATTCACGTCTATTGTACAATAGCATGGATCTATCCAATGGTTCTATTTTGTTTATGCTGCTTGATAATGGCCCATAAATTCCATACCTTAACTAAACGCTTTAAAAAGGCGATTCTACGGAATAACAGCGATATTATCCGGACTCTAGCGATTTATCGAGAACAACATCAAGCGTACTGTGTTATAACAGAATTACTTTCAGATACTTTCTCATTATTTATAGGTTACTTATACGTTACAAACCTTGCAATAGCTTGCTTTAATTTATATCGCCTAATTTTTAACTGGAGCGTAAATGGTTTGTTAATGAACATTATACTAATAATATGGTTCATTGCTACTACTGGTATGACTATAATAATTTCATGGGTTGCTTCTATTCTTAATGCAGAGGTACAGTATAACAATATTACACTAAACAAGTAATACGATGAAGTTTATTCTCTATTATTATTTCAATATATACGAATTCGAAGTTCGTCAAGAACGAGTACGCTTACAATACACTAAATTATCATGTTATCGATTTGTATCTATATAATCAATACTTATAATATTGTTAAATGTATTAAACATAGAAATACAAAAACTTGAATAATGATGTAAATAGACTCGTAAAATTGTTATCTAAATTTAGACGATTTCGACTTCCCTTTCGAAGTAACTAAGATTTATCGCTTAGTATTCCGTTACGCTAGATTTGATTTAATGGTATTTTATCGTAATAAATATTCTTAGGCACATTCTCCAATATCAGTGTTATACTCTCTACAAACTCGAAATATTGGTAACGACGGATTAGCAGAGGTAAGCTTTTATATAGTTATCGAAATTTCTACATAAGTAATAACATAAAATCAAGTTAAAGTATATACTGTAAACATATTACTTTATGTCGTATTGTACTATTTCGCAGTCACTCATAACATTATCGTATGTAGCTTATCAGTAAAATTACTTTTATTTTCTATTAATTATAATAAATTGGCTATGTATAGTTAACTACGCTAATACAGCTGAAGTAAACAGAGATAGAATAGTAACATTCTACACTCTGCAATATCTAGTGGTGAAAATTATTGATTATATCTCATCTATATTACTTACAGTATAGTATATCAATAACTTAATATATTTTCTATATGTACTATAGTTGGTAGCGATTTATTAACGACCGTTTGTAAATGTATAAAATCAAATAAGTAATATTTCTTTCAAGCTAATCTACTAAAATTCAATTTTCTGCAGTTGCTCCTATTTGAGTCTCGCCTTCTGGGAGAACCCATTGGTATCAGCGTTGTTGGAATGTTTGTGATAACAAGATCTTTGATTTTAACGGTAGGTATTACAGATAATTCTTTAGATGTATTATTACAACTAACTAGATACATTTTTCAGATCTCTATTTACAATTCTTTCTCGTTACTATTTATATTTTTATAATCGGCGAGATATCGCAGCTTAAATCTATAGTATGTAAAGAACTCACGAGGTTACTTGCCGTACTTACCCATTAACCCGTTATAGTTTCTTTATTGATAAATATGTTGGATTTAGTTATCTTTACTGTGGCAGCTATCTTATATAGCTATTAATATACAGCACAGATTACAGCTAATATTGATATTAATTAATTAATTATACTACACTTCGACCTTAATCTAAACATTAAAGAAGACTCATTACTTACATTCAGTTATACTATTATCTAATAAAGCAGTTTTAAGATTGTTGCATTAAAGCTCAGTATACGCGTATATGTACTATTGTACATATAAAAATATAATAGCGCGTGAATGACAGACAATATTACCAACATATCAAGTATACAGTATACGATATGTTAAATCGGCTGGGCTATCTATCTTTCTAGATTCGCATGATTATACTGTCGATTATCACTTATTAGAATAACGTAAAATGAATGATATATGTAATTAATTAGTTGTTAAACTACTAGGTCTTCTGTAACTGTAGTCTATATCTTTACAGATGTCTTTGATAACGCGATAGTAATCTTTATTTTATATTTTATTTTTTCTAAAGTTGCTAGGTATTTTTGTTACCTACTTCTTTCTTTTAGCGCAGCTACATGGAAAGGCTTAAACGAATTAAGATTCTCGTGAGCACTTACAAAGGGTTTACAATTTCTGAAGTTACAGTTACGAGGAAAAAATACTGTTACTACTTAAGACGAAAACAAGTTTATATCAACTCATTAATAAACTATTTAGATGGTTATTATATTAATTAATTACTTAAGGATTATCACTAAACCTATCTTAATTTTATCGTAATAGCGTATTTTATATAAACTATACTATACGTATATCTTTAAGCTATACTCTGTTTACACGACGTATATTTTAAAAGTCGCTTTAAATAATTAAAATTTAGAACATAATTTTTTGTCCCAAATTTGAATATCAAGCAATATTCTATTGTTTGTAGTTGTTTTACTGAGCCTTAAATAGTTTCAGGTACTATCATGGAAATTGTAATGCAACAACTAGCTCGTCTTTACAGTTTACTTTTACAGGTTATCTTGATATCTAAACTTTAAATAATATGATATTTCTATAGCGCATCGGAATTAATCTTTATGTTCTATACGGCTAAATATAAATTAGACTCTGTTAGCTGATATTTTCACTACTACATACCCCTGAACACTTGTACATTGCTTTAGATCTTCTTATAGAATGAAATCTAATTTATCCTTCACTATAGTAACTTCTTTGAGAATATTAAAGTCACTTCTGGAGATTAATAGTGTGACTACTTTTCGCGATTTGATATTAGACATTATGATGTACGGTATTAGCGTAATACTAAATATATTGTAGATAAATATAGGATATCTTGCTAACATCTATCAGATTTCTGTTAAGATATTAGTTGCTACTGCATATCACGATTAAAAAGCAGTACTTGTATTTACTATAATCTAATGTTACATAGTATTACAATTTATGCAACACCAATACCGACTTAATATAATAAATCGAAAATTTAGCATCATCGTATAGTATCGATTTCTAACAGGGTACAGTAGATTAAATTATCTAGCGAATGTATGGTGAAAAGATGACATGAGCTTTCTTTTCTACTCTGTAAGAGTGCAGTGATCGACTGTGCCTGTTCTATCGTTTAATCCTGCGCATCCAGCGACTAAATACTACCTTGAAGTAAAGGGTTAGGTCATGATTGGAGTTTTAGCGCTACTATCATGAAAATAGTTTTACTATGTTACGAATAATAGGATGAAAATTCATGAAAGCGTAATATATTACTATAAGACGACGTTCATATTTTAGCAGAATTAAATACAGTATTATGTGACGTAAAGCTAAATTATACATAATTTTTATTCCAAGAAAACCAATCGTTTTTTAAGTAAGAATTTATTAATCACGTCATTAGGTTAAAATTAATAACAGTTCTTGCTGGCATACAATTTATCCACGAGAATACTTTCCCCATAAATGGAGTAAGAAAATAGCAACAATGTATATGATACTCATGACTAAAACTGGCACAGGCTCTCTGTTGATATAAAAAAGAGTGACACAAATTATTTAGTTGTTGCACGAGTAGAATAAGAAACTACGCTACCGATAGTATGATCAAAGGATCACTTAGCAATATCTATTCAGACTTACACTTTAAATCCTGGAGAATCTTCCGTGAAAAATCTCCACGATGTCGCTGCACCTGCAGAACCAACTCTTGGAGCAGCACCGCCGGCACCACCACCGGTAGGTTTTCTTTTTGAAAATACAAACGTAAATATTTACGTCATTATATACATGTATATACATCTACAAAAGATCGAGGCTGTTAACAGTCGTTTCACATCATAACAGCTACTACTACTATACTACTGCACATACAATTTTTGATAAGTCAACGAAACCGTGTAGGGCTTCAAAATCACAACTTCAATAAATCTAGATCTGATTTAAACTCGCATATTGTCATGTACGCTTATCTAGCAGCATGTGTATGAAATAATAGTGGCAAATTGATACTATCAAAAGGCGTATAAAATCTTGTAACTCAGAATACCTTTGGCGTACTCCACTTGCACCCTTGACCGGTGACTTTCCACCAGCAGCAGCTCTCCCAGACCCAACGGAAGTAGAAGAAGGCGAAGTAGGCTGAAATAGATTGAAGAGTTTGTTATAAAGTGTGAAGATTGCAGTTATCATAGTCAATAACGTCTATGTTATATCTATACCAGTAGAAAATAATTGTAGTGTCAGGTTTAAGCGTTTTGCATACTGTGCGAAATGTAGACTCCGTGACTGTACTGATTAGTCTTCAATCTCAAAGGTAACAATTGTATACTACCGCATTGATGGAAAGTTTACGCTGTCGCTTTATAGTCAGGGGTCTGCCATGGCATTGGAAGTAAAAATGCTAATTCATTTAGGTATAGTATAAGCCCAATCATGAATATGAGTGTCGTTGACGTTGATCGAATTGTGGAAGGGGAGAATGGTATATAATACAGTGTATAAACATATATAATGGTATGCGCGTACAGTACAGTATATAGGGTACTATAAACAGTATGTAAGCGTATATACCATTTCACGACCGGTTGACTGCAGATAAATTTTAGGAAAATTCTAACCAGGAACTTTAACATTACTAACAAACGAATAGCAGTCATGGGAAACTGAAAATTACACCGATTACCATTTGTAGATATAAAATAATAGATTATTATGGGTGATGGTTGGCACGCGAAAATTTTTAAAGCGATCCGAATGATCAAAGCCAAGCAAAACTTTGAAAGCTTCTATTGCAAGTCATCCTGTAGTGCGGTGTAAGCAAATTGAAGACATGTTAAGCTGATTTTCCATAGTGAAGTGGCATCGATTGGAAATGGATGATGTAAGATTCAAAGCAATTTGAATCCTACATGGGTAGCAAGAGTCTGTTGATGGTCGGCAAGCGTCAATTTTTAAAGCGATCAGAATGATGAAAGTCAAACAAAACTTTGAAAGCTTCTATTGCAAGTCCTCCTGTAGTACGGTGTAAGCAAATTGAAGACATGTTAAGCTGATATTTCCATAGTGAAATGGCATCGATTGGAAATGAATGATGTAAGATTCAAAGCAATTTGAATCCTACATGGGTAACAAGAGTCTGTTGATGGTTGATAGTAAAACGATTTTGCATTGCTTTGGTACAATTTCAAATGTTGAATGACGATTGTTTGAAAAGTGGTTATCCCCATTCAGTACGCTAACTTGGGGTTAGGGTCACTTTTCAATAGTACATTCGAATGGAGAAATTCAATGCAATCATCCATCTATTGCATCAAGAGATTCTATTCGTTTTCATACGTCTAATGAAGGAAATCTTACCATAGTTTTAATTTGGATATTTTACAAGAGAGAAAAAAGTTTTGCTGTCTTCAATTGGGATCCTATCGATCAGTGAGAGTACTTTGACTTCAGTAGTCTACGTTACGCTGGCACGCGCAGAGAACGCTCTTCTGTAGGCTTGTTTTCGTTGATTTGCATGGGACAGTATTGCGCACGCGTGGTTGGAGGAAATTGCCCCATGGTGCACGCGCAGTGCAACAGTATCTGTACAGTACACGCTACAGTAGTGTGTACCGTACTCTACACTGTACAGTACTATACAGTACAAGACGTGCAGAGTTAGGCTGAAGATGACTGCTTTCCATCGGACAGGTTGGTTTGCCTTAGTAAACTATGCAAGTTGAACAATTTCAAAATGGAAGCCTAAGCGTAATCATCCTCTACAGTACAGTACTGTACAGTATGTTGTGTTCAGGAACTACTAAAAGAAAAGGAGAGGGACCTTTTCTTCCAGTAGTTGCGGTGGTTTGTTGATCAGGTGTATTACTAGACTAATTATTCCCATGCAGTCGAACATAGCAGACCGATTGCATTTCAATTTTATTTTCTACTCGATCTCTCAGGTTATGGACTGAAACATTTCAAGCGATACCACTTGTAATTCTTGAAGATATCGAGTCTAAAATGCAATGCAATCTGTAATCACCTACTCTAGTAAAAAAGCGATGTTGACATTAGAAAGGAAGCATCCTCCATGCTAGAGTAGGCCATGTTTTACGTGTAAGCATTTGATTCGCTGCTGACGTCTCTATACAGTATGACAGCATTTGTGCATTGTCATCAATCAGTACTGTACCCAGTGTACAGTACTTTCGTGTACTGTACACTGTAGTGTTCATTGTGCTACTGTACTGTACTGTACTGTACTGTACTGTAGAATTTGCACTGTACAGTACAGTGTACAGTACAGATTCTGTTCTGTAAAGCTTTGACCGTAACGACGGCTGTTCAAGTTACAGTGTACAGTACTGTACAGTAGCAGCTACAGTATTATGTCGACGTGTACAGTACTGTACCACTGTAGACTCATACAGTACAGTACTGTACAGTGTACAGTAGACTACATACTGTACAGTAGACCATGAACTACTGTACAGTACGGTACTGTACTAAAAGTCGAAAAGAAGACCTTTTGGTAGGGGTACTGGATACTGTACACAGTAGTTACCCCAAAACAAGAAATCACATTTCATTGGCCAAAACAACAGTGTCATTACACTGCTGTACTGTAGTACGCACTTTTCCACCGTACACGATGAGAAAATAGCCGCTACAATTAGTGCTATACTGTACACTGTGGGATACGGATACTTAATTTGGGCCAATGAGATGCAATTTGTTGTTTTTTGATCACTACTATACAGTATACACTCTTTCAATAGTCCATGTCTTCCACTTTTTATACAGTACTCAGTGAGTGTACACACTGCCATCAATGGACTACTACAGTAGATACTATAGTATACCGGTATACTGTACACTGTACTGTACAGTACTGTAGTACTGTATCTAGTAGTCCATAGTACAGTACAGTACAGTACTGTACACTGTACAGTACACAGTATACTGTACAGTACACAGTATACTGTACAGTACATAGTCCACAAAATAAACCATCAAAATACTGTACAGTACTGTACAGTAGATACTACAGTACTGTATACCGGTATACTGTACACTGTACTGTACAGCAGTATCTAGTAGTCCATGGTGCACTGCTGTACAGTATAATAAATACTGCAAAAAATAAACCATCAAAATACAGTATGCGGTGATTTACAGTACACGTACTGTACTGTATCTGAAAAGAAATTCTACCCACTGTACTGTACTGTACTGTACTGGACACATTGGTCATTGACTGGAGTTGATGATCGCTGCAGGTATCGCATTGTACTGTTTAGAGCACTGGTGGAGAAGCTTCAGCTATCGTACCGTACCGGACCGAACTAGTGCAAGTATTCCTTAATTAGAATTCGTAAAGGACCATCAAGAGAACGTTGAATCGATCGATCTGCTTGCTATTTGTCCATCGACTCCTTCTTCAAGCTGTCTGTCTACCAGATTCGTATGGTTTGAAATTAGCCCAGGGAAAATGCGATACCTTTCCTTACTTTTGGCATTGATGGTAGGATTATACATTCTTTTTATACTGGATAATTTCTAAAATAGCTTATCAATCAGTTCAAACCCGACCTTTCTCAGGTCTACCTGCAAGACTGAAACACTGTGTCTTTGAAAATTTCACTGACGTATTTTCACTTCACTCAGTCAAGATAGATGATACTTATTTCACTGTCCTTTAATCGATGTAGAGATACATAAAATGCCTTGAAGAAGACTTAATGTTGAATCATGAAAGTAAAATGAAGACTATTTGTGATAGGAAATTTTCCACAGTCATTTCTTGTTTGATCTCGATCATTGTTTTCAATTGAGCCAAATTGAAACGAAACAGGATAGTGCACAAACGGTTGAGTCGCTTTACTCTGTACTATTGCAATATTCCTTTCAAGGTTAAAGCCGATACGATTTCAAATCAATCCTTGATTGATATCATATTAAAACTGCGTTGTTCGTTGAATTCGCTCGGCTATCAAGCTTTGTACCCACAAGAAGGCATACAGTAACTTTGCACTGACTATATTCCCAGCGATAGAGCTGTGGACAACAATAATATCTCAATACGGTATAGAAAATGCTACAGCTTCAAGTAGAGATAGTCGATCAAGCAGACCTGCATTCAAACACGACCAACTTTCATCCGCTATGTTTCCAGGCTTGATGACAGTAATTGTATAAATAAATCCAACAGACTGACGTAAATTGGCGCTTATTTATACTGCTACTATTTATAAGCGCAACTTGATTCAACGAGTTAAGCATCAAAGTACTATCCAACTCATTGCTATATCACCAATACACATCTTCCACAGTACAGTATAGACTATCTCTAAATACATAGTAACCTCCATCATGTTATGCTAGCCTACAGTGCTGCATCTTAATACGACAATAGCACCACGTATTCATTATATCTAAATGGACGCGTATATTTAGATATACATGTCCAATTAGTTATACTATGACTACACAACGACACATCAATTATAATTACATATAGCGTATATAGATTTCAATAATGTTATGCAACACATGGATTAACAGAGAGTATCCCATTGATTAGCTGATACTCGCTCAAAATTGACTCGGTTGAAGTATTGAATGCTTAGAGGACTGCTATATAAGAAAATAAAGAGTATCGTCTTACATGCTCGTGCAATCCACAACTAAGACACAATAATATAAATATTTTCATTCAGTAGACCTCTCATCATGTCTAGATTGCAAAATGGATATCCATTAATTTATACTCGGATAAAAGTGAGCATTTAATTAAAGACTAGCTTTCTAGAATTGTTCTGTCTAGACATACTGTGTATTACAATTAGAAATTAGAAATGATGAGCGACTTGGACAACCGAGATGTAAATCTGAGAGAAAGCTTGATCAGCATTGCAATAATATTGTTATGAAGTAACAGAATAATAAGTACTATAGGTAATGGAATACCTATAAAAAAGTGATCTATTCGATGTTGGCGTAATTATTTCTATTATACGAGTTTATTCCTGTGTTTCCACTGTACTATCGCTGAAATTACCAGTTGTCCTACTGGAGATTAATCCAACGCCACTAATTTAAAGTTTACTCTGCGAGATCGATATTGGCGTGGCACAGGCGTATGCGTATTTTTATCGACTTGGAGAACAGTACTATTACGTTCGCTGACAAACACTTTCACTGCCTAGTTCAGCGCTTTAAAATCAGTTAGAAATAAAGCTGATATGTAAAATTAAAAATTGTGTTACTTCTTACAGGATGATCTTGCACCTGATTAATTGTTGAAGGATAGCAGTATGAAGTGTTAAAGTGGAGTAGTTTTGTTATTCGCTTGCTCATAACAGCTATGTTGAGATAGGGTATCTTTTGTGTTAAGCATTATCAGTTATACCCAATAATTTTATACTTTCACAGTCACTAACAACGTACTACTGTATTTAAGCTTAGTAAATACAATTAAACCAGATTATATATTTTCTGGTGCGGTGAAAGTAATGCATGAATAATACTAAGCGGATGATTTTTATACCTACTCCTGATTGACGCTAACGCTTTTAATGAATCATCAAACGGCCCTCGATTTCGTGATTGATGTAGTGATTAGAGTATTTCTATCATTAAAATACATGTATATTTCCTAGCTACCGATCATCGCTTTTCACCTAATTAATTACGTTCAATAAATATGAAATAAAATCTTAACAATGCATGCACATGTATGCAGTGTTAGTTGTAACTTTTAAAAATTGACTACAAATTGTACTAGACTGTAGACTATAACGATCGCTAATCTCTAGCAGGCTTTATTACAAATTCGTTACAATATCATAGCAGATCCTAAGTTTTATTGATATTATCTTTTCGTCTTACAGAAGATAATCGGTATTATACAGTTACAGTTTCATGTAGCGTACATCAAAATGATTAAATGCCCCGCAAACCCGAAATTTGAAATTTTTGTACCTGTAGATAGTGTCCGTGCCTTCGTTACAGATTATTAGGTGATGACAATCATGGCAATACTCTTTATGTTCCAATCACCTGGGTATAAATTATTGGCACAGTTATAGTATTAGCATACTGTAACTTTAATCTTCAATTCAGTCTTACTATTTCTTGACTTATATAACTGCGGAAATGTTGCAACACTTTCTGTACAATACAATAAACAATTGCTTTTCGTACAACAATTCATTTATTAAAATACATTTTTTGTTGATTATTATTTTAGTGTGTATGTCTATTCGAAGAATCTGATGCGGGCGCCATTGATTTAACTGAGCAAAATTTCGATGCTGAACTAGGTATTATATCTGCTATGTAATTTCAGTATTATACGTACCGTGTACGTATGCTGGCATTTTTTTCGCCAGTGTAGCGCTAATTACTATTGGACTGATATGTGCGTAATTAGGTTAAATTTTGCCTGTTTTCCTACTGTGTAGTTAGTATTGATTTTCATCCTGATTCAAAGATCTATAATGTATATCCTGCGGTTCTTCTAGCGTCGATTTCGTATTAGAAAGGCTACTATTTAGATGCTATGACTACTTTCTTATACATTGGCCGTTTTAGACACTAAATTTTAGTTTTACCTTACGGCATCTATCGGTATATCGATATTGGTATATGGAGTGTATCAGTAACGTTTATGCAACTTTCTCTCCAACAGGCAAGGCAGAATTTGCTATAGTAAATTTTTATGCGGACTGGTACGTATATAGCTGTAGTTCATCCAATGAAATATTGAATGCTGCGTTAAATCCTTAGGTCTACTTGGTCTTATTATAGTACTGATATTACTGTAACTATGTTTAGTTTTTAAATTGGCATGTTATTCCTTTCCTATTATCTATATGTTAGTAGTTGCATATTGACATAACATTCATACACAATGAGTGCATACAGTGATTATAAATTCAAATCATATCTGAATTAAGCCATGAGAAAGATTTTGGCATTATACTGTAAGCCTTTTGTACTATATGTCTTGCTACTAAAATAGCACAGGATATTAATATAAATTAATTAACCATTATATACTGCCAGTATTTAATATGTATTACTTCCTTGTTGCAAATATAAGTTTAAAATCAGAAAAGAATACAAAAGCCTAATTTTCTTATAATATGATATTGCAAATACTGGCAGGTGTAGATTGCTAGTTCAGCTCGACTTGTAGACCTGAATAAGGGATAGTTTTATAAGATTGTAGTATTAGGGATATCGTTAGAAATTTATGATAGCTACGAAAAGGTTTATAAAATAAATACCATAGGCGTATTTTTATTATGAATTCATAGCAGTCTCAGCTTACAATCGTCTTTAAAGCAATTGTAATTTAACTTTTAATTAGTCTATTGTATGGATTGCTATAGTATAAATCCGTCAACATCAGTTCACAAACTAGGAGATATTTGATTTTAGAGGTTTCTGTTAATTTTTATTTGCAGGTGCCACTTCAGTCAGTCACTAAAACCAATCTTTGATCAAGCTTCCGATGAAATCCAACGAGAATTTCCGGTAAGACTTTTTAAAAGTTAAGCTAAAGTTTATGTCAAAGTTAAGTTACCATAGGATTCGTATTAGGTAATGATACGAAAGGTCACATAGAAATTTCGAAGATGTTCATTTTTCTAAGTGCCTATTACCGACGTGATTGTTGCATAATATAAATACTCAAATTTTATCTTATACAGACGGTCATGCTTGCCAAAGTTAATTGTATAACTCAAGGTGAGACAGATCGATGCACGTAATTCTTTCTTACATCATTTTTTCTTAAAATTATCCTACTGCTTAAATTTAGCATCTACTGTATTCTAAATCTAAATCAATGAAAACTTAAGGCATACATCTATATATTTAATATATTTCTTGTTAACTTGTTTGTATTAGCCAATGTGGCCAATAAATATCACGTTAACAAGTATCCAACACTAAAATTATATAGAGATGGAAGGGTTAGTAAAAATTCTGAATTGCTGTGTCTTCTTGAGTGATTGAAGACTGTAATTTTATAAAGAAATGTTTACTTATTATGCACTTAATATTTGCATTATAATTCTTTAGGTATTGAAAAAAGAATATCGAGGGCAAGTAAGTTCAGAATAACATTAGCCTTATTGGGCATAATGTTAAAAGCGAATAATTGAGTACTTATTTATTAAACTGGACATATTTATACAGAGAACTGCTGAGGCTTTTAAAGAATTCGTTCGAGTACAAATGAAAGATGATATCGAAGTGGTCCCTGACGTTGAAAAGATGAAATTAGATGTATGACATTATTTATGACATCATGTTCATGTAGTCTAGTATATTACTGACTATTGCCTTAGTCGAAATAGACGGTGTACTTACTAGTAAGAAATGCTAGGTTCATCATTGCAACAAAAAAGAGTGCCAAAGAGTTTCGTTAATGTTTATGCTTTTTTTCACCTTAGACTGACAGGCGTCATATTATTGGATATCTGGAATCTAAGGAATCGAAAACCTACGACATATTTAGGAGGGTACGAATTGATATTTCAAAACTCTTAGTAAAGCAGTATTCTGATTTAATGTAATCTCAAATCTTTGGTTATTCAGGTAGCTAACTTCTTTAGGAGTGACTGTCAATTTCATGTGGCATTTGGGTAAATTTAAGTTGCGTCATTTTGTAATGTTATAATAATTACGCTTTTCGGTACAAACTTGCTTTTCATTCTCATTTAGGGAAGCTTCAGTTAGTTTCAGACATGGTGGTGATACGGCTGGATTCAGGGATTCTCAGGTGAGATTAATCGCCATCGCAAATTGACATTATTTATTTCTTATCGTAGTTTACTCCTTAAAGGTATTAACATCCATTTTTTACCGTATTTAATAAGTCCACTGATGATATATACTACAGCAACGGATTTTCGCCTGGTAATAATTATTTCTTTCAATGGACTCAAGATAAATGTGTACCCCTTGTTCGAGAAATTACATTTCAAAACGCTGAGGTTCGTAGCTATATTACCAACCATAAATACGTAGGATCATTAACTAGTCTGCTTATATTTTAATTTAGGAATTGACAGAAGAAGGATTGCCATTTCTTCTTTTATTTTATGATCCTAATGGTGATAACAAAATTGTAGAAACATTTAGAAAAATTGTTGGATCAGAACTATACTCTGAAAAAGGTTCGTCATCCCTTCCACATACTTTATATGCGATTTTTTTCAGTCAATTGTTAGAAAAGAGGTTATACAGTTTTCCTCGAATTTGCAGACAATATGAATTTCCTTACGGCAAATGGCTACCAATTTAGCCATCCTTTAGTACATCTAGGAAAGTCTACAGCGGTTCGTATCCACGAAGAATAAGAATTTTGTAACCGGAATTGTTATACTCTATTGACAGTTTGCTGTTCTTGCTGTCCCTATAATATGAATTACTTTTCTTGTAATAGGACTTGCCTCTTATAGCTATCGATGATTTCCGCCATATGTACTTATACAAAGATATCAACAAATTAAGGTAGCGTATTTTTGCACATACAGTACATTCTATTTGGAGTCGGATAAGGCTATAAGTAGCGCAAATATTACTTGATCATTTGTTTTGTAGTGAGCCATCAAGCCTGAAAGAATTTATTGCAGATTTACACTCTGGAAAACTCCATAGGGAATTCCATCATGGACCTGACCCTACGGTATATGTTTGATTGCAAAACTTAAATATTGCAATTATTTCCTTTCTTCTCAATACTAATATTAAATTGGGGACAATCGTATGCTTCTGCCTTATAGAAACCAAATCCTTCTGATGCAGCGTCTGAATCTTCGAATAAAGACAGCACAAAGGAAGTATCAACACCTCCGAAGAGTCAGTTTGCAAAATTAAGTCCTAGTGATCAAAGATACAGCTTACTTGGACAGAGGGATGAACTGTAGTTGTTTATGACGTTATAGCAGGATGGGTGCATATTTAGGTTCTATGAAGATTAAGACAATGGAACTCTTACAGTTTATTGTACACCACGTAACAAAATCAGTTACTAACCGTATTAAGCTAGATGATTGAGTACATTGTTCTAGCTACATTTTCAAGCTTTATGCAATATTGTAACGAACGTTCAATGTTACGTAGATGAGAATTTTCCATATCTAATGTACATGATTGTTTGCTATTGTGGCTTATCGTTTGCATTAGCTTACCTTTTAAAGAGCTAATGCTAGAATATTTTTACAGTAGCATCACATTAAATCCTAACTTGATTGACAACGTGTTAAGGCAGGTCTTCAACCTTTATTATTTTATCTTAATCTTCACATATATTTTATTGTACTATTGCAATGAATAGACAAACATAAGCCGTGTTATTCAAGCACAACTTATGAACCCTATCTTAAATAAAATTATAAAATAATATAGCAGATGGTTGAAGATATTTGCAGGCATTTACGACTACCGAGTTCATCAATAAATTACCAATATTCATCATACACGTTTATCAATGAAACGCTTAGGTAAAAGAATCGTAGCATAATGTAGGATGGGCCCTTTTATGTACATATTGATGTTTAAGTGCGCATTTGCCAAAGACTAGCTCTATATCGGTGAAAGCTTACAGTAATATCTGATCTATTATTTATAAATGTATTTAAAGTACTCGATTTTCCTTTAATAGCATAAGTTTAGAAGCAACAGTGATAGTATTATTTTGTGGAGTAAATTATTATACACGACTGACACGAATCAGATATTTTTAATTGAAAGTGAAACGATCATCATACATGTAGATCGTGCATTACTTTTCGTAAAATAAATATTATAACGACAGTTGTCCTCATGTTAAAAGTCAATTACTTCTTAGATTAATACTGTAGATTAGTAATAATATTTCGTTGAAAATATAGCCAAATTATAGAATAACTTTTCATCTGAATAGGTAGAGGTTAACAGTATATTCATGCCAATGAGCAGTAAGCCGCAAGGTTTTTGTTCCAAAAATACTTATATAAACTTTGTGGAGACAATTCATGATCTCTATCGAGTATGCCACTCCTTTCAGACGGTTTTCAAAGGTTCGCATACTTGCTATGCTTCTACTCCTTTTTTTTAACGGTTTTATCAATTGCTCGTTGATTACGATTCTTTATAAGTGATCCACCGGCATACCCAGCAAGTCCTGCAGCAACACCCGCAGCTAAACCCAAAAGTTTAATCCCGCTATAGACTGCCACAGCTGGTCCTCCAACAGCAGCACCTACTACAGCACCCGTTACTGGAATTAACGCATACTTATACTTTCCGGCCTGAAAATAAAGGAATCGTTCAGTTGAAATTAATCGCTCCAAGGTTAAGAATGAGGTAAGCTGGACGATACCATGATCGCGTGATTACCTGAGCTAGACTCAAATTGCCCCGCTGAAGGTTACTTTGAGTACAATCTATATTATCAGATATCGATTCGATCGTTTCGCCTTGTTCCTAAATAAATATAGAGTTATCCAGTAAGGTCTCTAAGCTCGCAATATGTAGGAAAAGATAGGCTTACTCTTAACATCGTGACATAAGTTTCGGATAGCTCCTTGACTTCTAATAAATTCTAATGTAAATTTATGAAAATAATTTAAAATAAGTCTCCAATAAAGCCACAGTATTAAAGATAGATACGGCTGTTCAAGTACTAGGTCAGAAAGGCTATTTTGAACAATGAAAGTCCGAGTCACCTTTTCTAACTTCTCCCACGATGCTTTAATTTCCTTCCTGTCTTCTTCTATAATGCTTAATTGAATTTGTTCACCATTATCGTCTAATAAGAATTAGATTGATCAATTTGCTTGAAAGATTCATTGGAGAATGACAAACTATACGAAGTAATAAATGTAATTTGAAATTCTATAAATAAATTGCTTACCATCGGCTCCGGTATTTCTGTGAATAGCTCTTTTACTAGCGGTTTTATCTTCTGATACCTCATCTATTTCTCGTTTGATATCACTTTGGATAATTTCAAATGAAGCAATAGAATCAAATGCTTTTTCCTTAACCACTTTTACACGTTGGTCAAACTTGGCCAAGTCTTCATCTTTAACTTGACATCTAGTTTTATCTAACTCTTTTAGAGTTGCCTTGAGTTGCTAAATGCAATCAGATAATGACGTGTTGAATGAAAGCTAGAGTAAATTTCTAGCGCTAGAAGAGTGATACTAACTATTCATTAGTGACATGCAGCACTCTTGGTAAAAGAGACCGAGCAATACGCTAATACTACTATGCCAAAGAGTAGTAATTATGCTACTTTCATTTCGTTTTAGAAATATAAAAGAAATACCTCAATGAATGAAAGTAGCAGTCGATATACGAGAAAACTTACATTCAAGGTGTTGACAACATGTAGTTGTTCTCGACGAAGCCTGCCCCAATCGCCAATATCTCTAAACTAAGGGATATCAAAATGATTAACTTAATAACAATTCTAATGATGGTACATAACAGAATATGTTATAATTACACGTATTACTACCTTGATTATGTTTTCCTTCTGCTTAGCCAATCGATCTAGATTCGTTGGAATGGCGACTTCGGTAAAAGCGTTTAGTGATCTTTCTATAACACGCAGTGAATATTTGTCCTCTGCCATAGCCATACTGAAAAATCGCCGTTAAACAATACGTCGTTATCGCTAAGTATATCATCTCCATTTCAGAATTATACTCGTAGTTGAATTGAATTGAATGGTGTGCAATAGCATATCTGTATTACCTTTTCTCTGTTGGTGTAACACTGTAGATAATTAATTATAGTTGGGAAAATTTCTGGAAAGGAAAATATTATGTAGTATGAGAATTTTTGATAGCAAGAAATATAAGTAGAGACCATTCATAATTCGCAATAGGATTGCGGTCAGTAAAGCTAGCAATCAACAAGACAGAATTGAGGCTTGGTTATATGTATCAAGGTGACTGTAACTTTAATTAGAGAAAGCATTTTAAACCACTACTGTCATTCGTTCAATCTACCTCTTCTTTTCGCCATATCAACAGTAAAGTGGTGCATATAGCACCTTACATCGTGCAGAGTACAGTATAATATAGCAAGTGATCGCTGATGGATAATTTAACATAACATTTGCCTACAGTATACTGTACTGTAAGTATATCGATTAGTACTAGTAGTTTAATTGAGTCTGCAATAGACTGTACTCGTATCCAGTCAATTCAGTTTTGAATTAAGACACAAAATGTAACATGATTATTTGTAATGATGTTACTTACAAGGTTAAAAAGGAATTCTTGCTTTCATCCGTAGTAAGGACCTACGTATGCTTTGCCAATCAGCCCAATCAATATTTTATCGTGTTGTGCTGCAAATCGCCCCCAATCCAATCTTTGTCACAGTCTTGAGAGATCAACACGGAGATTTGTCTTAATGGATGAGATTTTTTGCGTTTACTTACAGAAGGTAATTTTGAATAATTTGAAGACTTGAAGTCGTTGTACCCATAGTCAAGAAACAGTTTATTAGAGTATTAATTTCTTCTACTACTGTATTGATATTTTCGATGTTGTAGTGCCACGCTGGCAGCCGAGTTCCTATCCCAACAGCCAAGTCAATATGAATAGCCAATACTGTATAGGATTTAGTGTGACTAATAGCGTTCCAACTGATACTAAGATTGGTGTTAATCAGTCTCAAGCAAATTGAAACCAAATGAAATACCAGCGAATAGAAGAAAGAGAGAGACAGCAAGGAAAAGATTCTAACAATCGGAGCAATAAGCATAAAAAGAAGTTTGGCAAAATTCGACTATCTTGTAGTATCCAATCCAAGCGGCATTAGACCGGATCGTAAACACTTGTATGGGGCCTTGTTCAAAACAAAACAAATGGACGTCAATCCAGTTCAATCCACTTGCTATTGCGGCCCTCTATAGTAATCCTGTTGCTATTGCGGCCGTCTATAGTAATCCACTTGCTATTGCGGCCCTCTATAGTAATCCTGTTGCTATTGCGGCCCTCTATAGTAATCCTGTTACTATTGCGGCCCTCTATAGTAATCCACTTGCTATTTCGGGCCTCTATAGTAATCCTGTTGCTATTGCGGCCCTCTATAGTAATCCACTTGCTATTGCGGGCATCTATAGTAATCCTGTTGCTATTGCGGCCCTCTATAGTAATCCACTTGCTATTGCGGCCCTCTATAGTAATCCAGTTGCTATTGCGACCCTCTATAGTAATCCTGTTGCTATTGCGGCCCCCTTTCGTACTGTAGTCCTGTTCCTAATTTTTTACAGTACTGTACTCTACAGTACAGTATACAGTAGTATTACTGTACTGATGTACTGTAGAGCAGCGTACAGTGTACTGTACAGTACTGTACTAGCACTGTCTGGCAGGGACTAGTTGATGAAGCTTCAGACCCAACTGTACCACCTACTACACTATAGTAATACTGTTGCTCTTGCGTTACTCTATAGTATTACTGTACTGTAGAGATGTGGAGCACCGGACTAGCAGGGACTTGTTGATGAAGCTTCAGACCCAACTGTACCACCTACTACACTATAGTAATACTGTTGCTCTTGCGTTACTCTATAGTATTACTGTATTGATGTACAGTAGAGCACCGGACTAGCTGGGACTTCTTGATGAACCTGCAGAAATTTTCTGTCGCAAGCTGTGCATGATAGAATTACTGCAGCCAATATCTCACCTATCACACGATTTACCATCAGTAGATTGGTGCTTGGCATCATGTCCAATTTATTATTTATCGACGAGAAAACTGTCCAATCCCTCCTTGATATTCGACAGCTTGTAGACATCATCGAGAGAGCATTAATTAATTTTTCCATCAAGGCGGAAACCATAGCCCAACCTATTCGCACTGTTGTCAATATCCCATCTCAATCTGCTCATTTCTTTAATATGCCATGCTATTCACAACAAGATAATGCGTTGGCAACCAAGTTAGCCTGTCTATTCCCTAATAACTACAAACTTGCTTTACCTACAATTCATGCTGTAATATTACTATTTGACTGCAACACTGGAGTTCCACAAGCGATCATTGACGCTGATTATGTGACTGAAATGAGAACTGCTGCTGCTTCGGCTGTCGCTACCAAATATCTAGTCAATGACAATTACAACATCTTATGTATTATAGGTTCAGGGGCTCAAGCTCGCAGTCACCTGCTGGTGATGAAGGCGATATTTCAATTTTCAGAAATTAGAATATGTTCTCGAAGTAAAAGCAATGCTGAAAGGTTAGCTAAGGACACCAATACACATGCAGTAATCTATGATTGTGTACAAGATGCTGTTCAAGATGCTGATGTCATATGTACTACTACCAATACTGTCGATCCAATTGTTTTTGAGAAGTGGATTAAGCAAGGAGCTCATATTAATGCTGTCGGTGCTTGTACACCTCAGCGACGTGAAATAGATGGTGAATTAATGCGTAATGCTGTCGTTGTTGCTGATAGCCGAGAATCGGCTAAGAATGAGGCTGGCGATATTATTCTCGCAAATGCTTCGGTCGATGCCGAAATTGGAGAGATTGCATCTGGTAAAGTAACCATTGATACCAATCAAACAACAGTATTTGAATCTCTTGGATTAGCAATCGAGGATGCAGTCTGTGCACGTCTTATTTACGATCTTTATAATAGCCGTAATGTAACTACGTCATAATGACAATCTTTGCTCTCACAACCTAATGCCTTCCAGTTTTGTCATGTCTAAGTCTAAAATGCAGATGATATCGTCAATCGCAAACCTGACATGATTGATTGTCCGTACGCAACGCAAATTATTATTCTTCATATTCAGTATAAGAAATATCAGCTCTCTTGTCGTTCAAATTTCGACTCCTATGTGGATTGTTTTTGTAAAAATTATACTCTAAAAAATGGGTAAAATTATTCAATCTGCTGGTGGAATCTCGCTGAAATGATGTTAATGACGACGAATGGACGAAATTTGAACGTGATTAATTATTTAGAGCAATTTACACTATAATTGATACGTGTATAATACGTACGTTTTGGTCAACGATTTTTCAATTTTCTTACTAGCATTGGCACATAAAATTTTGACTATTTTAATATAATCTGTTATACGCTTTTAAAATCGACATACTTACAATTAGAAGAATAAAAAAGAACTCGCATTGATTGTTACAATAATTTTAAAAAGTTTTGAATGTGTTAGTTGATTGATTTTGTGGCAGGTACCTGTACCATGTATGCTACCACTACAAAGATACTGTTCATGCATCGAGTACTTTAAATGTAAAGCGCATTTATTGGAGTTATAAGTACAGTAATGTATATCTCCTTTATGGATGTGATAAAGCGTCTTCTCAAAAATACAACAAGAACAGCAGTTTCTTGTAAACTTCACTTTATTACATAAGATTAGGTTCGTCTCAACTACCAAGGGCTATCTAACTGCAATCAGACTATCTCTGCACTATCTGAATGATAATTATCATTCACAATTTATATACAATTACAATGGCGTAACATGCACTTATGATATTATCATAAATACCGCAGTATGGATACAGTATAGAGTCGTCGATGTCAACTATTCAGCCAATTCATTCTCACTAACATTTGAAATTCAAGAACTGTAAGATGTGATAAATGCAAAGCGTTTGATGTTATAACAAGACGACTTTGATATAGTAATCGAATAGCTTTTAACTTAGTAAAGATAATTATTACTTTCAATAACCCATTCTAAGTAACGCCAAAAGTGTTAACTATATGATCATTTCTCCTTCTCACATCGTTACCGAGCAATTTTAAAAATCTACAAATATACCACAGCGTTGACTTGCAAAAGATTAATTTATTTTTGAATTTATAGTTATTTTGATAGAATTATATCAATTGAAATTACGTACATTACCTGCTTACGATTATCGGGTTCGGAGATATTGATCAACATTTAATAACACATTACAATAACTCAAATCACAAAGTAGATGACTACAGTATACGCGTAATTTTATTTGGTTAATTGTGATATTCCTGTACAGCTCTACTGCATAAAAAATTTACATAATACGGTAAATACAAATTGCAAATAATTTCAATAGGAATCGAAAGTCAAAAATTAATTATATTAGTGGAGTCGCGTAATCAATTCTTTTATAATAGTGATAATAATACGAGTATGACATTATCATCTTTAAATACAGCAACTATATTACGACGATGCTTTTAATACATACTCGTACAATTCATCAACATTTGACTTGCTGTGCGCTATTAGTAATAGTTGAATGCAGTATTTATACAAGCAAATTATAACTGGCTGCGAAGACTACGTAGTTAAAATGATAGCTGCAGCTTTAAATCTTCAATATGGATTAAATATTGTAATAAATCTGAGGATGAATACTGTCTTAACGCATAATTACAAGGTTAAGTTTAGAATATTGGGAAACAATATTGAGTTCGTTCAGCTTACTATAGAGATTGAAAATTTTTTTAATTACTAGTTTGATACATTGTTAATTCTCCGATTGACTATTGTTATAATAGTTTAATAACCCTATTCGCAGCCAACAGTGACTGGCGCTATAAATTATTATATAATATCTTCGCTATCATAGATGAAGTTTCAGTATAATATTAATAGTTAAACTAGAAATGATTATGTTACAGTAAAATTTATGGTCAATGCATAACGTATAACTTTGACCTGGCTTAAATAAGATAAAGAATTAGCTTATACATAACATAATAATATATGACCACACGTGTACCGTGATGCATTTTAATTCTTGATTTCTTAATTTAAGTGACCAACTGCACTGTCATTAGCATTTAGTCTTAAATTTCATATTCATGGATAGACTGGGATAAATAATTTCACATCTTATTTCAATCATCATACGAACATTATGATATATTTTAATACGAAATATTGAGGCCACATTTTGGCCATGACAATGAAATGAAAGTAATCCAGTATAGATATACAACAAAATGAAATCTATACTCTATACGATTGACTTTTACTCATATTATGACTGCTCATACCTACACTACCATACAAGCGCTTACAAATACTATAGTACCATCCGAATAGCTGCCATCATGATAATTTACTGTTAAACAATTAATATCCTAATTTTTCTGTTAAGATATTATGCAATGGTATATCCTTCCCAAGGAACTTACACCAATGATATTAATCCAGTATCACTATTAGAACACGATTGGATATTGACTGAAATAAGATAAAGTTTAGTACAATAGTTGTGATACGTTATTCTTAAAGTCTAATCTCAACAGCTATTTAGCGTATAGACGATAATCTTCATTTAAATTTTATATTTCATGACTGTCTGAAGTATTATATCCTCGGTAAAAACCTGCCAGGGAAATTTATATTACATTATCTCGTTAAAGCTATTTCTTATAGAAATCTGTATGGTAAAGAATTCAGATATGTAAGATATTCTACATAGCTCTATTTATTTGGCGTCGATAGGCATCAAGCTTTTAAAGTATAATTGTAAATTAAGATAAATCGATTCGAGTTGCCGATACTGATTGTGGGAAATTTAACTTTGCCACTTTTTCGTGAGTTGCCCATTTACATAACTTTAATCGAATTCGCCGCCTTCCAAAGATATAAATATAAGGACTAAGGATCGAATTTGCGTAGACAATACGACTAGTCCATAATTCTAGTATATGGATACCTTGGCCCAATAGCATATTTTGGCTGTCGAACAATCGAAGAGAGATAAATATCTGTCGTAAAAAGAAAAAGCGCGTCAACAGGAAAGGTCCATGATAAAACGATCATACTTTAGATAAAATTACACGTAGAATAGCACGGAATATGCAAATTAACTGATAGGAAAATAATTGATTTGACTATTTAAAAGCAGTGAACTAGCCAAAAAGGACTTAACTAAGATTGGAGTCATAATGCAACTTAACAAAATGCGATCAATTTTAATGAACTTAATTCTATAGGGCAGAATACTGCAAGCTAGTATAAATGGAGCTCAGTGCATAAATTTCATCAAAGGAAAGACTATGAAAGTAAAATATAATATTTTACTTTTTTAGAGCGCATAGAAGTAAATAATCATGATTTTATTGTATTGGGAAGATTATGATTAATAAACTAAATTTACCGTTATATTAAGTAAAATATAGACTAACCGTATGGGGCAACCAAGATACACAAAATGCCAGAGAAGTTAAAAGTAGAATGCACGTCATTTCTTTTTCGTCACTCATTTGGCGTTTACCTTTACGCTTAGCCATTTGCCGACTCTCACGTCTTTTCATGGTCATTTTGTATAGCGCCATGATAACAATACAGTTACAAGATATTGATAAAATAATACCAAAAAGATTATTAACAATAGTAACCCAAGCGAAAGCTTGATTGTCAGGACTGCCCCATTCGAAATTGCAATAGGTACATGGATAACGAAGTTTAATGGAATGTGGGCCAAATACTGGCAATAAAGAAACTATACCAGTATAAAGAGTTATTGCAAATAGTACTTTATTTACGAAACCTAGAGCGAAATGTTTATCATAAAGAAATGGCCAGACAAATGATATTAATCGCTCTATGCTCGAAGTTACGATAACATGAAAGGAGAAATTTTGAAAGAAGTAACGCGATAATGCGTAATAGTAGCAACCAAATTCGCCAAAAACCCAACGTTTTAGCCAATAAGATGCAACACTTAGCGAATATGTACATATTGCAACCATGGTATCTGCAAAGCAGGATGTAAATAATAGTAGAAGAGGTATACGTTTCTGATAACGAAATGATATCCAAGTTAAAACGCAGCCTAGTAAATTACTCCAGAAAATAGCTTGCTGAATAAATGTCCAGATGATGCCATTTTCAATTAAGATTTGATGTGTAACAGCGGTATTATAGCACCGAGTGTCTATCGATGTCAAATTGTTCTGCATTTTGGCTGTCGATATCATGAAAATATTACCACATATATGTCAAGATATGCTGTTGGAATAAAATTAATTCTGGATTACCTTGAAAAAATGATAATATTGCGTGTTTTTTCCTTGGCCAAAGTGGCCATACTTCTAATTAATAGATTTTTATACCTTACTTAGTGACTGGTCGTCATCAATTGCATTGAATAATAAAAAGTGAAAATTAAAATTATAATTTTAAATAGATAAAGAGTTGAAATATATCTGCGTAGTTAACGTCGATAAGCGATATGATATGTTCGACAGCTTCCTTTTCAGTATTTCATAATTACCTCATGCTGTTACTAAATTGAATTGAGAAAATCGCCGCTAACAATAGCTATAATATTAATTAGAAGCATCCAAGAAATAGATTAATTGACCTGATGACGGCTGAAATAACAGTTAACATCGCTACGGTATCAACGGCTACAGACAATGGTAGTTAATTATCCACAGCTTCCTCGAATACTATTATCGCCAACTTTGAATATATTTTTTAGAAAAATTAGCATATCATAGACATTTTAGTAAATAAGTTGTTATGATAAAGACAATAAAACATAATAATGACTATTCGACTAAACTAATTTAATACATTGCATTTGCTGTGTGATTTCTATGGCTATGAATATATATAATATTGCATATTGTATTAACTTAATGTGATAGATAAACCTTTTTAGGTCAAGTTTAAAATTTTTTTACTTATAGAACATCCTTCAAGTAATATGACAGTAACCCATTATGATTATCATTGTTATTATAGTTATGATTATAATTAATATTATTTCATAGTTAATATCCATAGAAAGAAGAAATAGAATTTCCACCTTTGCACGGTGTGTTCTGGTGTGCAAGTAGAGTAAAAAATTAGTTACAATAAAATAGTTCTTTTCTTCTTATCTAAATACGATGTGACTTCGGCATTTTAGATCTACTTGAAGTATTTTATAAGTTTTAGACAATAAATAGTAAATTAAGTACTAACTACTCAAGGCTAAACCAACGTTTTAAAATCGATTTGATATTTTCTCAACTGTAAAGAACTCAATTCCGGTTTACTTTATTCTATATGTGCAATATTTTCTTAAAATTACACTAACTAATAAAATATTTACTCTTTACTACTATGTCGAATATATTAATAAAGTTGCTTGCATAAATTATGAGACGCGAGATTAAAAAGAATTCTTTCTAATTACAATAAAGCATAGACAATTAGACTTTAGTATACTGATATAAGGTAGGTGCACTTTGTACGATATCACTTGAAGTATGATAGACGTATATTATTAAATATAGCTCTTTAGATAATAAAACTACCCGCTTATTGAATCACGGGCTGTAACCAAAAATGATTAAAGTGTTTACTTTAATACTTTGGCATAGAAGAAATAATAATGTTACCTTAAGTTACCGATGTCCTTGATTGGCAATTATTTGGTTTTAATCTTATAACATCATGAGTATCTAGTGATTTATAACATAGCTATAGATGATTTATAAAATTTTTCAAATTAAAAGAATTAATTAATGTTTCTTACATAGTTATAATAAACTATAAATTGATCGTGTAATTATTTCATAAATAAATAATGGCCTTTTAGCTACGGTGCCTTTTCGTTATTGCAGTGCATCAATTAATTAATTGCGGAATATTTATTATAGCAGCTGTCTACTAAACTAATTCGGATGTCTGTCTATTTCCAATGTAAATCAGTAGTTTTAATTCAAATATTGATCTTACAGTAACAATAGCTCTTTTAAATCTTTATCGGAATAATATCATAAAATAAATAACATAGGGATTTTTGCGCAATAATTACGCATTGTCTTTTATAGGGTAAATTTGATAAAGTACCAATTATTTCTACTTTAGAGTTGAAAAATAAGCTATACTGCCTTTGTTTTATTCGGAAGTTTAATTAAGTATGGAGGCTGAATACAAACTCTGATTAACATGCAAGAAACATGTTAATGATGTTATATGATAATTTGTAATTCGAAAAATAGTCTATTTCTTTTTCGACCCAATGACCTATCAAGGTTAAAAATGGGTGTAGATGCTTCCGTAAAAAAATTTTAAAATTTTGCTAACATGATTTTACTCTTAACACAATTTAGAGGTCATTGGTGCATAGATTTGATGGTCCTGCGTAAATTAAAATGTAACCGTAATAAGTCAACCATTTGGTACGTGATTTCTTCGCATAGTTTAATATTAATAGCATAATAAAAAATATGAAATATTATTTATAAACAACACCTGAATTATATACACCAGTAATTGATCGAGTATAGTTTACACCTGATTTGACCAGATTGTATACTACCATGCTTGTTGAATCGATCATAAAGTTTTCTTGTCAATAGGTTAATAATACTAATGTAGGTTTCGTAAGTCTAAACTATGGAGCAGAACTAAACATTAATAACTTTTTTTCTAACAGCTACCGAATATTACTATTGGTGACAACTCTGGATTATTTATAGATCAATATAGAGAATATCCGAAATGACTAGAACAATGCATCGTAATCATTTAATTTTCTTTTACTTTACACTTGTCTTTCTTTCTTCTTTTAAATCGCTTCACTTCTAATATGCCCTTACAAATATCATCAAATGGCACAAAATGCTGCTTCATAGGTTACAACTGCCTTCTTTGCTAATGCAATTATAAAATATCTAGCCAGTGGCATATTTAAGAGATAAAATTGTATTACACAGCGTGCGAATAAGCTGTCCATTGCTAATTTGATGATAATAACCTGATCTTTTGAGACGCTCAATAACAGGATTAATTATCTTAATGTAATGGTTGTTGTTATCCATAAGGACGCGAAATAAGAACTTAAGGTAATTAAAGCTATAAATGAATAGATAAATTTTAGACTCCATTTAAAGTAGTACTTACGCGTAAAATTAGATTTGTTTTTTAATATGGATGAAGATATTTAGACGTGAAAAAAATTGCTGTAATTATTGTATGCAGTACCTAGTACAAAAGTATAGCATTATTTAGAGTTGTATATAATAGCTCATTATTTCCCTCTAACGAAGATGGAATTACTATCTACAAATGATAAGATTTGAACTTAGTAATGTATAGCGGAATACGTTATTCATTTTATCTTGATATCAAATTGAATTTTAGCTTTGGTTATTTTGTTTACTGTATTAATCAATCTCAAAATATCTCACTACACGGGATGAATAATATAATAAATTGTGTTACGTATATGTATGCCGTATGTGGTGTACAATTTCCATTGCATATCTAACAGATCCGGGCAGATGCTATGATTTATTCATACTTATTTACCGTTATTAATTAACTACGTAGTTAATATACAGCAGCTATTATTCAGGAAGATTTTAATCTAATCTGAAAGATAAGAAAAAACCGTGATTTTCGTATACCCTCAATGCTATTTAAAATTAGTATATAATGTATTGATATTGATGATGACAGTATTAGCTTGCTACGTAAGCGTCAAGTACGAGAACTTGTAACCTATATCCCTTACAATTAGAATTTTTGTGAATCGTGATAATATTTGAATTTGATAGGACCGTCTACACATCTTTTACGATCAATACATATATCGAAATTCTATTTCTTTTGCACTAATCGTTACATATGGATACCATTAGGCTAATAATAAAAAAAGCGTTTGCAAAGTAGGTATGATCCTAAATCTGATACCTTTATCAGTAAAGAGAATTCTGAAATTGTTCATCTAAATATATAGACATCAATCTGAAATATGAGTACATGTAAACCAATCGATCACCATTGAAACATGTTACTTGCAATTACTGTGCACATCTTCTATCTGATTATTGTCAAGTACAGTATAGCAATTGAAGTTTTTACTTTAATTGCTAAAATTTGAAATGTATATGAATAATTATACGCGTATATATCATCTAGTGCGGTCAGGAAATCTGAGTAGGCAACCAGCTTTGGTTCTCTCACATAGATACTTTATCAACGCGGATAGACCTTGCAAAATAGTACACATATATACTATATGACGAAAATCTTGGCCACGTCATGTCGAAAATAAAAAAAATAAAAGTAGATGATAACTGCACCATATTTCGATATGGACTACAATCTAAACTTTTTATGAACTACATTTAAATTTAAATTTGAACTTATTACATTACTGATATTGATAATTTAATATTAGTACTAGGGAATACCCGCTCTGCAAGCAGTTACCCGGCTTAAGTTCATAAATCAATGAGGAGTTTTTACGGCACACGATATCATTTAACACTAAAAATTACAGATTACTATAGAATTTCTATGCGGCAGTTTTACAGTATTCCGATTATATATAATAATTTTATAATGAACAGAACGAATTGCCGAGATTCATATATATAACCTGACAGAATAGTAAAAGTACTTTATTTTTGGAAAATAACAATACGAAGTACTCTTCCTGTTCTAATGTTCCTAAGATATTGCAAATTCATTTATGTTACGAAATGAATGTTGCATGATCCTTTAACATTGTATGCATTGGTTATGTAAGATATTTATTGTAGTGCGTGGATTATACATTTTAAAATATCAGCGGTTCTCTTGCATCATATATCGGATGCTGATTGCAGTATTTTATATTTGTAGGCGTATACATTATGCTAGAGCTATTGGCCAAGTGATAATGTTATTTGAATGGCTTTAGTAATCCTAACGATTAGGAAAGTAAAGACAAAAGGAAAATTGCAATACTGTGCAAAAGCGTAATCTTACTGGACATCCTATCATTCATCATAGCTATAGAAACTGCAACTAGTTCTAGTTATTCGGTTTAAATAGAATGAAAATTTTAGCAGGTGAATAATTCATGCACATATGGAACAATTTTGTAAATCATTTACAGATTCAGTCAGTATTCATAATTATATCTTGAAATTGGGGGTATTTTTGATAGAATGGCGAGTAAAGCACAAAGCGAGCTTTTATCACTACACCAATGATTATATAATTTATTTAAATTGCGCAATAGAATGTGTGTACCCTCAATTTATGCTTATGCATGGTGCCCAATATAAAGTAAGTAATCAATTAATTAATTATAGTTGGCTGTCTAAATGTCCATAATTAAGCGCAACTGTCTATGCCGGATTGGTTTGATATAAAAGTTGCAACTATAAGCGGTACAGTAGGGTGTCTTTTGAATATTAGGATAAATCTATGCACCGTTACCTTAAATTTAATTGAAAATGCAATCTATGTACGTAACTTCCATGCTGTAATTTTACTTCAGTATACGAAAGTGGTCGTCAATATTGTTCTGGTTGTCCCGAAAATACAATATGCATAGGATACAAGTATCTATGTCACGCAGTATGAATTGTAAAGTTGCTATTAGTTTGATGAAATTGGAGCACGTAGCTTTTTGTTTAAGTATTCTAGTGCGATACTGCACACTAATGAGACTTTTAAATTCTATCCTTCGAATTTATTTTGCTAAAATGAGTTTATCGGCGATATTTGCTAAGCCTTCCGCGCAAGCATCCACAAGACTTTCATCTATTCTAAAAAAGAATAAAATTAAACCAATCAGTATTTCCTTCACACTGTAAGGTCTCTCACAACAATGATTTCCTCTGCATTATCCATTCTAGTTTTACATAATATCGCCCATTATATCCATTTCAAATTTAGCAGCAGTCATATGTTTCTAATTTGCCATCTGGATATATTTTTTTTTTCTCGAGAGTACTAACCAGAGCATTTAATTCAAGATATGTGTGAATATACTGTACACTTTGTAACCTTTTTAGAGTTTCCGTATCATAGCACTACAGTACTGTACGGTACAAGGAATCAGGTGTTTGGGTCATTAAATATGCATTCTGTGCACTGAGTGTACAGCATATTCATGGCATATCGATTCAGTTAATTCATGAATTTTAAAAAGGACTTTTCCATGCATGGGCTTAGACCAGTGTTGAATACTGGTTTAGACGGAGAGCAACAAGATGGTACAAAGAAAGCCTTAACTGCTGACATTATGGCTGGCAGAGTTATGGACTACTACTGCAGAAGAATCTTTCCAGCAGTCCTTGAGCTTCACTGTACCGTACAATTTGAGTAGTCAGGGACTACTCAACTAAAAATTTTCCCTTTCAAAATTTTTTAGTTACGTCTTTGAGGGGAGAATTTTTAGTTGACTAGTCCCTGCAGTAGTTCTATAGCAGAGTTTCCTCGCACTGCAGTATGGACCAGTAGAAATGGTCGTTTGCGAGTCAAAAATTTTCCCTTTAAAATTAAAAAATGTTTTAGTTACGGCTTTGAGGGGAGAATTTTTAGTTGACTAGTCCCTTCAGTAGTTCTATAGCAGAGCTTCCTGGCACTGCAGCATGAACCAGTAGAAATGGTCGTTTGCGAGTCAAAAATTTTCCCTTTAAAATTAGAGAAAATTACTTATATGCCACAGCATATTTTCGTATTTACTAATATGCCATTGGAAACTTCAGTAATTAAAAAATGTTTTAGTTACGGCTTTGAGGGAAGAATTTTTAGTTGACTAGTCCCTGCAGTAATTCTATAGCAGAGCTTCCTGGCACTGCAGCATGGACCAGTAGAAATGGTCGTTTTCGAGTCCTTCACTAACTGAACTACTGTACTGTACAGTACAGTACAGCATTTCACGTACTGTACTGTACACTGTACCAAATAATACTGTGTCATGTACAGTATGCTGTTATCCAGGTCGTAGAACTGTTTGTCACACCTTCAGTATGGTAATATACTGTACTGTACCATGCACAATACGCGTATTGTACGTACAGTACGTTATCACGGCTTATCGAAGTCATCAAAGGTGTAGCGTCAAGTTAAAACCTGTTTGAATTCATCGACCGTTCGAACTTGTAACCGTCAACCAAATTCAAAATTTGAAAACATAAATAGTGTGACATACTTCCGGCGACAGCCTACACGAACGTACTACACTGCGCAAGTATAAATAAGCAGACTCAAGCAAATGCAGTCATTCAATTGCTTGCTTCAGTCGAGATTTATTCCTTGCATTTACTTTCTTTATTGACGATTGTCCAGGTAACACTAAGATTCCTGAAATTGAGGAAGCTAACCTGTAACTACTACTACTACGATTTACTTTGTTATTTTCATTGGTGAATATCTTGCACTAATTAGTCATTATGGCTTTGGTAGAAAGAACTTTGGTAAGTAGATGTTGATCCTCAAAAGATGATAATAATAATTCATTATTGAACGTTCATAGAAGAAATTTGAAACCCAAATCTCAAATACTGTTCTGTTGACTATTATTATTTTATTATGAGTTCTTGATTCTGTGTGTAGGTGAATTGCACGCTTACAATATTTAACGTATTCATTTGTACGGTATATAATTTTATACATAAAATAAAGAGTAATAGATATTACTATTTATTTATACTGTAGTTTAAATGATTCAGTAAAAGCGTCAGATTTTGGACTCTTCTAATCACAGAATTAGCCTTGCTGACGTTACGGTTGTCATTGTAAATTCAAAGTACACTGTGCATATTCCTTTACAGTCCTACATAGACCTTCGCATATTTTTGAGTGCATAATTAACAGCTAATATTTAAAATTAAGTAAAATTAATCAATCATACACATATGTAGTTATTACAGACAGACCTTTGACTAGGTTCTCGAGCAGCTATTTCGTGCGGAAAATTAAAATTCCACCGTTTACTGTACTACTATAATATTTCACTTCCTGAAAGTGCATCAAAGTATTCGTATCCTGCACACTTTTAATTAGGCACCGATATTTTTATACCGGTGGCGATCATTTATAAATACAGTAACTCCATAGTACCGTATAGTGTTCGGTGAATAGTGAAGCTAAACTTAATAGAGACTCCAAAGTCTTAACACTATTGCACCGTACTGTACACATAGAATCACTCACTATACAGTACAGTATTGTCCAATTTTCCAGTGAAATTAGTGCGTCAGTGGTCAATGCTGATATATATGTCACGTCATATATATATGCTGTAGACATTTTAGATTGATTTTTGGATTTTAATTTTTTTACATAGTAGCAAATTCTCTTCTTTTATTATCAAGTAGTCCCTGGTAAATGCTAATCGTTCATGGCCACACATGCTCATGAAGTTTACTCCATTATAACTTTTTCGCGCAGTGATATTGCATATCATTGATGGATGTAGTATTGTCATTTTATTATTGCACAGTACTGGACTACACATAGAGTCACTGTACAGTACATTAATACAGTATTGTCCAATTTTTCAGTGAAATTAGTGAGTCAGTGGTCAATGCTGATATATATATAAATGCTGTAGACATTTTAGATTGATTTTTGGATTTTACTTTTTTTACATAGTAGCAAATTCTCTTCTTTCATTATCAAGTAGTCCTTGGTAAATGCTAATCGTTCATGGCCACACATACTCATGAAGTTTACTCTATTATAACTATTTAGCGCAGTGATATTGCATATCATTGATGGATGTAGTATTGTCATTTTAATTGATTTTTGAAAAAAACCGCCAATGATGGAGTATGCGCTTATCGCACTAATTTTTTCACGGTTATAGTACGGTACTAAAATTAAGTACTCTGTTCAGTTAAATACGCGAACAAATCCTAGAAACTATACGATTGAACCACCACTTTAGCTATGATTTCCGACACTAATCTGGAGATCTGAAGACGCAGTTGCTTGAGTATGTGACACGTAATGTACAGTAGTCGTCTTTTTGTCCGCAAGACCTCAATCTGAATTAATTATTGTGCAGGAACAGTGTGTGTAGCATAGTGTTCCAGGTCTTTCTAGGAAAATATCATCCTGTTGCATAGTCCTTACCGATTTTTTATTGCTAATAGCAAGTCGAAAATGACGTCCGCAGTTATTAGACCTTGCGTCGACTAATTTGACATCTTTAGATACTATGCTATCTTCTGCTTGGTTAACTATTGTATCAGCTCTTTAATTTGTTATTGCTAATTACTAGCAAAGTACACCTTGCTGAGTATTATTATTAATAATCTAGTTTGCATCAAAATAATATTTCCTACTATATTGTATAATAGATGGTATATATGTACGATATACGCACCTATATTACGTTATATCACTAGTATAAAATAGAAGGAAATATTCAAATTAAAACTTTGGGCCGATAACTGAATACGAAAAATGAAGAAATACAAAAGTCAGCTTGCTGACGAAGATATTTTATATCTTGGATGTAACCTCTTGGTATATTGACATATTATCATAGTTATACACAATTATGACATACGCTACATGACTGTACAACTTGGTATTCATAGTATCTTGCTGATCTAACTAGATGGGATCCTAGTCCTAGTTTTACGTTTTTTTTATGTTATTAACAGTAAAAATCATGTCATCCAACAAGATTAGACATTACAATATAAAGTTGATAATTATGCTTATATTCTAGACTCGATATAATTTATTATTCCCAATTAAAACAGATACTGCTTTACTACTATATTTCGATCTAAAGTCTGGAATAGCAATTCTCTTGTCTCATTGTCTACTTCTGAAGTTTTATCAAACAATCTATCTAGTACTTATCAATTAGATTTCGCACTGCTAACATGCGATATATGGCATGTATTTCAATTAATAGGAAAACTCTGTGGTAGATGGCGTTAAGAAGAAGACTCCTAGCAAGAAAAACAAGCGATTATCTGTCGAAAGGATCTATCAAAAGAAATCGCAATTGGAACACATACTCCTTAGACCCGATACCTATATCGGATCAGTTGAGCATATCACGCAAACTATGTGGGTTATCGAGGATGGCAAGATGATGAATAAGAGCATTACTTATCCTCCTGGCTTGTATAAAATCTTTGATGAAATTTTAGGTGTGCTACTCACTAATGCAAACTGTATCATACCTTTGATAGAATACGTACAATATTATTACAATGAATCAATGATTATTAAAATACTTTTCAAGCTTGCTCTTTTGTCCTAAATGCAACGTCTAAATTATTATTTCTTTCATTTTGTATACTAGTTAATGCCGCGGATAATAAGCAACGAGATCCAAGGATGGATACCATCAAAATTACAATTGACCCGTAAGGATTTTACATTCGGAATAGTTGTCATTAATATTTCACAAGGAATACGTGAATTGTATCTATAAAATTTCTATCGATTTCCTGTACTAACTTATGTAAACATAAATTTTTGCTTCACAGCGAAAACAACTTGCTTAAAATTTGGAATAATGGGCGCGGTATTCCAGTAGAAATACACCGTGAAGAAAATGTCTATGTACCGACCTTAATATTTGGTCACTTATTAACATCGAGTAATTATAACGATGATGAGCGCAAAGTTACCGGCGGCAGAAATGGATACGGTGCTAAACTTTGCAATATATTCAGCACAGAATTTAAAGTGGAAACTTATTCTGCTGACTCTGGTAAACAATTCTCACAGGTAATGAATTTATTAGTTTCGATTCAAGTTATGAATCGATTCTTATATGTATTTATCTACTTGGCTAATACAGCATTCACATCGTTATATTTAGACTTGGAATAACAATATGTCTAAGGCACGAGAACCTAAGATTACCGCAATTGAAAAATCCAAGCAAGAATTTACGTGTATTACTTTTAAACCAGATTTACAAAAATTTGGTTTAACACATCTGACTTCCGATATTGTTTCGCTAATGACTCGCCGAGCTTACGATATAGCTGCAGCAGCTAGAGGTGTTAAAGTTTATTTGAATGGTGATCGAATACCTGTAAGTATTGCAGTTATGTATTTGTTCTCCTGCTAATGATTGCCGTTATACATAAATAGATGATTTCTACTACATTTTGATGAAGTAATAAAACTCATGTTGGGAACTAAAATATAACATTTGCCATCTTAAAGATAAAAACGTTTAAGGATTATGTGGAACTGTTTCTGGCAAATGAAGAAAAGGATGATGGAGAAGAAGACAAGGAAAAACGTAAAATCACTCACGAAATTGTTAATGGTCGGTGGGAAGTTTGCTTGACAGCTAGTGATAGAGGCTTTCAGCAAGCAAGCTTCGTCAATAGCATAGCTACTACGAAGGTAAAATTAATAATATTAATGCTGATATTATCTCGTGTATAGAAGTATAAAGGAATTATAAGAAAGTTGACGCTAAATTATCTAGATCAGTCAACGTGATTCTTGCTTATCACAATAGGGTGGTACTCATGTCAATCATGTCGTGGATCAGTTAGTTGAAAAGTTGATGGGCGCAGTTAAAAAGAAGAACAAAGGTGGAATCGATGTAAAGCCTTATCAAATTAAAAATCATATGTGGGTCTTTATCAATTGCTTGATCGAAAATCCATCGTTTGACTCTCAAACAAAAGAAAATATGACACTTCGTGCTAAATCTTTCGGATCGTCCTGTAATTTGAGCGAAAAATTTATTAAAGGAGTAAGCTTAATTTGGTATAGTTTATGGCCAAATCTAGTGTATATATATGCATACACAACGTAACTTTTGCTTAAGGACGATACTATTTATTCGCTAGGCTTTGGGATGCGGTGTTGTCGAAAGAATATTGAATTGGGTTAGGTTTAAAACTCAGGTAAAATTTAGTATTTAAAATATCTAAATCATGATTATGTTAGCGTGCTTACGAAATAATTCTTAACATTTCATTTCTTGGTTATAGGCACAACTATCAAAGAAGTGTTCGGCATCCAAACACTCTAAGCTTAAAGGCATTCCCAAACTCGATGATGCTAACGATGCAGGAACTAGAAATTCCAGTGATTGCACCTTAATTTTAACGGAAGGTGATTCAGCAAAAGCACTAGCTGTTTCAGGATTATCCGTAGTTGGTCGTGATAAATATGGTGTGTTTCCTTTACGTGGGAAATTATTAAACACTCGTGAAGCGTCTTCTAAGCAGGTGAGTGTCATATTTGTTTTATAATCGGGCAAGTCGTTGGATTGCTTTACATTTCCTAAAAATAGATGTTACACTGTTTTGATATAAGTTCCTTTCTAATCATGTTACCTCATATAGGTTATGGAAAATGCTGAAATTAACAACATTATCAAAATTTTGGGTCTTCATTATAACAAGAAGTACAATGATGACGTCAGCTTGAAATCATTGCGTTATGGCAATTTGATGATAATGGCTGATCAAGATCAAGATGGTTCTCATATAAAAGGACTCTTAATCAATTTTATACATCATAATTGGCCTTCACTTTTACAACAACCCTTTTTGAAGGAATTTATAACCCCTATTGTGAAAGTAACTAAGGGTAAAAACGAAATAGCCTTTTATAGTATACCTGAATTTGAAGAATGGAAACAAAATACTGCTAGCTATAAATCATGGAAAGTAAAGTATTACAAAGGTCTCGGAACCAGTACACCAAAGGAAGCCAAAGAATATTTCGCAGATATGTCTAGACATCGCGTTGCATTCAGATATGATGGCAACGACGACGATACTGCTATACAACTTGTAAGATAATTCTACATTCGTAATTATCTCAGGATTTATGAAATATTTATTGCAATAATTTTAATTATTACGAGCAGTCTATTCTCTCGGTGTAATTGAAGATGACATCTTACTATGTCAGATTGCTAATTAAATGAAATTAAATTACTATTGTCTAGGCATTTAGTAAGAAGATGATTAGTGAAAGGAAAGAATGGCTCAACAAAAGTATGGAAGACAAAAAGAATCGAAAGTTGAATAATAAGCCTGAGGTTAGGAAGTAATAATTAGAAATTATATAATTTGCATATTTCTTAAACGATCTAAAAATTATTCCAATTCTTTCCAAATTATGCACATTCTAGCCTTATCTATATGGTAAAGAAGTATCCGATATCAGCTATAGTGATTTTGTTAACAAAGAACTGATTCATTTCTCCAATGCTGATAACATACGTTCAATCCCTTCTTTGATGGATGGTAAGTATCACAGCTATTACATTGATAGGGCGAGGATATATAAATATGATTAATTTTTAATATATTTTGATGATATAGGCTTGAAGCCAGGTCAGCGGAAAGTATTATTTACTTGCTTTAAACGCAATGATAAGAAAGATATCAAAGTAGCTCAGTTAGCCGGTTCAGTAGCAGAAATGTCAGCTTATCATCATGGCGAGGTGATTATATGCTTGTTCATTTAGTGGGTATTACAATGTTCTATATCTAATTAGGAGTTTTGCTTACCTACTGTACAATTAGGCAAGTTTGATGGGAACTATAATTAATTTGGCTCAAAATTTTGTGGGAAGTAATAACATCAATTTATTACAACCTATTGGTCAATTTGGAACGAGACTTCATGGTGGTAAAGATAGCGCTAGCGCTAGATACATATTCACTATGTTGAGTCCCGTGGCTAGGTATATGTTCGATCAAAAGGATGAACCGTTATTAGAATATCAGTTTGAAGATAATCTGCGGATTGAACCTGATTGGTATGCTCCTTTAATCCCTGTGGTATTGGTAAATGGAGCAGAAGGTATTGGAACAGGTTACAGCACACGTATACCGAATTATAATCCGAGAGAAATCGTTGATAATTTGAAGCGCTTACTAGCTGGAGAGGAGCCGATAGAGATGGTATGTATTTTGCAATTATATATAGTTTATACATCTAGCTATAGCTCGTCGGTAAATTATTTTAATCTAATTTATGCCTGTTTAGCATCCATGGTATAAAAATTTTAAAGGTGAAATCAAACAAGTTGAAGAGAATAAATACCAGATTGATGGTGTTATTAAGAAAATAAATGAAACCACCCTTGAAATTGTCGAACTTCCAATTCGTACGTGGACACAAGCTTACAAAGAAGGCGTTTTGGAACCTATGTTGCATGGTGGTGAGAAAACGCCAAGTTTTATAAGGTACGAGCAGTTAGTTTTGGTAGCATTCAATTGCCATACTGTTAGTGCTACAGCAGCATTTGAATATATGGTATAAGTTGACTTGCTCTTAAGCAAATAGATCAGAAGTAAAGCAACATGATTGTGAGAATTATAAGTAGTATCTCTAACTTAGAAAGTCTTTTCTTAGCAACTACAAAGAATATCACACGGATACCACTGTTAGATTTATTGTCACTCTAACTGAAGCTAATATGGAAGCTGCTGAAAAAATTGGGCTATTAAAGAAATTTAAGCTAGAAGGCAGTTTCAGCACGAATAGTATGGTAAGAATGTAGCTTTCTAGACTCATGCTTTAGAGAGTTATAAATCGACGTAATCCTCTTTGTATAGGTCCTGTTTGATGCTCATGGTTGTCTACGAAGATACGGAAATGCTCAAGAAATTTTGAAGGAATTTTATGAAACAAAGTTGGAATTTTATGTGAAACGTAAAGAATGGTTAGAAGGACTTTTGGAAGCTGAATCTAGAAAATTAAGCAATCAAGCACGATTTATTTTGGAAAAGATTGATGGAAAACTTGCTATAGGTAAAACTGTGAATAGGTGGTACAATTTAGTGAGTTCAATGACTTATTTATCATTAATTAACCGCGACATTATTTTACTCTAGAAAATAAGAGTAAACGCGACCTGATCGCAATGCTGAAATCAGCAAATTTTGATTCTGATCCTGTTAAAAGCTGGCAAAATAAGCAGAAATCCGTCGTTGGTAATGATTTTTTAATCTCAACTTGTTTATTGCTAAATCAGCAAGGATCTTAGTTTTACTACTTGATAATTATATTAGAAAGTGAAGAAAGCGATGCATCTGAGCAAGAAACGGACGAAGGCCCAGATTTTAATTATATATTAAATATGAACATGTGGAGTTTAACTAAAGAAAGAAAAGATGAACTCATTGCCAACAAGAACAAAAAGGTAACTTGCAAATACGCCCGTAATATTCTTTAAATATTATAATATCTGTAATGTTTTAATTGCACAATTGTAAACTGAATTTGATATCATTAAAATGTGCTTAGATTGCTGAGTATCAAACATTAAAGGAGAAAACTCCTAAAATGCTATGGCTTGAAGATATTGAAGTTTTCCTCGAAGAGCTGGAAGTGAGTTACATTAATTGATGATTTCTCTTATTATATGAATAGTTCTTCTGCCACATAGTGATGAATCTTCCCAAAAGTATAGTAGATATCAAATATACCAATATGAAATAAAACATTAAATAGGCACTTTTATAAGCCTTAACTTTAGGCAGTAAAAATTATCCGTAAAGTAAATTTAGGCATAGTAACTGCAGTTAAATTTGGGGATTAAATACTAATTTTACTTTACTCGTACCATGTCCGCCTTCTGTAACTCGAAATTTGTTCGATGGAATTCTAATTGTACTATATAATCATGGTATAACATAGCCGACTGACGTCTATGCTGAGTGTAAACTGCTATGCTAGACTTGTGCGACGAAGGTAGAAAATTGCAATTACCCTGTAGTAAGCTTGTACTTTTATATTTGTTTCTCTAATAATTTCATGAATACAGCTACTAACAAGCGAACGTGTGATAAACTCAGTGAGCCGTAGTTAGCGGGGCTTGATGTCTGAATAAGATATAAATTACATTTGAAAAACTGCAGCGTTTTTAAGGCGAAACAATACCACATCACAAAATTGCCAATTCGGTATACGTGCATTAAAATATAAACTAGACCCACAAACCCCACGTTTCCTTATAGTTAACTAATTGAAAAACATCATGCCAAATTGATATCATTTGATGATCTCACATTATTCGTTGATTGAAAATATCACATGACAGATTTCCAGTACCAGACCTTCTGCGATACAGTAATGTACTTACTAGTCCGGTACTGTACGGTGCACGTGTGCTCACAGTACATTGCTAACTGTAGTCACATTTCAATATCTCAAAACATTTATTTTAGTGCACAGGGTGTGGTATATAAATAATGTAATTAAAGAATAAGAAATTACATGCTACTCACTACTAACTGCCAAACCTTACCTGTAGACTTGAGTCATTGCACAGCCTGATGCTTTATATTATTAATTCTACAGTATTACTACTCGTATTTTAGTTACTTTCCTTCTTTCCTAATATTCCAGGAACAATTTTTTGAAAATTAAATTCTGACGTTTAAATTTCTTTCCTGCATCAGAAAATTGAGCAAAAGGAGCGAGAGGAGGAATTACTTTGCAAAGGTATTACGCCAAAAATGGGAAAGAAGACTAAAGGCCGCGTAACAAAGAAAGGCAAACAAGAACAAGCACGTAAAGATCAGCCCGTGATAAAGAAGCAAAAGGCAACAAAAGTGTCCCCATCTGATATAAAAGATGTAATTGACGACTTCGACAACATTGGCGAGGAAGATCAGTATATGATGTCGTTGGCCGATAGAATGAAATTAAAGAAAGCGAAAGCTCCTAAGCCGAAAAATAATCTTATAGAAGATGATAATTTTAGCTTGGGCAGTATCAGCGACAACGGCAGTGATGACAGCGATATTGGCGACATTGGTAATATTGTCAGTGGGCCTGCTCGTCGTACTCAGCGCGTTGCTACCAAAAAGGCCTATCGTTTCTCATCGGATGAGGAAGAAGATGATTACGGTGAAAGTAATAAACTCGATGACGATGACGCATTCACAATATCAGATGATGAGGACATTAGTTTTGCCATAGGTAATAAACGTGGAAAAAGTGCAAATATCAGTGCTCCGGCTAAAAACAAATTGACTGCACGCAAACAAGCACCTCCGGTTGAGCACGTTGAGGCTGCTAATAGGTCAGAACAACCACTTACTGAATCTGCTCCTATCTCAGATATGAATACAGCTTCAAAGTTACCTAATAGGAGAAGTTTAGATGATATTGACAAATCTGATGATGATAAGCCAGCTAAGAAAGCTAAAGTTACAGCTACTAAAAAAGCTACAAAGGCTGTAAAGAAAACCAATCCTGGTGGCCAACGAAAGCCACGTGTAACTAAACCTAAAGGAATTTCTGTCGGTAAGAAAGCTCAGGCATCGAAAAAGAAAGTGCAAGTAATCGATAGTGATAGCAATGATGATGATTTCATGCTACCACCTGTACGTGAAACAAACTCGAGCAAAGATAGCTCCAGCTCGGCAGCAAATAACACTAAGAAATTCGTGTCACTATCACCTCGGAAACAAATCAGTAATAATCAAAAAGTAAGCACTACAAGCTAATCTTATTTTCCTTATACTTATGTTTAATAGCATTTGGCTAGTGTTGTTGAATGGAAGTTAGGTATATATGAAGATGTTTATAACTGTTAATTTGCTATGCCACGATTTTTATTTTGTGCCGTTAGAATCTTTAATTCTTTCGTTTATTGTAGTATGCTATCTTAGAATAGTACTCGTCTTGATTACTTGATGCCATCATCAAATTGAAATAAGTTTTATTGGTGCAGGTAACACATTGTTAAAATTTGAATATTTATACATAATTGTAGGCAGCGGCTACCAGCAAGAAACTAACTGCGACAGCAGCTGTTAATTTCAATGAAACTAAAGGCCCGAAAAAGAAAGTTAATACGAAGGCCCCAAAATCACGGAAAGTCATTATATCTAGCGATGAAGATGAAGTAGAAATAGTTACTGCAGCTAGACCTCGTAGAACAGCAACGAAAGCTAGCTACAAGTTTGAAGATGAAGGGAGTGAAGATGATATAGCCGCTATTGATTCAGATAATAGTTGGACGGGAAGTGAGGATAATGAGGATTAGTTATATTTAGGCAAACATTGTTTATTTCTCTTCATGCCACAGCGACAATTTGTTGCTAAACGAAGCTTTAGATTAATTTAAAACAGTGTTTTGCAAAGTAAGATACTTCGTTACGTGTACAGGTTATGAAGACAATTCTACGATTATATAAGCGCTATAGTGGCTTGACCAGTTCCTATTGTAAATAACTATCTGTGAAGTTTGCCAACTCTAATTATATTTTCAACTATTTTCGTGCAGTTTAATAATTGTACTAACTACTGTATTTGTGATGCTGGTACCTTGACTGCCAAATAAACTGAATTCAATACCGAAAGGATCTTATTTTTTTTTAAATTAAACTTGATGAGATTTGATACTGTAATAGCGCAGTTAAAGCAATTATCGAATTTACTGTTAGTAATGATATCGATAATTGATAATCTTACTACATTAGCATGCATATATGTTGTCTGATCCAACCAAGCTTGCATGCTTATTCGGTTGGATCAGGCAACATATATAAATAAGTAATTTATTCCTGAAGTATGCAATCACGATGCTTTGTAGTTTACACTTTGTAATCGATTGTCTAGTTAAGTGCAAACCAATCTGGTAATGTCATGCTCATTATTAATTTAATTTACAGTTAACCCTTATAGATGTTATGCAGTAGATAATTATTTAATTTAATTTAATTCATAATTTCATATTTTGGTTACTAGTTCTTTATAGTACCTATAAGCAGAGAATTTAGAAATTACAACTGTAGAATAAACACTATGCCATTCCTTTTCCGTCAGTCAACGACTAACATGCAAATAAATAATTTCGTTTGAGGTTATTTTATTGACTTAATAAATGAAAACAAGAGTTGATTACAATTACTGTAGATCTAATATTACTACGATTCAGGTCACAGATGTAATCATGATGATAAATTCTAGTCTTGCCATCAATATGTTGCATTACCATAACAATTACTTCATTTGGAGTATTTCATCAGCTATTCATCTACTTCTACAAGTATATATGTTCTGGCTAAGCGAATAAAAGGATCAAACTTTAGTCCCATTACTAATGATTAATGCATTTTTGCCAATTTTATAGCTTTAAAGGTAATTAATAATATTACGGTCATAAATTAAAATGTACCTCTTCATGTTCTTTATCCATTCGCTGCCATGGAAATCGTCTTCCGTACCGAAAGTACATCCAGGTTGCGATGGTGATAATTAGTCCCATCGCTAGGATTATAGAACAGACTGTAATTATAACTACAACCGTTGTAGCAGGATGATCGGTTCTGGTCCCATTTCGGTATTCTAAAATAGTGAAGGATAAATATAGTAGTCGATAAGTAGGAAATAGATTTGCTATTTATACGAGTATCTTACCAAGTAGACTTACCGTTTGTAATTGCGGTTGTAGTGAAATTTCGGTCAGTTATGAGGGTCAAGGAAAACCAAGATCGAGCTATCATCCTCTCATTATGCCTAGCCGTTACGACAACCGAGTTGATATGTAAATTAGTTATCCAAACTAATCGTATTAATGTTGTGATTAGCAGCTAAAATGCTCTCATTATAATTATTAATAAACATTGAAAGAGATTACTTACGATACAAATAATGTTATTACTGTCGACCCTAGCCGTTGATCTACTTGATCATTAGCATAAAGCCTTAAATCATTGCCACGAATCTGTTGGCATGATAAAAACCAACTGCCGTTTATTTGCTGACCATAAGATAAATACATCTTCGATGATAGCCCATCAATTCGTATCTTACAATATTCTATCCAAGCGGCATCAGTCCCGATGAAATGTATATGGAGTGGAACATCACTGCCAACAGCTACATGTATGTCATTGGATTCGATTTGGAATTTATTTGGATCAACTGTAATCAAAGAGCACATTTGACAAATAGATCGATGACTTTGCAGCAATGGATGCAAACTATAAGCAAAGGTGCATTGATAGAAAGCAGCGCTCAAATCAGTTACTTTCACCATAGCTGATGATAAACCTCCATAACCAAAATCGCAATACGAGAATAAACTTTGAAATTTGCTATGGATGGATAATTGCTGCCAATCCCCAGGATGTGCACGACGGCCTAAGAAAGAAGTAAAGCGAATTCGATGACGCCTTGTACCGTTAGCGATGATTTTACCGTCGATTCTCATTGCAGTTGTTGGATAGAAATAAATTGTTGCCCCATCTAAAATATGAAGAACAGCCTTAGCATGAAGTCGAATAGATCGATAGATTAAATGAGGTCTAGTTGAATTCCAAGTTTCATCTTGATCAATATCTCTATCATGAATATGAAATTCTGGCGTGATTGGCATTAACTGTTTATCCATAGCATATGGATAAAAATCGACAACATAACCACAACGACGCTGTTGAAAATCATTAATTCGTTCGCTAATTCCAATAATATTGTGACTACCCCAATAAGAAAAGCGAGCATCAATAAAATCATGATAAGGAAGGCTTGATTCATCAGCAAATTCGTAGCGATTATGATAGTTTAATAATATGTTGTTACGGTAGGAACTTTGGCCTTCTTGATTACAAATAGTTACGCCAAGGCAAGACTTGTTGGCAACGTTTTGATCCTTAGTAACGCTTATTGCCATATTTCCCATGAATTGATTGTTATTAAATTGACTTCCATTCCATTTGCCAACTCCTTGACAGTTAACAGACATGATTGGAGCTCCTTGTGCGATATTGTGTATGATATAATTAAAATTGAATGCAACCCTTATTCCTTTAGCTAGAAAAATATCAATAACGGGATGATTGAATATATAATTATGGGATAACGTATTATTAATTACGAAAATATCTGGTCGTTGGGGCTGTATTGCTTCTTTCTGCAGCGTTAACATCCGATTTTGGCTAATATTGAAGGCTAATGTAGCTTGATTTCCTATCTGATTGCCTAGAATATTATTACGTATCCATACTTGACTGTATTGGAATTCATTTCTGCCCGATATATGAATTCCTCCTTGATTCCATCGTAATAAGCAATCGTCAATATAACTTGTTCCAATTGGATTCTGTATTTGAATGCCATAGCCATGATTCTTTTCGATTAAGCTATGCGAAATATTTAATTTTGCTTTTCGAAGCAATAAGGCATTGCCTTGAGCACCATGCAATTGACAGTATGTAAATTCGACATAATTTTTAACGATATCGATCATGTTATTACTCCCTCGAAGAAAAGAAACATAGCGAAAGAATCCATTCTGTAATACAAGCTGCCAATGGAAATGATCATGATTGTCATTTAATTTGTTTTTATAGCCTTGATTAATATTGGGCATGAAAACAATCCTTGTGTTATTATCGCCTTGTGCTTGAATGGAACCGTAAACTATCATTTTAGATTGATGATTAAATCTTACTTGGCAACCTGGTGCTATGGTTAACTGGCCAGGATACCAGACTGCAAGGTTAATTCCTGACGGAATAACATGATACTTATTCTTTAACCATCGTTCATGATTGACAATTGCATCAAAGTGATATATAACTGTAGAAGATGAAGTTGTTGCTGTTGCACTATCTGTAGCGTTGTTCAATCGAAATTGGCGAAATAAGATGGGAGGCAATTGATTATCATCGTTGAAATCATGAATTCGCTTAGCGATTTCAAGTATATCACGGCTACCCCAGTAGCAATATCTTGCATCGATATAACCTTTATCAATATGATCAATGCTTCCAACTGGATTATAATGATGATTAAATGTGATTAGTTCAAAGCTTCCATAAAAATTATTAAATATATTATTAGTTGCATTGATTACATTTTGCTGGACAAAGATGGCGGTAATAATGTCTGCAGTGTTGTAAACTATAGTATTGCGTTGAAAATATTGAATATGACTGCCAAGGTAAAGCATCCAAGATTTCTTTCCATTAACGATATTATGAGAAATGTTATTATCAGTAAATGAACTTGTACGGCTAAAACTAGCTGAGAGAAGATGATGAGGGAAAGAGATGTTATGATTTATAATAACATTATTACTAATTGTTCCTTGATCTGCGATAACTTCTATAGCTCCCATAGTGTTGCTATTAAATATATTTCGTTCAAGATGAATGTTAGCCTTTATATCGAGGCTCTTCATTCCGTAGCCACCATTATTTGCGATGCGACAATCTACTACTGCAATATTACTATTGGAACGAAGATATAGCCCATGGTTGCGGCTATTAATTATTTTAGATGAGTGGATAGTCATATTTGCTCCATGAAGAGCAATACCATTACCAAAACTATCTGTGATTGCCACATTGTTAATAATCAATTTGCTTCCTCTAGCTGTAATTGCTGCAGCATTTTCGGGAGTTTTACTTCCACCAGCATGATATAAATCTAAGTAGCTTAGCTGAGTTATTAGTGGTATGGTATTATGTATTATTATTCCTTGCCATTGCTTGCCATTAGTTCCAATAGCTACTCGTTGAAGTTGAGAACCTTGTATTATCAAACGACCATGGACAGTAATACTAATTCCTTCGGCACTAACTATCCTAGTTCCTTCTTCGATAGTTAGAATTCCTTTAGTACCAATAGTCATCGAAGACGTAATAAAATAGGGGCCTTTCTCGGCGCGCCATTTCACTTCATGATTGATTTTGGCATCGTCTTGATCAATTATACTGCCTATCATGACATCAATTAAAAAATTAATTTAACGAGGCTAATATAGCTCCGAAAATAATCTTATTGTTTATTGCTCGCTAAGCATCTTGTCCTTTACCTGACGTAGGTACAATGCAATAAAGCGGTAGATCGGTCACCTGTAGGTAGTAAACGTAATAACCAGGGCGACATTGCTGAATTATAATCTTGGTTTGATCATGTATGCATAGGTCCTGCTTATATAAGTAACTGTTTGTACTTCCTGTATAAATTTGCAGAATATGGTGTAATTTCAGTAATATAAAGATGGTGCTAGATCCAGTTCTATTTTTATACGACCGATATGTGAAGATAATTTCAAGGAATGACAGTAAAATTCCTCACGTGGTAGAAATTACATTTACTTTTATATGAAAGCTATTATGTTTTCAGTTGAAGCAATATATAATAATTTCCTGCTAATCGTCCATCCTCATATAAGAATCTAATATTATTGCAGACTAAAATTGAGGTTATAGGAATAAGTACCGGATATTTGAAGTATTTTTATATTGCTGTAGTAATGAACAATACTAACTATCGGTGAAATATTAGAATTTGGAACGCGAGAATTTCATGTAAACTATATAGAGCTTGATGTTGCTCGACCTAAGCTGAGGTTAGAAGAAGAACTGGAAATTGTACATTAAAAATTTCTTACAAGTAACGCCTTGAATGTAATAGTAGCAGTAATGTCAAGTATACTGTAATAACAATTTCGATGCACTTATTTGGAATTACCGCAGAAGTAAATATCTCACGGAAGATGTCAGAAGATTGACTGATTGACCTAAATAAAGTCTAGATACCCATGTCAGGGAATACTAAGAAGAAAAGAGACTTCTTATGAGCTAGAGGGCAGTTTTTTTTTACAATTATCGTAGTAGGTCTAATTTTGACCTGCCAATTCTAAAAGCTTCATAACTTGTAGATCACGATTTGCAGAGTATACAGACTTCATTAGATTAATTGATCAACATAACCCTAGAAGACCGTTCGCAATGTACAGTATTTGTTGAAAATAGTATACAGAATGATGCTTTAATGTCCCTCCTTACAAGTATCTATCCTCTACACTCAGAGCCAATATTAAACTTTGTTTTAGTACGGCTACATTAAAATTAAAAGTTTGATCATACTTTACAGCTACGTGTAGTGCCCCGGCTTCCTGCTCAATATCTTGTACTTACCGTTATAAGGTATTTTATCCTCTATCCATCGCCATTGATCCATCCCACAAATCGGAGCACCAATTCGATTTGAACAAGAGCTCTTAATCTTACCATCATAAGTGCCAACATCAGTTCGAATTCGAAATCGAAACCAACCGTGATTAGTATGATATTGGTTTCGGCCATATCCAATTCCTAGCTTAGCCGACGAGTTACGTTCATTTTCATGAGAGAAATCATATATAGAGTATCGATGGCATCCGTTTAATAATTCTGTAATCAAATTATAAAATCGATCAAATATCGAGTCACACGGTATGTATTTCCTGAAATCTTTTCTACTTTAATTAAGTTTGCATTCAGGATTGTAAGGTGAGTATTTAGCGAGACCACATTAAATTGGATATTTTAGAATACAAATGATTCCTCAGCTATTACAGCTCCTCATATTTTACGATGTTAACATGACAAAGCACGTGCATTTGTTGGCTGAGTTCCCTGCACTCATTTATGTGTAATTATGAATCTGTACAAGCTTATAGTTCAGTTCTTATACAAACAGGAAAAGAATAGTTATAAAGTATTGGAGTACTAGTTAGGTATATAGCATCATTATTTACCTGCTTCAACTCCTAAGAATAGGATTGCAAAAAATAGTCGAGAAATTTTACCTCCCATTTCTGTCGAAAAGCTTCCGTCTTAGAACTGGTGAGAAAAATATCGATAGAGAGGTATTTATACTTTAGGATTTTAGAAGGATCGAATGGAAAAGATGACGGTGGGTATCACACTTTAGGTGATAATTTATTACAATCCAATCTAAAAATCGCCATTTATAACTACAGCTATAGCTATTACTGACAAATTAATTTAGAGCTATGTTTTAACACCTTTCCATTGGCTCTGTAGATTACAAGATGTCAATTTCTCTCTCACACTCTTGCAATTCCATCTCCACAGCGCGAGGTGTTGGTCGTTATATTCCTTATATTGCTACTGAATAAGTTCTAGCAATAATAATTTTATCGGGAAGATATGGCTGTGTTAAGAAGAGCTAATACGTCAATCGTATAGAGACCCAATACCATGGAGCACATGTTTCATTGTAGCATATATCTGGCGAATTAATGATAATTCATTTTCGTAATTCCTGAATCGATCGCGTCATAAAGTCTTAAATCTAGCTTGTAAAGTAGCATTTAAAATCATTTATACAGTCTATTTATCAGTATATATCCGAATAAATACAACACTGTTGGCAGTTATCAAGCATTTTTTTAAGTATATGATACAGCATAAACCGCTGCAGAATAGTCGTTTGCTGACAATTATCATGTGAAAGGATTACTTTCCGCATAGGGCACTTAGAACCATTTCAGGATTGACCAAGGCTTTGGTTATTATTGATAACTTTTACTGTCTAAATAAAATTTAGCTAAGAGCTTGTAGAGCTTTAATATAACAGAATAAGGATTAAATTTAAATTAATTTGAGAGCTGATGCAAAATGACTTCAGGATTAATCAAGGCTATACTACTCATTGCCAGCTGTTATCAAACAACTAAATTCAACATGGAGTTTGTAGAGTCTTAGTGTAGCAGAATAAAGCTTAAGTTTGGTTGATTTGAGAGCAGATTCAAAGTTGCTTCAGGATTAATCAAGGCTATCCTAATTATTGCAAACTGTTAATCACATCACTTAAATTCAATAAAGAGTTTGTTGCGTCTAGAATAGCAGAGGAATGGCTAATATTGATTTAATAAGTGCAAATGCAAAGCTAGATAATGGCTTTTGTTGATAGATTTGTAATAAATTATACCGGGAATTAAAATCGATCAGGTAAGAAAGATTAAATACTGTTATCAATTAGGAGTAAAACTATGATACTTTGCTTGCTAATATTGATGATATGTAACTCTGTTGGCCAAAGGAACATTATGATTCATAGTAATATTCATGGTAACCTTCGCATTGGATAAATATGCCGCTGTGACTATTAACAGGGCAAGTAGAGATTGCTGAACTTTGAGTGCCATTATTGGTCAAGATGGGTCAAGTTTTAAAATTGACTAAATCTCCATATTTAGAGTAGTCTTGTTTTCTTGATAGCTAATTATATGCATTCTCAGCTATTTAGTCATTGAAAAATGAATTTACTAATGATCTACGGTATGTTAATACAGTACTATTAGATCAATCAATCCTGCATCGATTAATCCCTATTTCCTCATACACCGTGCGTTTTTATTTCCCAGTTTAAATCCAATTTTGCTTTTTAACCAAACGCAAAAGCATTGATCTTTGGCAGTCATTAGCACATGGATTAGTAAGAGATTTTCATACCAATCACTCGCATCAAAGGAATACCATACGGTCTGCCATAGATGATAATTGTCAGCAGGATAATATCCCCATATGTGCCTTTTGCTACCTTGACCTCTATGGTTTTGATATGCTAAAACCTGCGCAGCTGTAGGTTCATGATAGCCCATGTAAGTGTAGCAAGAGTGTTACTGACTTAATTTCGTTATAAAATTTTTTTAATTTAGCAATCTTTATACGTTATTAGCTCTTGGATACTATCGTCAAGATCACTGAAATGCTGTGGGAAAGTAGATGTTGTATTTGGTTTTTACTTGCTCCTACATATAATTGATCAAGTTATTGAAATTTCGTAGCAATTATCTTCAGTAAACTTGAATGCTTTTCATTTTATCGTTGCTAATATCGATCTAATTGCTCATACGTTCACCTAATCTTTCCCCCTAGCATAAATTACAGTTATTCAACATTTTTTCCTATTTTCTCACAGTCTAAAGAGATCTTAATTTTATATTTTATCAATCAATGATTTAACTATTAATCGATTTTCTGGATATCTTTCTTAGCTAAATAAAGTATTTAGTTAATAATTAGAATAGTAAGAGACCTGATCTTATAGTCTTATCGCGTACTTTTAGTTAGATATCAATATTAAAAGGTTTATGTTAAATCGAGGATGAAAACGTGATGACAACACTGTCTAACGTTAACATTGTCGACTGCAATCTTAGTGTTCCAAGCGTTGAGATTGGCATCGATAAACCCAAAATTAGGTGGACAGAAAATGTTGCCGGATTACATATTTATATTCCATCTATTTATGCAAAATGTCAGGTTGAGGTTCCATCTTTAGCAGAAGAAGATGAATGGACAATTGGTTGGGTGCAAGCGATGACAGCATTTCTAGCTGATAATACTTACGGCCAATCTGGTGTTTCTAGTCGTGAAGTGCCAATGCTTCGCAGTGGTCAAGTGAATGCCATCAATATTTGCAGTAATAAAGGCGAGCAACCTTGGTTTACTAAAAATGGCAATAAAAAACTAGTTTGTGGTCCAACATCGAGTAGTACGCTCCTTGAAATTAAATTCTCTGATCAGTTCATCATCGACGTCCCTTGGGATCTGCCCCATTACTGCAAAGAAGCAGCAATGGATGATAATGCTATTGATGAGGTCCTTTCAGAACCCTATCTTAGCGGCATTTATCATAACCAATCATTTATTGTATGGTTAGCTGCTCGCAATCAACAATCGAGCCAGTTATTCCCTCTAGTTACGGTTAAATGGAATTTAATATTTCATTTTGAAGTCTGTCCATTCCAAAGATTAGGTAAAAGGGCTAAGCAAATGCCACCACTCTTTTTGCAGTCGCCTCAAGTTGCGCAAAATGAAGCTATACCGCAATCGGTGATTACTGGCAGTCTATATAACGAAGCGGTATCAACGGTTTGGAGATCTCAAACCTGCAACACAGTTATATCTAAACCAAATAGCAAATGCCAAATCATGTAATAATCAACCTAGATTGCTATATCAACAAAGGTGGTCCTCTTAAATACGCGTAGGTATTGGAATAGGCTGAGAATAATTCTGTCTCAGGTTAACAATCGCAGCCTTGATTCCTTGCGGTTAAAATTGATTTTGTATACGGTGAGAATTGGCGTAGTTTATAGCGTTTGGGTAAGCCTAGAACATCAGGTATCTCTTCTTCGTTTGATGGAATACAAGGCAAGATATTTATGAAGTCTCGACGAAATATGGAAGCAATGATTGCTATATGCGTTTCTAAGTAATACATTCGTATATGAGTTTGGCAGCGTTTATTAATCTTTTTCTATGATCGTTTTTGCTTGAAGAGTTTATAAACTTGAAAAGTTTTATTACAACTTTAAATGTTGTATGATTATATTAAAGAGTGTAATGTGTACGATTCGATTACGGAAGATTTTTCTGGTCGCAATATAATTTGTAGACTCTTAGAAATTGTTTTAATTATTGATTAGAATCAAGTTTCTGTTGTCAACTAATTAAGTAACAATTCGATACAGTAAGTCAGTCTTGCAAAACTGTAGCAATATGAAACTAAATACCACCTAATCTGCTACAGCTAAGAGAAAAATGATTAACTTTATCAATATGATTACAATTTATTTTCGACGTCCAAGGAATATTTTAAAATAGTATACATTAATCTAAGGTTTTTACAACGTACAATAGGACAAATAAAGGGATTAAAACAGCTGTGTTAGTTGGTAAAATGATTTATTCAGTTTTTTCTTGCTTTGCAGCGGGTTCCTTTACATATAAATTAATAAAAGAGGTAATTTTTAGCGAGATAGTAATTTCAGATAGATTGCTATATTTCAGCTGGGATATGCAAGTCGTATTTTGTATTACATTTTAAAAATTTTACATGCAGGGTTTATTACCTCAGTATCATCGTCATTATCATCATTTGTTCGGCCACGCTTACCACGGCCTTTACCGAACCTCTTCTTATTTCCGTCCTTTCTAGTATTAACCTTTCGCTTACCTGGCAGTGAATTATATTGAGGTTTTGTAAGCAAATAAACTTTTCGTGGACACGTCAGTCTTGAAAATGATTACAACTTACGTCGTTTTTCCTTCATTTTTACTCTATCGGCATTGTATTTGATCCAGTATTGCTTTTCCTCATCATCTATATTAAAAATTGACTGAGTGAGTAGGATTGTCCAAATGTAACTGCTTGAACTATTGTATATTTAATGTCAAATATATGTAGTTAACTAACCAGCTAAAACTTTTACGGTTGACTCAACGTCACGAATGACTATTTTCCCATCATTTTTTTCTTTAACTTTTTCAATCGCACGTGTGGCGCCATCACCTTCCGTGAACCTTATGTAGCCCTAAAGTGTTACATAAAGCATTTGGTGAATTAAATGCTAACAAACGATTGATATCAGCGCACATAGTTACCTCAGTATCATTTCGGGAAAAATCTACAAAACTAATACTTTCAAATTCTCCAAAGATTTCCTACGCAAAAAATATGCATAGATAATTATAATTTGCAATCAATGAGCGTATAAATCCTTTCAAGTCATTGGCTACATTGTACGACATACCTTCAGATCTTCACGAGATGTTTGTTCTCCGACGTCCTTGAAATACATAATACAGCCCTTTTCGTAATCAGGCACTTCTTCCTATTATGCAAAATGCAGCTTTTAATCATTTCGCGCGTACATCCTGCACAATGATGAGAAGACATTATGAAATTACCTTTTCTTCTTGATCATCGTTCTCTGCGTCTTCATCGTCAGAGTTGTTCTGTTGTCTAACGGGGAATATTCCAAGATCGTGTAAATTTGACATAAGTAACAGCTAGTATCTCTTTTACTACTAACCCTCCAGCAGTAAGACGCTTTGCCAGCTTCGTTTCGGCTCTCTCTTTGCGTTTTTTCTCGTAGTAGTTCTTTCTAGTAAATGATTGCATCCAGATATTAACATCAGGGCTGTAAAATAGGTAAATCGTAAAGCAGTAACTTTTAGAAATCAATCAAACTTACTGATACAATCTTTCTAGCTCTGATTCTTGAAATGTAATGTTTTCACCGTTGACAAATTTTACAGCATCTTCTTGCTTGCAGAATTCAACAAAGATTGAGCCCTATCCGATGAAAGGGAAATTATTGTCAGTACTCGTAAGATTAGTTCCCGTAACATTCTGTTATCAAAGTTAACGCGTTGTCACACCTTAAAGTTCCTGTCCTTGTATCTTCGCATTCTAATATAATTTACCTGAGATGAAGTAAAAAAGGTAAAAATGATATAAATTTTAAGGAAGATTGGATAAATGATTAATTGTATGTAGTGCTACTTGTAAATGTCGTATTACTACTTACTTGTCCAAATGTCGTTATGAAATTTTCGATTTGTTCTAATGAGGTTTCTGGAGGAAAACCTTTCTGTAAAATTGATTAAAATGCATTATTATGTTGAGTCCAGTTTAAGGTTACCATATTTGATTATGGTCATTGCGGTACCCATATTGTACAACATGACTGGAGAACGAATACAATGTAATCTTTACAGAAATGATAATTGTATATGTTACTACCTAAGTAGGTTGTAAAAGTCACAAGTTAATTTATTCCACGCATCATAATACTGACCACGTATACAGTACGACTTTTCATATCCACCCGTTTGTCTTCAGTTACAATTTCAATTGGGTTAGCGGCACTACGTTGAAGACTCTGCCCATCTTCACTTATCTGTTAACAGTGATCGATGTGTTATCAATTACACGCACGGTAGCTACATAGAAATGTTAAAACTACAACAGATTAATCGTATGTCCAATTTATCCGGTATTGGAAAGGTATAAGTTTGAATAGAAAGTATCACGACAGAAGTTCCATTTAAATCTGAGGACTGCCGACTGTAGTAAGTATAATATTCACATAAGCAAGTCCTATTGGTATGTCATTCATTCATGGATAATTATATATAATAGCTATAATTTGCCTAGAACCACAATTTTCTTATACCTCGACGACATTGTTTGTTGATTTCTTCAAAGCTGCCATAATGACATCTGTATCCGTGGATAATGACTAAATGTTAAAGTTACAGTGGTATATTGCATTAGTCATAATATCATTCATATGATAGTTTACTCGACGCGGTATATCCTTGTTAATAAGCTTTTGGCATATCAAAAGATTTCAATTTACAAATTACCTTTAACCTGTTGAAAGTCATTAATACTGACAATGGTATCCCTATATACGTGCATAGTCATTCTGTTAAGGTGTATCAATAGCGGAGGATTTTTCCATAATTACATCCAATTAATACATTTGGCTCTATTATTGCTTAGCGATGGTAATCCATAATTATATCATGACTATATTGATCATACAAGTGATTATTTGTAAATTGCAATATCAAAACAGCATGTACATGAGTATGTAAAAGATACAGCCATTATTTTCAACGATCTTCTCCTGCAGGAAACGATCCCTTGGTAAGTTATGGTCACCAAAGTAGAACTGCATAGGAAGAGCAATAAGCAATTAGCACTTGTTTTAGTATTACATATAATAGAAGGTTTAATGAAATGGATATATTCGATTGTTAACGGGCCTGATGAGTTTTATAATAATACTAAAAGCACATCATCGCAATTCAGCTCACTATATGAGTATACATGTGATGATATTGTACGTTCATTGCTATGAGGGAATATTAAAGTGACTAAAGAGACGAGCTGTATAAAGGATAATTGATTCATTATCAAGTGCTTGTAACGGATTCAATTAGCGCAGTTATTACACCTATACGAGAATCAAAAAGGCGATGATGGATTATGTAGGCCAGATATTATCCACGTAATCGTATTAGATTCTATCTGCAGGATTCTATTTGCAGTCAATCTGTTTTTGGTACTATTTCCATAAGTTGAGGCCCAAAGCTAGTACTGATATTATCCATGTAGTCGTATTAGATTCTATCTACAGGATTCTGTTTGTAGTCAATATGTTTTTGGTACGGTAGTATTTCCGTAAGTTGAGGCTCCAAGCTAGTGCTGATATTATCCATGTAGTCGTATTAGATTCTATCTACAGGATTCTGTTTGCAGTCAATATGTTTTTGGTACTATTTCCATAAGTTGAGGCTAAATAAAAGCTAGTACTGCTTTGCCTCGACACTGGTACGGCGGCACATTGTCCATGCAAAGTGTTCTATGAACTATTGAGATATACTATACCACAGTATTCAACATCAAAAGTAACTTTGTTCGTGCTACTTCAGGAAATGGATAGGAAAGCTAGTACTGCTTGGCCTCTGCAATCGTGGAGGATACTGCACACTGTGCAGTGTCCATTCAAAGTGTTATCCATTATTTGATACCAAAGGAGTATAGGAGCTCGCTATCCAACGCATGACGAAGAGGAGGAGATTGGTAGGGCCTATTGCAAGCCTTCTTACAGGCTAAATTTAATGACCGCCTGTACTACAGAAAGGTTGCAATACAGACAGTCTATCATGGTAATCGTAGACTTGTTAAAGTTCATCAATACTGCAGTCCCAGTTATACTCTTCAAGTATATTGAGTTTCAACTATCAGTATAGTAGCCAACATAGAAACTATTCGATGATGTAGGTATCGACGCAACAATCCAATGACAAGAAGGAATATTGCATCAGCTTGTCAGCAACAACGACATTACCTCAATTTGTTTGATAATTTTCAATTCTAACTCGCTTGGCTCAGCTTCTGCCATGATGATTGATAGTGGTTGATATTGGCTTGTATGGATTGCAAGTGTGATAGTCTATCGGATTCACTGATGATCGTAACTGAATGCGATTTTGATCAGTAGCAATGGCGTTTTCCCTCTAGTAGCAAGGTTAAAATGAAGATCGGAGTGACAGTTTCGATCGACTCCGACTATCCCCCACATGGTCCATTGACTGACGGATCGAATTTTACTGGCGCACTTGCGTAGTGAAGGTTCGACCGACTGTATCAGACGGACTATAGACGGACCTTGGATTGGGAAGGGTCGTGAAATCCGAACTACAGTATGCCATTGTACAATGTGCAGTGTTAAGGTCAAAAAAGTGCTTTGACAGATAGTGTTTGAGTATGTATTTATAGACGGACAGTCAACATTTTGTTCATTCAAGGCAAGAACCAACATGGCAGCTCATTCAGGTTAAGTTAATTTTGGATAACAAGGGTGGGCAGGTCTATTTTTGAGTGTATGCTTGCAGACATACGGTATAATGATTGAAATGACCAGTAAGTCCGCTTCTCACTTTGAAAATGACCATTTCCGGTCGTCTCTTTTACTCCTGCTACGGTCGGTAATCAGCTAAGGAGGTCAAGATTAACAGACCAGACAGACAGGCCCACATGAAATTCTTGACCATAGACTGTCCTAGTTCGATCAGGAACTTCTAAAACTAATACTATTAGTGTTAGAGAAATCTCGGACACTATACAGATTTACTCAGTGTCGACTCAGTGTACTGTATAATAGCAGTCTTGAACTAGCCAGAGACTGTAGAAAAAAAGGGAGTGGAAAAAACGATTGGATTATGGATTTGAATACTCTTGTTTTCATTGCAAGCTATTGTACTGTAGTGCATCTATGCACTGTTTCTACTTTCTTATCGTTCTCTCTGTCTTCTCATGCTGTCCTTCATGTCTTACTGTAGATATCTTTATTTTCTTATTTACTCTGAGTCCTGTAGTAGGGACTACGACACTTCATAAAAGAGAAAGACCGGAAATGGTCATTGACTGTAGTAAAAATGCGCAGATCGACTGTTGACAAGTCCGTTCAAGTGTATCGTCGATCTGCAATGGTGCACTATACTATCCACGCTAGCCATCCAAATGTGAATGTATCGCTTCTTGCTCGCTCGATTTTGTACTGTAGTCTTCTTTGCCATTCGAGTAGTATGTGCTACTCCAGTCAATATACAATTGACTGGAAGTAAAAGGGGAATAAGGAAAGCTTTATTCCTAGTTAGCTAGGGGGAAAAGAAAGAAAGAAAGAAATGCGAGAGACTGCTTGAACTCTGGACTTGAGCAGCCATTACCTGCCTCACTGCCACTGGTCATTTTCTTTACAGTGTACAGTACTGTAGAAATCAACCCAGGAAATGGGACAGGTAGTACAGTATAGCGTACCATACAGATAGACGACAAGAGTGAAATGACCCACCCGCAAAAATCGTCGACCTCTTCCCGTTCGACTCCTCGATTGGACTACTGTACTGTACAGTCCGTACTCTACCGTGTGCATGCACCATTGCACACCATGGCATGGACATGCGCAAAGCTCTCTCGGCTTCTTGGGATTCAATGGGACCCACTGACGGACGCTTAAGCTCAATATTCCTTTGGATCTCCATGATCAATGGGAGATGGTGCATGCGTAGACCATGGCATGGACATGCGCACAGCTTCCTTGGCTTCTTGGGATTCAACGGGATCCGCTGACGAACGCTTTAGCCTAATATTCCTTTGGATCTCCATGATCAATGGGAAATGGTGCGCATGCACCATTGCACACCATGACCTGGACATGCGCACAGCTCCCTTGGTTTCTTGGGATTCAACGGGATCCGCTGACGGACGCTTTAGCTCAATATTCCTTTGGATCTCCATGCTCAATGGGAGATGGTGCGCATGCACCACGACATGGACATGCGCAAAGCTCCCTTGGCTTCTTGGGATTCAACGGGATCCGCTGACGGACGCTTCAGCCCAATATTCCTTTGGATCTCTATGATCGATGGGAGATGGTGCGCATGCACCATTGCACACCATGACATGGACATGCGCACAGCTCCCTTGGCTTCTTGGGATTCAACGGGATCCGCTGACGGACGCTTTAGCTCAATATTCCTTTGGATCTCCATTATCGATTTTGCTGTGGTGTTGAAATTGGCTGGCCAGCTCCTGTTGCAAGTGCTGGTGGCGATCATGGTTCAGTAGTATGTGTGCTGCAATTTATGTCGACAACTATTTAGAAGGTATGTCAACTTGTTGGTATCAATAATGAAGCAGATAGAACCCGTTGGAATGGCAAGAATTGCCATTTTGTATGCTACCTCTCCAACCCTAGACTGTATTGTCGCATAGAATATCATGTCAACGGCGGATCTACGGTCTATTTCTATACCCAAATCTCAGTAATCGCGCAAATACTTGGTGTCTATGGATACCTTCCATACTCTCCTTCGTCTACAAGTCCTTGTCGATGGCTATTTTTTTTTCCCCTCAATGCAATATCACCTAATTGTAGAGATATTCTTAACCCTTGATTGGATCAAGTTGTCCTTTTCTACTCCTTGTACAGGTATCCAAAGGCAAGGTAGTGGACGCTCAAGTCAGTACCGTCGTAGCCATGAAATGATAGTAGTTTAGGACAGCAGTCAACAACAAAGTCCTCTACCTCATGTCAACTTCTTCTATACTATTCTCTTCTTAGGCCAAGGGTATAGTAACTTGTTCTTTTCTTCCAAGATGGCCCATTCAATCCGATTAGTCCTTCATTTACTTGTAAAAAAGGAGGGAATTTATGTTACTTTACGGGGGGAGCTAGTAAGATGGAAGAGACTGTTGTATGGCGATTTTGTTGATGGTAGTCGTATACCTAGTGTGAATCTTCTTCTCCGACAAGATTCCCATGCAAGCCCAGTAGAAGCTTGTTATTTTGCTCCAATATGGCCATTCAATCCAATCAATCCTGCATTTTCTTCTCAAAGAGGAGTGGATTCATCATTCTTTACGTGTCGTAAAATTGACAATTCCATGATAGTCCTCCACCTAGTGGCAACCTTCTTCGACAATATTCTCATCTCGGTCCAATATTGGAACTTGTTACAATGGGGCTATTCAAAGAGTTCATTTCCTTGTAAAAGTAGCAGTAATTCATGTTTCTTTACTCTATACGTAGTAAAGTGCAATTGAATTGTTATGCTATGGCCTTATAGATGGTGCATCTTGTCTATTTTACTTCTTTTTCTCTCTCTTCCGCTTTGCTTGTATTAACTGTAAAAAAACAACAACAAAAAGATTGCAATAGACGATCAGTCGCTTACACAAGTAAGGAGGGAAAGGTGTTACTGATGTATGCCTGTACTAGCTTTGCCTTCATTTCTACCAATTAAAATGATTATTGGTGATAGAGACTGATGAAAATTAACACAAATTTTATTACACTTGAAAATGAGTGTGTTAAATATTCTTTACCAATGCATTTCCTGCTTTGCCAGCTGACTTTGTTGTTTCTATTGTCTTTTTTTCTAGCCATCGAGAATCTTCCCGACGAGGTACAGCGTAATATATCTCGACTTCGTGATATCGATAGCCGATTTCAGAGTAAGTACCTTTTAGATTCAATTTTTGGTATAAGCTGCCTTACAGTAGAAGATAAAAACGGCATGAAAATATGTACTGCAGTAATTCACTGCCACTGCAGACAGGATTATTTTAGGCTTTCCATAGTGCCATTGCATTGATATCAACGTTATTCCTAATTTGAATGTAAAATAGGAAACAATGATCTTGTATTAATGGCCGTCATTTAAATTAGTTTGGTAATGTTTTGGTACTTAAAAGGCTGCAAAAAGTATTCCACTACTGTAATTGGAAATAATGTAACTAATTTATGTGATCCATCGTAGCAATCAATTCCTTCTTTTTGACATGATCCAAGAAGTGTACTTTACGTTTACACCTGAACCCCGACGCACCCAATTTATCCAACAGTGCCAAAATTGCAAATAGTCAGGCATAGCTACAACTATTTGTAGGACTAATCGTTAACTTAGTACCCCTACGAGTCTATTCCTGTATTTCTTAGCGAGTTACCTAATGCTGTTATAAAGTATGTTTGAAAATATCGTATGAAAATATTCAATACATAAACTGTAGGGAAGCCTAACTACACTATTCAGATTCACTCACTCAAAAAATTAACCCATCATTTTACAGGTGTTTTAAACAACCTACAACGTTTGAATGAGAATTTCTTACTTGAAAATGACAAAAATCGACGACGAAAATACTTTCTACGGATGCAACGTTGCTTGATTGAAACTCAAGAATTTGGAGATGAGAAATTAGAAAATATATCACAAATGGTTGACCTGGTGAGATATTCGTTACTGTATCGCTAATTTATTTGACATATATTATATAGCCAATAATTTATTCTTCATAACTAAAGATTTTATAATTCTCATTAAGAGCTAAATCGACCAACATGCGTTCTATGTTTTATTGAAATGTTATGTTAAAGTTATTGTGAAATTTAATTGATTATTTTGCTTTATAATCTATGCCAACTATAGGTTGAAAATCGTAATCGACAATTAGAATTAGATGTAGAAAATGTTGAAGCTTCCAGTGAAGATGCTGGTTCTCCCCTTAATGATGGCTCTCCTGGGGAATTCCACGGTAGTTATGAAATCATTGTCAAAAATTGCAAATTTTCAACTGTTGAAAGTCTTGTTTGTATGGATAGTTATTGTCAAGACGGATGAACTCACTACGATACCCAATTTCATTTTAAGCTTATGATGTGACTTTTACTTCCAGATCAGCTTGTTATAGCTACACCAAATGAAAGTGTCAGCAAACATCCGGGAAAACGTACGTCAGACATTATACTCCTAATTATGCTGCGTTAATGTTATGAAGTTTTGATCCTGTTCTTAAACATAGACATGTATAATATTTTATGATATAGGTCATCGTCGTACTAGAAGTAGCCAAGAAAATTCTGGCAACGCGAATACAGCTAATGCTTCTAGTGAAACTTCTAACGAAAAACCACCCAAGAAAAAACCACGGACTAGAAAGTAAGCATTTAATATCAACTTCAAGGTACCCTCTCACAATATGCCGAGACTATACAGTGCTTAGTCGTGATAGCGTTAAACGAACAATAAATAAGTCTACCACATAATTTTACATATAGTGACTGTACATTAATATCAAGGGCAACTGTAACAAATTAATTGCTCATAGCATGCCAAACTGCTAACGGACATGCTATACCAACAAAATTTAAATAACTTTCGTAGCTTGGGTTACTATTGACATAATGAAAAGTCTTTCGAGTAGTCTGTAATATTTTTTATTGGGCTGTCGATATTACGACTAAATCATTAGTTTGCTCTTAATGGTTGATCTCAAAGTTCGCAATTAAAGTTTATCTTGTTTTCATAGAACGAAACCAAGTTCCCCTGTTTCTGAAGACCTGCCAATTGATCCCGATGAACCAACATATTGTCTATGTGGCCAGGTAAATGGATAGATGTTACCTATATTACCCATAGTTAGATTAATTTTTGTGATCAGCAGTTGAAGTCTAACCAAGTAGTAATAGGCTGGTAGTAACTGAAATAATACTGACAGTATAAAAACCTATTTAGCAAAATGGTAATTTTACAGATGAAAGATAGGAGTCTATTGAACTACGATCTTTGTAATATATGAATTTGTTGATATGTCCGTACTTTGTACAAGTCATAACCTTTGGGTTGTTTATTGCATTTGGATAGGTTTCTTTCGGCGAAATGATTGGCTGCGATAACGACGACGTAAGTCTTAATTATAGACCGTGTACACGTTATTTTGTCATACTTTGTTTTTTTTCACTAAATATTAAAACTGTGTACTTTTGTTGCAGTGTCCAATTGAATGGTTTCATTTTCAGTGCGTTGGTCTAAATAGTAAACCGAAGGGAAAATGGTACTGCTTGATATAGAATTCTGCGCTTACGTGTATTCATTCCTAGGTTGTAGTAATTAGCTTTTCTTTCTTTTTACCTTCAATGTGATTATTTTTCGTTACAGGTATTGCCCTAAGTGTAAAGATTCTCATGAACGTAAGCGTGGCTCTAACAGATAAACTGTTCAAGCTTATATTATTCTGAAGTTTACGTATATCCGGTATTTCTAAATGATTCGAGTAAAACTACCTATGACAGCAAAATGTATGTATTAGTAAAGTCCGATCGTACTTTACATTTAAACTATCCAGGGACGTATACACATATTAATCATACTGTCTCACATAACGTCAATATAGTTGTATGTTTCAATGCATGCAACTCGATCCTTTGGCTATTTTACAAGTTATTGTCCTCCTGTTAAATCTTTGCTTGTATTAGCAATTGGATTCTCCGCTCCTCAGTAGATTGTATTTGTGACTAGTTGGTTATACGATCCTTGACATTGTCGTACATATGATCCACACTTCCAAGTTATGTACTGTACTGTAAAACTTTCAACTTTGCTGTATAGCTTGAAAATAATATCGCAATTCAACAGTTATAATATTTATGTAATTGATTTTTATGTTGAAACAATGTGTAATAGTTACGTCTTCCATTGTATTTCCATAGCACTAATTCTTAGCTTTCGTAACAATTAATAAAGCCTTCAAACCCAAACAACGCCGTCTTGCTTCGATAAGTACATCATCAATTTGCTAAATTCTATACTTCTGCATTACTTATATACAAACATTTATTTAACGCCAAAATATACTCGCAAGGATATTCAGTTCTAAGTCAGTCACTACTGTACTGGGTTGAATACGAAGAGTACATCGTAAAGTGGTAAATATTGCTATTGTACTTGTTTCTCAATTTCACAATAATCATGCAGTATCATACTGCACAGAGCGTAATGCATTGAGCTATAATTACCGCTACGGTTTACTTTAACTATACAAAAAAGTTACCATATCCAGTCGAAGTATGGTCAATCTCTTATTTAATCTTATGTAGTGTAAGGTGCAACAAGCTCACTACACAAGTAACTTACGAATAGATCAGTTAAAATTCTGTCATCAACATACAAACTGCAAACTTGAATATGCAGAGATACATTAGTTTTTAGTATTTCCATTACCTACGAGTATACTTAGGCTCAAGACTTTAATAGAGGTAGAGAGGTATTTACATACAACAAAAGGGTTTGTAATAAAGGACATCAACATCATGGGTTCATTTTTAGTCGTCTGATTTAAAAGCACCGACGCCGATTAATAAATTTTGCCTAGTAAAGTGTACAGCACATACGGGTGTTTGCTTGGTCATGTAAGAATCAATCAAATAATTTTCAGGTTCAGACCTAAATAAACAATCATATGATGTATATATACATGAGAAAAAATTGTTTAATTAAGGTAATGCAGCTTACTTATTATCATCGACGATACAGTTTATTATTAAATTCTTTTACATACTTTGGCTTGTCTTCATTAATTTCTATATTAACCATCTCTTCGTGCTTGCTAATAATTTTCTTAAGATTCCAAAGTCTAATAGAGTAATCTTCTCCGCCTGTGTCATCAATGATTATATTATATTAGACAAAAGTCTTTTCTGTGAGCCGTAATTGCAATAAAATGTATACCTGATGCAAGGATATTGCCGTCCCTGTTAAGAACGACAGAATAAATAGCTCCAAAATGACCATTCAGATGATTTACAACAGTTCCACTTCGCAAATCCCAAATAAATATAAATTTATCGAATCCGCCAGAAATCATGTAACGACCATCGATTGAGAACGTGAGACAGTTGACCGTGGCCTATATTAATAGATCAATAGATTACAAATGACAGATCTTTCTTTACTTTTGGACCGATTAAAGATTAATGGTCATAGTTGTCATACCTTATGGCCCGTAAACAATCTTACACATTTCCCAGTAGGGATATCCCAAAGTCTACAAGAGCGATCACTCGAGCCAGTCGCGATATAATTACAGTTTGGATGAAATTGGACACACTAATACAACCGAAATTAATCACGAGCATATTAAAGCAATGTTAGTCCTTTCGATAAATTATTAACCAGTAAATAGATTAATTTGATTTACATCGACATCGGATAAGTGTCCAACAAATACGCGCAAAGGCTGTATACTGTCGGTAGTCCATAGGCGGGCCGTTCGGTCATGAGATCCAGAAACGAAATAATAGCCGCGTGGACTGCACAAATTCAATTGCGAAGCATTACTACCTTGTCGACACATAAATTTAAGCACAATAACGTTGGATATGTTAAAATTCGATCAAGAATAATACCTGAATTTTACATCCCAAACAGGATAACTGTGCCCTTTAAAGCAGACGATGCATGTGAATGTGTGTAAGCTCCAAAGACGAACTATAAAAGAGGAACATTCGTTGACATTTTTTACAACCATACTAAAAACTGTATAAATAATTTATGAACGTATTTACTTGTTCCATCTTCAGAAGCTGAAAGTAAGAAAGTCCCTTCAGGATTTATGCTAACTGCATACACTGGGCCACTATGGCCGATAAACTTGCGTGTGTCCGTAGCAGCTTTATCATCCATTATTCTTTCCATAACATCTTCTGCTTCCTTGTTGACTGATGCTAGATCTGCAGCTGATTTTACCGGCCTAAGTTTCTTACGACTAATGCTTCTGATTTGAACCGAACAATCCTCATATGCAAGACAGAGGCGAGTAGAATCTTCGGAAAGTGTTGCACAAGTGAGACTATATTTAAGAAAGAATTTACAGTCAAGCCAATGGAAAGCACTTTTATAAGGTGTTATCCTCTAGAAAGTTACCCCTTCGAGGCTCTAAAGACAGTAAAAAAGCATATTGAAGGCGATTTCAAATGGGTTCTGTCTAGCATTTCCTTTACCGCTCCTTCACGTGAAGTGATATCAGATTCTTTCCTAATCAAAAGGTAAACATACGCTGCTTGAGCAAAGCTGTAGTAATAATTAAGAACTAATATAGATTTAGACCTACATTTCAGGGAAAGGAACGCGATCAGCAGGAGGCGCATTAGGATTGTTACTAACTTTTTTCCGCTTTGCTGGTAAGAGTCGAAAATTAAATAATATATTACCTCACATACATGAAATCGTTAAGCAAGACCATTAATACATTGAAGGATAAAGTTATTAGATTTACCAGCCGAGCCGGAATCTTTTTTCAGCTTTTTCTTCTGAAAATGTTGAAGTTTTGCAAGTGTTACAATCGATGTCCAAATAATCGAAAACAGTTCCATTTTACCTTTGGTCGTTTATCGTCATCTTCTTCGCTATCATTTTCAATATCTAACATTGTAGAAATATCTAATTCCTTCGGAATCCCAAATAGAACCTTTGCCTTGTTTGCTGTAAAGTATTTTAAGATACGTTAGATGTTTGTTTGACTATAAAAAAGTTTACTCCAAGGATATTACAGAGTTGTAAATGCTATAAGCAACATAGTCTAACCATTATTGCGAACTTCTCCTGTCAGGGCGCCTGCCGTCTGAGCAATTTGGGATTTCTGCCTAGGGTATCCACTAACCACTAATGGTAAGGCCAAATAGTGCATGATGTTCAATGTAATTGATAGATATTACGTGTTATATTTGGATATTTATGACACGGTATGCTAACAAATCATTACCTTCTATATATAAGGATTGATTGATAATATTTGACAGTAAAGTAAGTTTATTCTCCTAAAGGTATAGAAAAAATGATAATTATATAAGCCTGGATAATCGTAAAGCGAATGGGAAAAAGGTCAATCAATACCATTAAAAAGTCTTTTAGTTTTTGATTGGAATCTCTTGACATTTTAACAACAAAATCGGACGTTCTACAAATCATAGCGTGAATATATTGACATTTAACTTTGAACTATCCAGTAATTCCCAAAAAATATTTTCAGTGACGAGATATTACCTAAAATCTTTGATTACTTCATTTTTTAGCATGTCTTCTTTACTATTAATAGTCTTTAATCGGTTTATATCTTCTTGATAGTAATCTTCTTGAGTAGGTCCGAACTTCTTTAGAAAGGTGCGCGCTAAAATGTGAATAGAAATTCGTCCAGCACAAGCATAAGAATTAAGTTTCAATTCGTAAAAGTATATCAAATCATTTATAGTATTCTACAGTAACGGAGTTATACACAATACTACATGGTTACAAAGTGAACGTTGTTCAATTTAGTCCAACATTAGTATCATTTCTCACCTAAATTTTGACGGTCTTTGTAAATTATTTCCAGATACAGGTGGACAAACATCGGGAACATGACCTGAGCTAATTCATACTATGACAAGTAAATAATCTTGTAAATATATGCTATATGACTTTCAATGGAAGTTATGAAATTTATGTAAAGATGGGTATCGCAATAATTTGATTTGGTACACTCTTATGGGAACCTTATAAGGATCCAAGGAATTGTAAACAAAATCTTGCAAGCTAAATAAAAGAAACCAGTAGCCCAACATTACATTAGATACAGTAAGAAGAGTGTCCATGGAATAAAGGTTCGGTAAAAAATTTATCAGATTTCATTCTAGTTCAAGATTTGTTTCACTGACCTCTCATAAAATCCAGCATAATTCTCTGGATTAGCATCACTGCAATAAATAAGTAAAGATATTTAGGCCTTTAGCATTGATAAAACTGCGTTGGCTAAATTGAATGAAGGTAGACTGAAGCATTTTCATGCATAATCAAAAGATATTTTTAAGAAGAATTAATCGGTTAGTATAGTACTGTAGTGAAGCTATCTTTCATGCTAACAAACTGTATTCAGCTAAGATAATTTTTTACCTGTTATAAGTTGCTAGTAAGTTGGCCAAGTCGGTCTCTTTATCGTTTGATTTTGAGTCTAATAGTGCTTTGGCATTTAACGATTGATTATCCTTTCGCAATTCTTCGTAGAATGCGCGTTCTGTTTCCTAATTATGTAAAATAACAGTTGCATTAGGGTTTTCTGGAGTTGATGTCTATCACCGCAAAATGCGTACTTCAAATATTGATTTGCTTCTTTTCATAGTGCTATATTATTAGTATTATAAAAGCGAGTATAGTAGGATAAATGTTAATTAAGGTTACAGACGTTGGAAGATAATGCATAAACAAGCTGAAATGTAAAATTCTAGTCGATTTATTGTACAATATGTTATGATTACTGGAGTTGCACAATTTAATTCTAATCCAATATGTAATGAAATGATTCAAGATTGAAGAAGAATCTTTAGTAGGAATTAATGGCAAGGAAATACCTTGATATACGTCGATTGGTATGAGCTTATAGCTGTATTATATAACGGCAATGAACTTTTTATACTATTGGCGATTATCAACATATGTATAATGTTGTAAAATGGAATAAATGGCTCTACAATACAACTTACAATTAATTTATTTCTCTTGAGAAAGAGTAAGATACCCGATAATATCTTTTCATCGACATTTAATTCTTTCGTCGTCTTATCGTCGGTGTTTTTGTGATCAACATCCATCATAATGATCGTCTTTAGCAGGGTTGTCAGTGGATTTTTGAAGATGTCACAGTAAGGATGGTCGAATACGTATAACACTTGTCCTAGCTGTTATTGAGCAAATAAAAGCGATTATTACAATTTAGTACACCATTACAGTACTAATAAACTAGTCTAGTTTGTCATTGATAAGATAACGTGATGCATTGGCAGCCTATTTCAATCCTATTCTAACATAACATTGTCCCTGGTTATTCTACGTAACAAGCAACGGTACATCATCATCAATAATCCAATAGGTAGATGTAGAATAACAAAGATTTCCGACCAATACAGCAATAACATTCTCCTACAGTAAATTGTATGATGCCAAGAAAAGAGGATCAGCCTATGCTTTGCAAATATGGCATTATGATGGTATTACATTCAACTGGATACCACGCTGATTTGCAATAGCGTGTAGCGATCGATCCTATCGACTTCCTATTGAATCAATCAACACGATAATACTCTCGAGCTAGTTGGGATGATCAATCGATGATATCGCAAGCAAGTCTGCAGAAGATTTCGGGCATTCCTATTGCCTCTCGAGCCATGCGATCATGCATCGATGACTACAGTAGAAGACTGCTTGGATCATGACTGTCCCGATGGATTGGACGACAAAGAAAGATGAAGACGCATAATTTCAATGACTACTAGTCCCATTTCTATTCAATCTTACAATGATGGTAAAGGGGTGATCATGTCCTGCCAATCTTCACCCGTTTATTTCATTAATTTTCGGTTTATAAGAGAGAGAAAGAAGCTGCAAGCTAAGCAATCAGTCGCTACCAGGACTTGTCGATTTGAAGGATCCAGGCGCTACTTTATGCTTCTCCAGCCCGCAGGACCGCTTCTAGTCCTCATCTTGATCAATCATTGTGCTATACAGTACAGTGTATTGTAGGGTTAGGATACGTACTGTAGCGGACTGGACTGTACACTGTACTGTGGGTGATACAGTCAGTACAGTACTGTACAGTCGTACTGTACACTGTACAGTGTACAGTATACTGTACTGTATACAGTGTACTGTACTGTATATAATACTTTACAGTACAGTATGCTGTACTGTAAAGTATACTGTACTGTATGTAATTGCTCCATACAGTATTCAAAATCATAAAGTAAGACAACAGGAAATCACTGAAACTGTACTGTAAAACCAACCTAAGGGCGACTGTGATGTACTGTACTATGTACTGTAGCGGCATCACGTCCGCCAGGCGTCGGTAACGAGTACGTGTATCTGTCCGACTGTAGAGCATTATTCAAAAATCATAAAGTCAGACAACAGGAAATCAGTACACAAGTGCTAGATTAAATCCATTAAATATAAAAAAAATTATATTATATCAAGAAATTGATAAAACTTATCAAGACAAAGGCGTCATTGATTATGAATCGGTCTCCGAATGACAATATCTAGATATGGATCTTAGTGAAGCGATACGAATGTATCCACCTACATATGCAGTTAATTCCTATTCATAGTATTCATCACGATCCAGACTGCTGGCCTAATCCTGAGCAATTTAGACTAAAACAATTTACACCCGAAGAAAAACAGGCTCGCAATCCATCGTGTTATATGCCATTCGGTATGGGTCGTCGAAACTGTATCCGAATGAGATATACAATATCATTGTTTAGAGCCCTGTATACTGTACTAGAAGAGTAAAAAAGGCTCTATTAGGCTTTATAGCACAAGCAGTTTTGAATTCTACATCTATTAACCTGATTTAAAAGTATTGTAGGCAATTGAAATTATTTAAGATATCTCATATTTAGTAGTTCCTTATTGAAATACTGTAGTACAAATAAGTACAAGTACAATCCACCAGTAAAACGGCTTATAGCCTACAGTATAGGATCATGTTCCTCCTAATAAGGTAGCTGAGAAGGTCAAACGGAACGTGACGGAAATGGGACGGAATTCCTAATTTGTGGAACGTACTGTAGTACGTACAGTACAGTGCTGTACTAATTTGAATGAATACTGTACAGTATGGAACACTTACAATAAATGTACAGTACAGTACAGCACAGTACAGTAGTAAATGCTCACAGACTGTACGGTACAGTGTATTGTACTGTAGGATGACATCACTACTTAACTACTTAACAGCAATCCAAATAATTTCTGCAAATTTTAGATAGACTTGGACACAGCATATTTATAAGATTTATTGACAACATACTCACCTACTGTACCGCACCTGTATACGAGTTGGATTCAAACCAATGTGAAGTGTTGAAACTTAAAAGTCAAATTTAATCACCTAGTTGATGTGAAATGGAACAAATCAGTAAAACCTTCGATGGCAATGCCTTGGTATCTACTGGGACACTGGCTATTATCGCCGTGACCTGTGCTGTCTATCTATTCTATACTAGCTATGTCATCCCTTTGAAATTATTCTCCAAGTCGGGTATTAAAGGACCTCCACCCACATTAATTGTGGGCAATCTATCTGAATTTAGAAAGGGCTTACATGATAGCCTGGTGAATAACCGACGAAAGTATGGAAAAGTATTTGGTACTTTCTTAGGGACACAACCGACGTTATGGGTAGGAGATGTCGATATTCTCAAAATCATTATGGTCAAAGAATTCCATCAATTCCCTGATCGAGTGGCATTAACAAAGACTTTACCTTATCCTATCAAACACAGCGTTCTATTTGCTAGAGGTGAGGATTGGAAACGAATCAGGAGCATCTTAACAGCAACATTTAGCGCATCGAAATTGAAACAAATTTTTTATATAGTCGAGAGTGCGTGTAACAGATGCGTAGAGAAGTTAGAAGCTCTTAGTGAAAATGAAGAAATCGCTGACATGAAAGTTATTTACGGTAACTTAACTATGGAAGTAATCGTAGCATCAGCATTCGGAGTTCAACTTGAAAACGATCCTCGTGCAAGTAAATTAATTAACTATGCTAACAAAATATTTAATTCCGTACCCACAATACAACTCATTGTAGCTTTAATACCATCTTTTCAACCATTCTTTCGATTTTTTTTCCGAGAGCGACAAGAATCGACTACTTATATAGCCAATACTGTAAAGGGAATTATACGTGAGCGTCGCGAATCCCTAAAGAACGGAACTCGTTGCAATCGAGATCTTCTTCAGTTAATGATCGAAGCTTCTGAAGATGGCAAAATGAGCGATGATGAGATCGTCGGTCAAGCATATATCTTCCTTATTGCCGGTTATGAAACCACTGCTAATACATTAACTTATGCAACATACTTATTAGCAAATCATCCTGAAGTACAAGATAAGTTATATAAAGAAATTGATAAAACATATCAAGACAAAGGTGTAATCGATTACGAATCGGTGTCCGAGTTACAATATCTAGACATGGTTCTTAGTGAAACACTACGCATATATCCACCGGCCCATGCAGTTAATCGGGGTGTTAGCAAAGATGTTACTATTAACGGCGTTAAACTTCTAAAATCAGTACCTGTTGGAATTCCTATTTACGGTATTCATCACGATCCAGACTACTGGCCTAATCCTGAGCAATTTAGACCAGAACGATTTACACCCGAAGAAAAACAAGCTCGTAATCCATCGTGTTATATGCCATTCGGTATGGGTCCTCGAAACTGTATCGGGATGAGATTAGCTTTAATTGAAGCAAAATTAGCTTTAGCAAAGGTAGTAAAAGCTGTAGAATTTAGTGCGATAGATAAAACAGAGATTCCTTTGAAACTGAAAGCAGGCGTAACGCTATCACCGGCTAACCCAGTATATGTCGGAATTAAGAAGAGATTATAGATTAATTACATATTATCAGTACAACTATTATGCGTTAGAGCATTACATGTTGTACTATAACTGGTATATATGGTATATTCTCTATAACTGGTATATATGGTAGTTCCGATTAATTAGTTACTATCACTAATATATCTAATTAGCTAATTGAGTCCAGACTGTTATGATTACGATCAGCTGACGCTGCTGTAGGTTGTAGACTGTATTGTATGTTTTAATAACCATTATTTTTTATCGAATTCAGAGCTAGTATAATTGATGATAATACTTTATCAAAAGCCCTCCAAATATTACACTGGTAATATACGGAAATATAGTCTTCAATATTTGAGCTTTTCAATAAAAATAATGTTAAACATTGCGTATAAGGGCTCCAGGTTGATGGCTAACTATAATTAATTATTCGATATACACGTTTATGCAATATTTAATATTTTACTAGAAGTTGCTATGTTAATGCAAGACTGTATGCACTATATAGGCAGTAGAACAGTATTGCTAGTAAAACCAATCGCAACACTTTAGCTTCCATATACATTATTTCGTACTGGAAAGAGTAAAAGAGCTCTAAAATTAGGCTTTATTGCACGAGTAGTATTGAATCCTACATCTAGAAACTCTAAGCTGATTTAAATTAGGTATTAATTATTATTAAATTATTCAAGATATCTATGCAAAATATTTTAACAGTTCCTTTCTCGCAATAGTATATAAATCGCTATGCATTGATTATACTGTACGATAATATAAAACTGAAATATTTATACTGTATAGAATACTATACGTATTACTTTGTCCCGATCACCTTCGTTCTGACCATATCATAATGTATACATTATTTTGGATATCTGTTATATGTTAAAGCTTAGTCTTAGCAGATCTCAGGCTATTTCTAAATGTACAGTATCTGTCTCAGAAATCCCTGACAGGCCTGACAGCGTGAGCCTTTCGCGAAACGCTGACTCTTCCGTTCATGAGGACTGTAGAATTTTTTCCTTTTACCTCTACTAGCTCATTACCCGCCACCTTACTGACGGTAACCCCAACCTAACAGTATTCATAATTAACAGTTATAGAAGATCGTAGATGCTATTTAAATTAGTACCAGTGATTTAGAAAACAGACACGGAAGATCCATACTAACTATAAGTAGCCATTTTTACTGTCTCATTTGGTAAGAAACGTCCGTCTGCCCGAGGGATACTATAATAGTCCAGAACAGTACTGTACACTTCCTCTTAAACATTGCACAGAACATACAGCACAGTACAGTACCGTATACGGTTCAGAAACGGTGATGCTGGCCAAGTTAGAACTCGAATTTTTTTGCCTCTACCTGCTGCATACAAGCAAAGAAATCAAATTTAATCACCTTGTTGATGTGAATGGAACAAATCAGTAAAACCTTCGATGGCAATGCCTTCATGTCTACTTGGACGTTGGCTATTATCGCCGTGACCTGTGCTGTCTATCTATTCTATACTAGCTATGTTTCCCCTTTTAAGTTATTCTCTAAGTCGGGTATTAAAGGACCTCCACCCACATTAATTGTGGGCAATCTATCTGAATTTAGAAAGGGCTTACATGATAGTCTGGTGAATAACCGACAAAAGTATGGAAAAGTATTTGGTACTTTCTTAGGGACACAACCGATGTTATGGATAGGAGATGTCGATATTCTCAAAATCATTATGGTCAAAGAATTCCATCAATTCCCTGATCGAGAAGCACTAATAAAGAAGTTGCCTTACCCTTTCAAACACAGCGTTCTATTTACTAGTGGTGAGGATTGGAAACGAATCAGGAGCATCTTAACAGCAACATTTAGCGCATCGAAATTGAAACAAATTTTTTATATAGTCGAGAGTGCGTGTAACAGATGCGTAGAGAAGTTGGAAGCTCTTAGTGAAAATGAAGAAATCGCTGACATGAAAGTTATTTACGGTAACTTAACTATGGAAGTAATCGCAGCATCAGCATTCGGAGTTCAACTTGAAAACGATCCTCGTGCAAGTAAATTAATTAACTATGCTAATAAAATATTTGATACCGCACCCACAATACAATTCATTTTAGTTTTAATGCCATCATTTCAACCATTCCTTCGATTTTTTCTCCGAGAGCGACAAGAATCGACTACTTATATAGCCAATACTGTAAAGGGAATTATACGTGAGCGTCGTGAATCCCTAAAGAACGGAACTCGTTGCAATCGAGATCTTCTTCAGTTAATGATCGAAGCTTCTGAAGATGGCAAAATGAGCGATGATGAGATCGTCGGTCAAGCATATATCTTCCTTATTGCCGGTTATGAAACCACTGCTAATACATTAACTTATGCAACATACTTATTAGCAAATCATCCTGAAGTACAAGATAAGTTATATAAAGAAATTGATAAAACATATCAAGACAAAGGTGTAATCGATTACGAATCGGTGTCCGAGTTACAATATCTAGACATGGTTCTTAGTGAAACACTACGCATATATCCACCGGCCCATGCAGTTAATCGGGGTGTTAGTAAAGATGTTACTATCAACGGCGTTAAACTTCTAAAATCAGTACCTGTTGGAATTCCTATTTATGGCATTCATCACGATCCAGACTACTGGCCTAATCCTGAGCAATTTAGACCAGAACGATTTACACCCGAAGAAAAACAAGCTCGTAATCCATCGTGTTATATGCCATTCGGTATGGGTCCTCGAAACTGTATCGGGATGAGATTAGCTTTAATTGAAGCAAAATTAGCTTTAGCAAAGGTAGTAAAAGCTGTAGAATTTAGTGCGATAGATAAAACAGAGATTCCTTTAAAACTGAAAGCAGGTGGAACATTATCACCGGCTAACCCGGTATATGTCGGAATTAAGAAGAGATTATAGATTAATTACATATTATCAGTATAACTACAGTATTATGCGTTAGAGCATTACATGTTGTACTATAACTGGTATTCTCATATGGTAGTTCCGATTAATTAGTTACTATCACTAATATATCTAATTAGTTAATTAAGTGCAGGCTGTTATGATTACGATCAGCTGACGCTGCTGTAGATTATATATTGTATATTTAGATATTTATTTCTTTATCCAATTTAGAACTAATCAATGACAACTTTAACGAAAGCCTTCCGAATATTAATTTTTAGATTTTTCAATAAAAACAATGAAAACAATGATGAACATTGCGTATAAGGGCTTCAGTTTGATCTAGGATGGCCAATTATTATAATATTCGATGTATATGCAATATTTGATATTTTGCTAGGAGTTGCTATCTCGAAGCAAAAATGTATGATTGTACATTGCCCGTTCGTCCACGCAATGTATATGCACTGTATAGATAGTAGATCAGTATTACTAGCAGAACCAATCGTAACACTTTGGCTTCGATATACCCCGTACTAGAAAGAGCAAAAGGGCTCTATTAGCCTTTATATTTATCACACGAGTAGTGTTGAATCCTATGTCTAGTAATTCTAACCCGATTTAAAGCAGGCATCAATTATTATCAAACTATTCAAGATATCTATGCAAAATATATCTCTAACAATTCCTTTATCGAAGCTAGTACATCTAGCGTAATCTACTTTGTGCTGAAAAGAGTGAAATCGCACTTTTAAATTTTACAATTAGAGCAACGTCTAATAATACCATGGGAATTCCTGCCTAGTTTAATTACGGTAGCCAATTAATTATTAAATTATGTGAATAAATATACTGTACGTACGGTGGGTGGAAAAGCTATCATTTTACCAAAGTTGCTTTCTGGAAGCAAAAGTATACACCATACTGGTATACGTGCAATAATACTCAGTGCAACGTCGTTAAAAACGTATGTGTGCAATCTGCTGCGTGCTGGAAAGAGTAGAATTGTTCTATTATGTTTAATATGAGCAGTAATAAATGTTGAATGATATATGCAGGATCTATAATCTGATATAAAGTAGCCAAGTATTAAAATGTTTAGATATATATGCAAATATACCGTCATATTTCACTAAGAGTCGTCTTCTTGAAGCAAGAATCTCCATACGTCTGGATAAAAGACCAGTTGGGGTTGTTGCACTGCTTGCACATGTAAAAGTAAGGAGCAGGACAGGTGCTCAAATAAAGACTTAACATAAAACCGTTACAGTAGTCCATTTCATTATAAAACTTTAAATGTAGATGAAGTGACAGTTGGGACGGGACTTCTCTCGATTTTTATTCAGGTAGAAGAAATCGCGAAGTCCCTGCTATCGATACTCATACTATAATTATTAGGTTGCTTAGATGCTTTTTTGTCAATATTTAAACGGTTCCAATGCTTCGGAGTTCTGGCCAGGAATGTGCTACAGTGTAGTCCATATATTATTCTATATGTCCGTTATAATGAATCAATCAACACTTTGATGTCAAATTGTCAATATTTACATTTCTTACTAGAAAGAGTGCATTGTTATTTATGCAGGCTTTTTAGAACTAATGTTGAATATCAGTAACAGGTAAAAGTTGCTATCGTGAAAACAAGAATGAACGACTTGCAGTGTAATATCAGCATTCAATTAGGAATTAGTAAGTTGAAGGAGTATCCATCTAGAGCCACTGTGCTTTCTCCTTTCTTTTTAGGTTTGATTTTGTGGTACAAACTCGCAGCTCATGTGCCTAATAACTTCAAATTACTCACAGTACATGATGTCAGAGCACCAGCACAATCTGTAACATCAGAGACTACTAGAAAAAAGAAACATAATAATACGTATTTTGCTACTGCTATAAACAAACAATTTATTTAATCGCTGATAAAATGGTGGACTTTACTAAAGGGTTATTATTTAACTGTAAAACAAAGTATCAGTTTTGCACAGGTACACAGATCACGTCAGTAATGTAATAAGCCCACTTCAGCTCAAACATGGCGATTTGCAACAGTAAATACGCATCAATGATGCATATAATAAATTAATTATAATCCATGAATGGTAGATTTTATTAAAGGGCTCATATTAGCTTTAATTGAAGCAAAATTAGCTTTAGCCAGAGCAGTACAAGCTGTAGAATTTAGTACGATAGATAAAACAGAGATTCCTTTGAAACTGAGAGCAGGTGCAACACTATCACCGGCTAACTCTGTATATGTTGGAATTAAAAAATGATGATAGATTATTTTATGTGCAATTGATAATCTGTTAACTTTTTGAAATTGCGTTGTAGTGGTCTTTGATCACTTAAAAAGTTTCCTTTTTGACGTAGCAATAGTTAATACTTGTTATTTTACTTCAATCTCTTTACAAAAGCTACTTTGATTTCTTTTCAGTGATGTCCTTAATCATAGATTGATAATAATTAATTAATACCGTGATTTATGCTAGATGAATTATCAATCTTGTATGAGGGATCTATTTAAGATATTTTTACACAGCAATAACGGAAAATTAATGCAATCATTTTTCAATCCAGTATTGTAGAGGCTATAGCTAGAGGACTGGTGGTATTGTTATCTAACTTCTAGAGAAGGATAGCCTTATAACGCTACTGTTTATTTATGGCAGTATGGAAATAAAGATGACCACTTTCCAGTAATATTGAATGCTGTTTAATTATTTTGAATAGGATGGAGAAGACCTTATTTAATAGATTGTTCACCCATATGAGTTTATTAGGCAATCTTAATACTGTAATTTTATTGATATATTTCTGCAGCGGTAATTTTAATTGTTAAAAATAATGCAAGGTATAGCATAGAAATGCTATTAATTTCAATAAGCTGATAACAACTAAAAGTAGAACTGTGATATAAATTTAAACTTACATAAGCAGGTACTAACTTTCTTGCCATATCTTAATGAAGCTCATTGAAAATTTATAATGTTACTCGTACGTATATCGAACTGCAATAATTGTCTGGATTTAGTAACGAATGCGTATATTATTCATCTTAATTGCACCGTGAATTGACTTGTATGCAAATGTGCAATACAGTATTTACGTGCTTCCGTAACAGGTTAGACTGTATCTTGTATGGACAATATTGCAGCAAGTTCTATTTTATTGTTATTGAACAGTTTGTATCTTCATTTTCCATTAAAATTTCGTTGCTTACAATAAACACACAGTAAATTAAACACGATTCAAGTTATAGCAGGTTACAGTCGACATCACAATAATGATGTGTGTAAGTATTAAGATTGGTATTGTCATTCGGCTATTTTAGTATATCAATTTCCCTATTTGAAAACTTTCGCTCTCATTAGAGTTTGATAGTTTGGACAAGGCAAGAAAGAAATAGTTGCAATACGTCTCTATGTCTTTAACATGGATTGTTATATATTGTGATAGGTATATAAATGTGGGGCATTCAATATAGCGTTTTAAATAATATTCCATATTAGCTCAAGCCATCAACTACATTAATTAGTTAGACTTCATTTAAAAATGTGTACATTACACATAACGTCACAGCAAAGCAATCACTTCAATTATTGATAATAATTTTTATATGCGCACGTTGAATTTCAGGATAATTTATGCTGATATCAATGTTGAGAAATAGGATACATATTCATGGCAATTAATTCCAGGTTGTATCGTGTTGCAGTTTCTGCAACGACACCACATTAATGAACTGATTAGAATAAAATTAAAATTACTATATGGGTTATGATAGGATAATTTTATGCAGAATATTTAAAAAATGAAAAAGCAGAATATACTACTTAGGAAAATTTATTTATTATTAATTTACTGTATTTCATTTAGCGTAAAATGATATCAATTTTAAGGTGAGTAATCCTGGACGCAATGATATATATGTAGCAAAACTATATAATATGAATAGGAAATTAATTTGCCACTTGAAAATTCTTTAACGGTTATATATGGATGCAAGCTAACTTATTCCCCATACCGCAAGTTTGCAGTGGAGAATAATCAACCACTAACAGTTATTAGTGTAGTTATGCCAGCGTAAATATCGAATTTGCGCCATGGTTAAGGATATTATTGCAATGATTTAATTAATTAACTAGCACTAGAATTTGCTTTTAACTTTCTTCTGTTTCGTACTTTAGATAATATTTCATATGCTTTATTGATTTCGATACTTTTCTGTTCTGATTCTCTTAAATTGTTTGGGTTTTTATCTGGGTGCCATTTTAAAATTAATTTTTTATATTGCCGTCGAATTTCAGCATCGGTCGCTTGCATACTCAATCCCAACACCTTCAAGGCATTCGATTCACCCTCAGGATCTAATGCTTTGTTAAGTTCTATCCAAACATGCCACCATCCATTTTGCTTTCCTTCTTGATAAATTGCGTATAGCACTTCCTTAAATTCTAGCCATAACGGTGACGAAAAGAAATGATCTACAGCATCCTTGACCTTGATACGTTCACCATCTTCTGAGGTAACTTCACCATGATGATAGATCGATATAGAAATAGCAGTTATGTATAAAGTACCAGCTAAGGCTAATATTAGCCATCGTCGAAATACGCCTCGATGACACTTAAACTCATTAGGAGTTTTATATGTGGTACACATAGATGCAGCCGGGCTTGCAATTAATGCAGTCAAGAAAATAATTTGCGAATGGTTTTCATGGCCAAAACAGATAACATTAAAAAATACAGCTAGTATAGAAATATATAAAGCTGGTTTTATTGCCAGCTTATGTCGGCCAACATTGGCTACTGTAAAAATTGCAATTGCTTCTCCAATGGCCAAAAAAAGAAATGAGACGTAATAATGAAATTGATTGTCTAATGGAACGATCATGGATGTAATCAGACCGTAAACATAAGCAACACTGACTTGGGCTACTAATCGTACAAATACAAATGGCGGTCCTTTGACTTCATTTTGTTTGCGGTTACTGGCTGATCCTTTTACTTCTTTCTTTTTGCGGTTACTTGGTTTAGATGGTTTATCAAAGTCATCTTCATTTGCATCACGGACATAAGTAGGTAATCGCCAAAGATCGCGTAAACATCCAAGACCGAATAGTCCACCCAATGTCGACCAATATAGGAAAGCGTGGCGATCACGACCAAGATAGAAATGATGAAGTCCAATAATGCCTCCAAAGATTAATAATATATAAGCTATCAATAAACTCTTTTGTTTTTTAACAGCCATGATAGAGTTTATACCATGGATAACGTCGTTAATGTTATTCTGTACACGAATAGGCTATGTAAGATATTGGTGCTATGGTAATTGATAATTCCATTCAATGTGCAGATGTAGCCAAAAACTGTTTCTTTTAATAGTTCATCTGTCGTGATGATTGTTTGGTAAAGTTTTGACTCAGAGTAACTAGTCAATTTTTAGATCTTTTCCTTTTAGTGATGCGATCTTTGGTCGAATAGCTGTATACTTGCCTGTTAAGGTTGTAGTAGTAATACAATTACAGTAAATATAAAAAGAAGCCATATGTTCATATCATGGATGTACGATATCCTAAGCTGCATCAATGATATCCATCTAGATCGAAGATAAAGTTAAAGTTTCATATCAAGTCTTTTATTTGCCTAATGCAGAATTTGGTAGTTTAATAAATTGAAAAGATGATATTGATCGGCAAGAAGATCTACTGGAAGTAATTATGCAAAGTTCTACGTCTGCACCACAAACAGACAAATATGCGTTATCATTACTTAACAGATTCTGTGCTCAATATTCGCCTATATGACCACATCAGTTTTCGATGGTATGATTCAATCGATCCAATTTTATCATTTTCTGTCAATCTATACTCTATTTTATGAAATAAAATAATATCGGCTGCATTCTCACATACCGAGAAGCAGTCCAGTGACTACATTTGATGGTGCCAGTTGGAAGTGGAGTTTTGTTGGTAGCAGGGGGTATCTTGTATTATTACTGATGACTTTTGACGGCACTGTGAATCCCTGACGTGGCAATGGACAAATGGTCTGGATAAAAAGGAAACATTGATTCCTATTCTCTCTATTAGATATTAATACCGCTGTCATCATCCTTCTTATTATTATTATCCTTTGGCTCCTTGATAAAAGATGAAGGCAACAATATACATTGTTATTGATAACTCATTTATTTATTTATATTCTATTCAAAATGTTTTTATTCACCATAAACATGAGTGCAAATCTGATCAATGAACGAATTGCTGCATACAGGGCGACACAATCAAAGGAGTAGCAGAAGTTAGGCTATAGCATAGAGACAAGGTACTGCAGTGAAAATAATTCAATATTGCGTTTTCTATTATTTTGGCCCGCTTGATAATGATTAATTAATCTACGTAATTAGAGTTGGCTATTGACACAGCTACAATGATAAAACTGGATATTGAAATGGGCACAAGCTAATTTTACTATCATCATTGCCGATATTCCTTTTTTTCTGTTTGCATTGAACACTGCGCAATAATGGAACAAAAACTTTCATTCGATAGATATCTCGTAAGCAGGAGTTTTTATGCAGTAGAAAATAATGAAAATGGGACGACTATACCATCGCTAGGCATGGAAAGCTAGAACAACCAATGCGAGTGCTTTGAACTCCTATCAAGTTAAGCTAATGCAACAGCTCAAGACTTTTATAGACAGTCGTAAGCAAGAGCTTTCATGCAATAAAAATAAAGCAAAACAGGACTGCCATTGCTAGACATGAAAAACAAGATCACCAATGCCAACGTGAGTCCTTTGAACTCCCATCAGACTGAGCTAACGCCATATTATTTGGGTTACAGACTTTCATGCCGTAGATATGTCGTAAGCAGGAATTTTTATGCAATAAAAAAGGATGAAAACAGGACTGACATTGTTCGACATGAAAAGCTAGAGCAACTAATGCCAATGTCAGCGCTTTGAACTCATATCAGGTTGAGTTAGTGCAATATCATTGAGTTTTAGACTCTCATTCCATAGATACGGTATGTCGTAAGCAGGAGATTTTATGCTGTAGCAAAAATTTAAAATAGGACTGCTATCGCTAGACATGGAAAGCTAGTATAACCAATCTGAATGCTATAAACTCCTATCAAGTTGATTCAATGCATATGATTGAGCGAACGATTTTTCATTCTATCGATATGTCTTAAAGTAGGAGTTTTTATGTACTAGGAAAAAGTGATAATAGGATAGCCTTCGCTAGACTTGAAAAGCTAGAACAACCAAAATCGAGGCTTCAATACGATCATAAAATCAATATTTCACGTTCGACCGGGAAGCTATAGTAGGATGTCTTTTTTCTACTATAGCTACAGGATGTTAGTTCTACGTCTACAGTATACTATATGAATGAAAAATAACGCTGACAGACATTGGCAGCACTTTTACTAAAGTACTAACTTATTCTAATCCTTAGCCTCCCCAAAACCAAAAGTTATCAACTATTACTGTCTGCATTGACATTGCAATATAGTTAACAATGACACCGTCAATTAATTTCCATCGCCTTCTACTGTGGTCAATTGACAGATAGTAATTAATTAAATTAATTATGCATTTGTCGAAAAGCATGGTAATAAAATGATGACGAATAATATCGTGTTATAACATGAAACGTTTTGGAATAAAAATTGCGCTGATTACCTGCGAGTCTTTGCAACACCTGGCGTGTTCAACGGGCCTTGTAGCAGTCACTGGTTTAGTCCTGCAAGTTAAGACCCAGTGGTATTGCAAACAGGGCTAAATACACCATTCGGAACCTTTCGTCTTGTTAATAAGGAAAGAAAATTTTCTAATCGAAGCTATCCTGCTTAAAAATCGAGGTATCCGCTCTGCAAATGGCCCACCGCTATTACTGCGCAAAGCAGATTACAAAATCCGTTCTAGCTAAAACGTCGGTGTCTTATACTATTAACCTCCTCGAGTAGGGGTAGATGTAGGTTTACAAGGGTTGTCCAACTTGGCTAAAGTATGTGTCATATATCTGAATCTTAGACTTGGTTAATGTTAGTATACGAAAATACACAACAGTATGCTAATGTTGCTGCAAATGTCGTGTACTATTAACCTCCTGCAGTAGATGTAGGTCTGAGTTTACATGCGTTATCCAACTTTGCAAATATTGCTATACTGTAGATGTACGCGTACTGTACTTCTACCTTGGCATAGATGTGGATGTACGTAAATTTTCAAGCCTTGTCCAGTTAGCTAAATGGCTAAAGTATGCTAATATTGCTATCCTACGACGGGATAGATTAAACATTTATGTAACACGTCAAGTTCAAAGACTTGCAGTAGATTGTATGACCTAATAAATAAAATGGACTCACTCATTCTCTCCCTGCTCTTTGCAGTTTGCAATGGATCTACAGTAGTTTAGCAGATTTGTCTACTGGTATATAACATGAACAGTCAAAAGAGTGAAGGTTTATATAACTTTAAAAGGATACTTTTATATTATGTGCACCAGGAGTTTCTGACGAGACTATAAAAGGCTGATGCCTGAAGATTCCTTTTTAGTTCGTTAGTCGGTTAGATAGTCAACTAGTTTTCAATTGATATTTAATTGTGAAGACTATAATCTTGGGTGCCAAGATTCCTTCAGTAATAAATGATAGTAAATCTCTGACTATCTCGTCTACATCATCTGTGACGCTATAATTATACCATAGTATTCGGTTGTTGGAACTGAATTATTTGGTGATATAGCTAATCTCGCCTCTTTAAGTTAGTAAGTGGCGTTCTCCGCAAGGATTGGCGTGTGTAGACTACTTTGTCACTAGTGGTGTGTGACAGTTTACTACTTGAGTCGGTCAATTCTTTCTCATTATATTCTATATTGGTTTTGCAGCGACAAGATATATTGCAATTGATGGCAAGGTTTCATGGCTTGAGCATCAACTTTCGGTCTTAGTCGTTAAACTAATGCTAAAACGCCATCTTTATAGAGCTCTACATACTACTGTGTTTGATTTTATGGTAAACTTAACAGATATACTACTTACTTTGGTAAAGTCTTTCAAATTATATTTTGCATTGCTTTTGCATACGCACAGGGTTTATTACAGTTTTATGGCAAGGTTTTTCTTACAGCTTTAGCATCCACTTTCGGTCTTTCTGGACGAATTCATAAGGTAGCTATATTACCTTGATAGTTGAACAAACGCTAAATTAAGGCGCTATTCTTGTACATACTACTATACTGTATCGGATCTAACGATAAAATAAATAAATAACTACAGTATACTTGGGAGTCGTCCTGGCGATGCTTCTACTGTATGTCCTTGAATGATGCTTCGCTAAAAGAATAATTTCTCAAATTCATTTTTGTCCTCCTCGATCAATTTATAGAGTGAAAGTTTATTGTTTGCGTCACTAAAACATTTTCTTTAGTAATATACATATTCAGTATCATCTTTGTCAATGTTGCGATATGGGCCAGTCCAATAAAGCAGCAGACAGTGTATCAAAATTGTAGAGGATTAAGTTAAGTTAGTTAAGTTAAAGTCGATCCTAGTCTCTATCCATGATCAGTGATCTGAACCTCTAAATAACAGGTAAAATTCTAGTTAAATAGTAGCCATAGTCAAGATGATTATCTAATCATCCATCAATCGACGATATCGTGCACTAAAAGTAAAAACTTGGCATAGAACTCGGACAGTAATGTATGATTTCTGTATCTACTGGTAGTTTATTTTATAAATAAATGTAAAATCATTTGCTAATGCTTATAGTTGCACTATTCATTGCAGTTATGCGAATACATCTACTGCTAAAGTTTTGGCTACATTCAAATCATAAGGGGTTGATTATGTGTCTATCGACATACAGTACATATCTTGGCCTCGTCACTAGGATATGATTGTAATTTTATAGTCGATAACGTGCTAATAAAATCTGCGATTAAGCATGAGGATTCATGTATTGGAATAATAAGACTTTTTATGCGTACATATACAGAAAAAGATTCATAAGCTGTGTTATATCTAATGTTCTACGCCTTCAAGAGATCATCAACTACCGTACCTACAATCCTGACTCATTCAAAACAGGAATAACTAGATTGATAAATCGATAGTAAAGATCGGTTTTCATTTATAATTAATTCATCTTAGTAATTAATACAATTTTAAGCAATGATCCAATAGGCTGGCGATATGGCTTACACTATACAGTAGCTTAAGCATGATTTTGAAATGGGATACGTTCCATGTTTTCTAGTTTCTAGTTCAAAAAGGATAACGTTGCATGATTACCAAAGGAAGGTCTTGATCGCATTACAATCGATAGAGTACAGCTTGACCAAGACCTTGCTCTTGATGCACTTCCTAATCAGACCTGGAACGCATTTTTATGCCATCTTAGAGATATTGGAAAGGATAAAACTAGCACTGGATGATCACCCAAGTAAGACATGAATCGCCTTTATCGTTGTATTAATCCAATAAAAAAATGAGACTATACTCGCATCGCTGTTATGCATTTCTAATCCGAACTAGAACGGTATGTTGAATGAAAGGATAATGCTTACTGCTTTTGGATAATCACCAAAGACTTCGATTGCCTTCGATTTCGCATTTGCTGCATACCAATAATACAATTTGAAGCATTAAGATGACAACGCTCGTAGTGAATGAATTCCTTAATCGAAGCTTTAATGCTAAATCAGTTTGCTGGAAAGTATTAATTACTGTTTTTACATGATTCTACGATCCGATTTTGCATGTTATTCCAAACAGTAATGGAATTAATAGAAGTCTAACGCCATTGCTATTTATATATTTTATTTCTAAGAGAAACAGGAGTGCCCATGCTGCTGTAGGGAAAAAAAAGAATAGCAGCTACAACGTTCGGATGATCATCAAAGTAAGAATTTAATTGCATTGGTTCCTATATTTATCCCAATAATAGAGTATTAATGATGGAGTCATCAGATTCTGTAATTCCTTTCTAATCAAAGCTAGAATGCTATATTTTTTTATATAGAGAAGAATGATAAATTTTGCTGCTGTTGAATTACGCGTATAATCGCCAATATAAGCTGCTCCAATAAAAAGACGCTAATTGCCTTGCTTGCTATGTTAAAGGCCAATAATAGCATATTACGATGGCATCGTTCTTATTACTTTTTTAATCAAGTTTGGAATGTCATGCTGATTATACTAAAAATGGATAAGGTTATTATTGGATGATGATCAAAGTAAGGATTGGATTACCTTGGTTGCTATATTTATACCAAAATTGGAACGTGATAATGGCATCATTTCGAATTCCTTTGAAATTTTCAGCTGATGTAATAGAGCCTACATTAACCAATGCAATATCTAAAAAAGCAAAGACATTAACCTGAAAAATTACAGGCAAAAGGTTATGCTGCATTATGAAGATATATTAAATCATGGATATCAATGCCCAATTTTCAGTATTGTGCGACAGAACTATTGTAAAGTCAATCAAGAAAAGAATCTTTACTATTTCATAAGAATATCATTCATTTTTAATTGCCCAAGAGAATATGGACCTGATGACGTCGTCTTGAATACAAATTTCCTCTATCACTTTACAAGATGAAATTGATCTATACATCTTTAGATTTCAATTTTAGCTTGCATAAAGTATCAAGTGCAAATGATGACAATGAATTTTAAGTTGTAATATTGTATATTTTCAATATACACATCCATACTTTGGCTTTAATTCATTATTTTAATTTTTGTAACACATGAGCTTAAATGATGGCAAAGACTTCTGATTGGTAATATCATTATACACATACATGCTTAACTCCAATTCATGCTTTAGCTTGAGCAAAGTATAGAATATAGATGATGAAAATTAAATTTTAAGTAGTAATACCATGCATATTCAACATATATATTTGGGTTCCAAGTTCTCGTTTTAGCTTATACAAAGTATAGAATATAGATGATAATAATTAACTTTAGGTTATAGTATCGTACATTTTCAACATATATATGTACTTTGGTTCCTATTTATCGTTTTAGCTTGCACAAAATATAGAATGTAGATGATGGTAATTAATTTTTAGTTGCAATACCGTACATTCTCAACATGCATACTTTTGGCTCCAATTTACGTTTTAGTTTGCACAAAATATGGAATGTAGATGATGACAATTAATTTTACGTTGTAATATCATACATTTGTAACATACGAGATACATACTTTGGTTTTAATTCATCATTTTAGCTTACAAATAAAATATAGACCGGAGATGATGATATTAATTCTAAGTTGTTCTACCGTACACTATCATACCATGGTTATAACTCATCGTTTTAGCTTACACAAAGCATAGAAGGTGAATGATGATAGTTCATTTAAATCTACAATATAATACCAATTTTCAATAGTTGTACTTTGTTTTCAGTTCATTACTTTAGCTTTACAAGGTATAGAGTGTAGATGATAGTAAATTTTAAGGTCTGATACGATATATTTTCAATATTACTTGACAGAACCATTACAAAATCAATCAAAAAAAAAAGTTTCCTATTTCACGACAAGGAATATCATTCATTTTCACTTGCTCAAGACAACGTGAACCGGATGATATTAGTATAAGTACATGCATCCTCCAACATTTTATATTATGAAAATGATTTATACATAATTTACTTCCAATTCACCGTTTTAAAAATCGCAAAGTATAGAATGTTGGTGATGGTGATTCATTTTAAATTGTAATACTGAACGTTTCATTGGACATTACTTTTAATTTATCATTTTTACTTTCGCAAAGTATAGAATTTGGTTGATAGTAATTAGTACATTTTAGGTTGTAATGCCGTACACTTTCAATAGACCAATTTTAGCCTCTAATTCATTATTTTAGTTGTTATAAAGCATAGAATGTAGATAATGATAATTAACGTTAAGATCAAATACCTGCCAAATTATCCTAGTGCCATTTTATTGTTATAGACCATTACAGTATCCATTGAAATCTTTCAAAATTTAGACATAACATAGAAAGATATCGAGTTAATACGGTATTTATAATTTTAATTCTTTCCAGGAAAAAGAGCCATCAAGAAAAATTTATTCAGGGGCTGATATTGTATATCTACCGTAGTAAGGGAGACGGGATGATAATGGAATTAAAAGTAATTTTTGACTTTGGTGAGAAAGAATAACAACGTAGACAAAATTTATTAAAAGTTGCATTGGACGCTAGTAGCTACGCGAGTAAATTTCAATTCAATTTTGCCATATTTTTGATCAAGTAGCTTAAAAATGCCCAAATTGGACTTAGTTTTATTCGTCATAAACAGAATTTACATTGATTATTGCGTTGTTCCCTGGCGAGATGTCAAGAGATTTTAAATTGTTCTAGCAGTAATAATAGCCGTTGTACTAATTTCATTTCCTTCAATAGCATCCTATATTGTCTGATAAAGTAAATTTAATTAACATGGAAATTATAGTTGTGATCTTATCATATTCAGACTTTTAGGCCATTAACCGGATAATTCAAGCTCTAATTTTTTGTTATGCATATGCTATAAATGACCATCGTAGAAATGAAATCATTTTAACCGATATTGCACCTCAAAGGTATTCAAAAACGTAATCTTCATCATCTTCAGAGTCTTTATTCTCCATTTTTACATAATCGATAGTTTCTATACATGCACTGAAACGGACGCTTTTTCGTTTCGTTTTGCCATCGATTTCAGAAATTGGAGTAGAGCTCGATGAATCTAAAGAATTACTGCGCCGTTTCTGTGGTTGTTGATCATGATTGCTAAGGTTTGATGAATCCTTAGAAGTGGTTAGTGGATCAAAGTTACAATTATGGTCTTTCAGATGCTTATTTCCATCGCTAAATTTTAATTTTTTCTCTTCTCGAATCAAACCCATCACATCCCATAAACGATTTTTAAAGTGCTTACGATCACCACTAAAGCAATAACCAAATGGACTGCATATGGTCATGGATAAGCAAACCCAAGATACCACAGCAGGCATATCGCCTGGTAGAAAGTATGGCGATTGCTTTGCAAATACCACAATATACCATAAACGTAAAGGGATCCAAATTAATGACGATTTTAACATTATCGGTAGATAGAAGTGAGCACTACATTCATCGGTTACATTAATGTAGAGTTTATTCAACTGATTGCCGAAAGTATCAATCAAATAAAATAATTGCCATTTAGAAGATTTTTGTGAAGAATTTGCTCTCTTTCTCATTTTACCTGAAGCAGAAGCTAAACTATGCCGGCGTGCCTTAATCCATACTGTACTTAATATCCAACTGTAGCCAATATAGATTAATATTGCTGTTATAAAATAAGTAATTGATGTTCTCCATAATGGTTTAGATAATTGCTCAACGCGTTGATAAATATCATCCGAGATAGAATTGGGCATGAATGTCAGTAATCTATTCTTGCCTTGACTCTTCGTGCTGTTGTTATGCGCTAAAAAGATGGTCCAAATTGTAGCACAGCTGGATGTGGCATTGTGATCATCGCGAATAGGAGAGATTTCATCAATATTGGATGGTAAATGATCATCACCATAGAATGAGATACATATTGAACAAATCAGAATAACGAATGGATAGAGAATACGGCGACGAAGTAGAAAAGGCAATTGATTACGTTGAATAGTTTTCATTAAATCACCGTACTGTTCGACTGTCATACGAATAAATATACAAACGATGGCTAATGTCAGTAGAAGATCGGATAGTAATGGACATGAAGAGCATAACTGATGATTTACTAGATGTGAATTAATGATGGACGAGATCGATGTCGATAAGATCGATATAATTAAATTGGTATAAGCAATATGGCGAAAAAATTTCTTCGTAATACCAATTCGTAAGCTACGATTTTGATAAATTATCGGCGACATATATGCAGTGCCAACAGCAGTTAAGATAAAAGCAGCTGCTAATGATATTATTTGCTCATCTTTTTGATTATTGATCCACATTTTTCCGAAGAGACCAGCAATTTCCAATTCAATCCTTTGGGTATTCAACTTAATCTTGTTTGTGTTGTATGATGTTTTAGCCTTGCAGGTATTCTCTCTACACGTGAAAAATAATTCATTTACCCTTCAAGCAAACTGAAATATGGTTGATGGAAGTCCTTCCTTACATGAATAATCTTACATAGAGGCAGCATCAATGACTTTGACTAGGAAACCTATAAATCAACGGTATGAAAGGAATTTGTCTTGATACAAGGCCAAGGATTGATTGGCGCTAGTTGCTAAATCTGGAATACTATAGAGCATAACATACAATATTGTTAATGGCTTTCTATTCGTCAATGGTATCGTTTTAATTTGGATAGTTAGGGTATTTAGAAGTTACTTTTATAGAATTGTCATGGATAAATTACCCTTTTATATTCGTTATTATTATCTATATTAAGAAGTGCTGCTTTGCCATATGGTGCTACAAAATTTGTTTTTGGTCAATAGTTTGAATAGATTTAACGCTGTTAGTATCGATTTGCTGTTGTGTTTGGTAAAATATACATTTGGTAAATAAGAATGGACTGTAGGTAATAAGCAATCCAATAAACTGATAAAGCAATATCTATTAACACGGTGATAGAGTGCAATTCTAGCTTTGAAGAATGCTGATCTATAGGATAATACAACTTACTTTCAAGTAGATCAAGAACTAAGCCGCCATCATCAAGCGAAAGTGATATTATTCTTTTACTTAACAGTCATAAAACTGGAAATACTCGTGTGAAGTGAATATAGAGAAAATACTTAACTTAGATCTGCATGCAATGGTGTTAATAAACATGCGTGCGGTTGGCAGTCAAAAGTGTGAAACAACTTTACAGGTGGATTATTAATTTTTTCTTTATTAACAATTTTCTAACTAATGATGCCATTTCTTTTCACTAGATACTACGATATAATTTACACTCAATTTACCGTTAGCAAAATCTTTAACGTTTACAATGATGAAATTCTCTTCTTTATGTCAATATTCAACGATTGGTCGTTTGATTTACTCATTCAATAGCTTTATCTTCACTTCTTAGATATATAAATAGTATTAATTAACTTATTTTCATAGCAAAATAGGAACAGTTGGCTGATTGACTAGAAGTAATATCCTATAAAGAGATGGCCGATAAAAGGACTTAATCGATAGTGTGAATCAGCTGATTTTTGTGCTAAAAAATATCAATGGTTGATCAGGTGACTAGAAATGGCATTGCACTGAGAGATGTTCAATAGTAATACTGGATTGATTCTGTGAATCAACTAATTTTCACTGCAAATACGAACGGTTGATCGATTAATTAGAAACGGTATTGTATAGAGTGAAAATAAAGATAAGTACTTGATTGATGACAATAATTCAATGAGTCGTTTGCATAATAGTATGGGAGGAAAAAGTATGAATGAGTAATTTTTAATTACCTTTCGCTTCTAATGTCATCGTTTAATATAGGTTGGAAATGGTAGCAATTTATTTTATTCTATCCGTATGTTTATTGCGGGTATTATCAATCACTACAGCAATATCAAAAATCTTGTTGATCAAAGCTAGATCACTATCTGCAAGATATTGACGACCTTAATCATTAATCATGACTACCGTTCTGTGAATCCAATGTTTCTATACTATCATAGTTTAGTCTGTTACTGGAAACGATAGTACCTTCTACTTGTATATTTACTGCCTATCGTGATAGGAATATTTAAAATATTATAGATCATTGTAAAATCATTGTGTACAATTTATTGCGGACCGTGATCGACATTCTATTCGTCTCTCCCTTATTTTTTGGTTATTTTCAAGTTGACTTTATTTAATTTATTGCTAGAAATAGTAGCATCTTATTCTATCGCATGCTAATTATCTATCGTGATAATATCAAAAAATTTTGTAGATCTTTTTATCGATGTAATAAAGTCTTAATATATTTTCTATTATTATTCTTAATACTATAGTCTTTTAGTATTCTCACATTTTTGGAAACAGTAGCATCTAATTCCAATCGTATTTTTGTTATCTGTTGCGTGTATTTTCTACTATTCTTTAAACTACTATTTTGCTGGAAACAAGAAACATCTTATCCTACTCTATCATACAGTCTTATGTATATTGTCTATCGCGATAGCGATGTCCAAAATCTTCTGGATCAATTTCAACCAATGCTTAGAGAAGCTTCTATTTAAGTGAGTTGTGTCATGCTCGACATACTATAGTCCCTTACGTATTTTTTTACCATTCTTTATACCGCTATCTTTCAGCATATTGATTGCAATATTAAAGAATTTTATCATACTGGGTACTACAAACCGTAATCGCGATTGGCATCCTTTAAATCCATAGTGTATTTTCTGTGATTCTTTATACAGCTATCTTTCTGCATATTACTGGAAGCTTAGCATCTTTTCCTACTCGTATGCATATTATCTATCGCGATAGCAATATTCAAATCTTGTAGATCATTAGCGGCATTCTATAAGTCTCCTTTATATTTCTGTTATTTCTATAGCATCGTCTTTCGTTGTATTGCTGAACACTATTGCCCCTTGTTCTACTCACATATTTATTATCGATAACAATGTCGAGAATCTTGTCAATCAATGTATGCAATACTTTATAGGCAGTCATTCTTATCCACACTGTTAATAGTCCCTATGTATTTTGTTACTGTATGCACTATCGGCTTTCGGTATATTGGTGGGCATTGCAGCATGTTACTCAGCTCACATACTTATTATCTATTCTTATAGCAATATTAAGAATCTTGTCGATCAACGCTAAATCAAGGTATTCTATAGCTTGTAGATAGTCATTCTTATCGACGTTTTGATATAAACCCTTTATGTATTTCTGTTATTCTCTATCGTCTGCTAGTATTTTACTAGACATTGTGGTATGTTATTCTACTCACATGTTTATTATCTATCACGATAGCAATACCAAGACTCTTGTCAATTTAATGTACGTAATACCTTGCAGACAGTCATTCTTATCCTCTTTTTCTTTACAAGCTCTTTGTGTATTTCATTCTATATATTGGCGGACATTGTGGCATATTATTCTACTCGCACGCTTGTTATTATCTATTATCATAGCAACATTAAGAATTTTGTCGATCGACATTAAATAAATGTATTCTATAACTTGAAGAGAGGCATTCTTATCGACATTTTCTATATAGGCCCTTTATATATTTTGCTATTCTATACACTATCGTCTTTCTGCATACGTTAATTAATGGATAATCGGATATTGCTGCATGTTGTTCTTAATATATATCATGATAGCCCTATTAAAATTTTTTTCGATCGATCAATGCATGCAATATCTTGCAAATAGTTCTTGTTAACATTCTAACAGTTCGCTGTGTACTGTATTTTTGTTATTCTATATACTGTCACCTTTTGGTTTTTGCTAGACACCACACCATTTTATTCTACTCACATGCTTATGATCCATCAAGATAGCAATATCAAAAATCTTATTGATCAATTATTGCAGCATCTTGCAGATAATTATTCTTATCAACATTCTATTAGTCCGCTATCTAATTTTGTTATCCTTTAACTGTCATCTTTGGGTACATTACTGAAAGTTGTTGCATTCCATTTTATTCTATTCGCATGTGGATTATCAAAAGATAATGTCTTGCAGATCAATATTAGATAAATACAGGCGGTACCTCGTAGGTAGTAACCTTTATCGATATTCTAAAGACCATAACTGTATATAATGTAATTTTTATTGCCAGCTATTGCAGCATGATTGTTCAAGTTAATAATAAGGGTTAAAGGTAATCATATCACTGCCAAGTTTGAAGATGGCAAAATTAATAGAAAATAATAGCAGTCGTTCCATGTCAATCTAAAATAAAATACATCATTATGCTGCTTAAAATACCTAATATATGTATTCAAAGATTTATTACCAAATGTTATTGGTGGCTTTTGTTAATTTAAATATTTATTTCCCTCTTTCTTGACGTCATTGTTTTAAGATTGTAAAAGCATCAAAATGAATTAATTTTAAGAGTAATCCCATAAATCATGTAATAGTTATTCGTGGAATAGCATGGTTGTACGTGATTATAATTTAGAATTTTAAGAAGAACAGACATTATTTTCATTTTTTTATTGTATAAAAGTTAAGAATCTACGATGTTGGGTAACTGCAATGTAGAAAGCCATTTTAAAATCGTCACTTTGATATAAGATAGAGTGCGTAAATATGTAATTAAATATAGGTAGATATCAAATAATTTTTTCTGTAGTCTTAAATTTACCACATGTTATTAAACTCAGAATAACTTCTTTCTACTTAAGAAAGAATGGTTTACTGACTATTATCTTCGGAAAACCTATGTAACCCTAGATTTGTAACTATTCTCTACAATTATGATCAAATAATAATTACTTTAGAATGTTGCACGATAAACACTTACGATGATTGGACTTATTTATCATTGATGGCTAGTGCTAATCGCCTATGATTAATTATCATCACGACTTGGTAATTAATTGCTGTATTTCTCTGTTATTTATTTTTATTTATTATTTCACACTCAATACTTTTTTTTTCTAATTTGTTTTTATATCGTATCAGTACAGCCTCAGTTTTATCAATATCAGACTATAGCACTTGTATCATTAACGTGTTTATGCAAGTAATGACGATAGTTAGGAACGATATTGATTTTGTGATAATTTTGATAATATCCGATATTGGATTAAGCTATTCTTTAGAAGAAGCCTTGAGGAATGATAATAGATGTTAGAATTATGTCTGGAAAAGTTCTTGCTAGTTCTGATTGATGCCTTGGGCACCAATACTGTACGTTTATTCACATTTATAAGCCCTCTTCTGTATAACAGTATTATACTACTTAAAACAGCCGTGAGTTATCTAATTACTGAACCCTAGCGACTAAAAGGATAGAAAATAACGATGGTCAAAGCATTAGTGAAGTTTGTAAAATGCAATAGAGCCTTTCGTCATCGATCTGTTAATTAATGCTACTTTCTAGGGTAAAAGTAGACAATTAATAAGGGTCAGCTGAGTTCGAGAGCCACTACTTTGAAAAGTACTATCTTGATGATTGAAATACTGCTTAAATGCTAGAGTTAAGTTGATGAATTAGCATTCCACCTTGACAAGTAAAAGTAATAGTTCGAAATTGTGACAGAGTGATGATCAAAAAATATTTAGTACGATGAGTAAAGTCATCATTAAAGTTCCATATTTTATCCAGAAATGTGCGTGTTGTACAAGTTACTAGTACGACCACGAGATTAATTAATAATTAGTTCGCTTAAAAAATCTACAGTAAGTAAGCTTTCTAATCTAGGTACAAGAAAAATAATCCATTTCGTGTATAAAGTCAATGTAAGTCATAAGCAAGTTTGCAATAAGAAGTCTGTGGATATTAAAAAAAATTGGATCGGTCACTTTTGAATGAAAAAATTAATATACTTCGAATACTAATAATGGCAAGTACCGTATTAAGGCAAAATAGCTAGGTATAAATGCAAGAGTATGACATTTAGATTATTATAATAACATTGAAAAGTTACTGGATACTTTGTTAGAAAAGTAAAGTAAGTTTATATTCATCATTCTCGGTTTATATAGGTAGATTACTCTTTCGTTCACTCACATTACCGTTTCGATAGCCTAGCACGATATCCTATTTCACCTTTGGGTTGTCGTCTAATTCGTTGCCGTCCAATTCTGAAAGCGTTTTAAATAAAAGGGGATGGTAATTTTAATGTTTACTACAGTATACAGCAGCAGTCAAGTAAAATGGCAATTTCCTGTAATCGAGTAGACAAACGCCTACGTCTAATAGCTAAATATTTTATTAAGGTCATATAAAAAAGTTATTAGGGCGTATACAATATGCTGGAGACTTGTACTCTGTACTCTGGACGCCAGGTTACCGATTGGCTATCGGCTATCATTCTATGCGTAGCTATATTAATACTATAGATTTAAGCGTGGCTGATCAAGTAAACTATTCGCTAGACCACACTGACAGCATAGCGCAAATTAAACTGCAATATTTGCAAAATGAAACTTGAAGAGACTGAAATTTTACTGCTTCCGAAGTTAATCGATCATCTCTTGTTTGACCTAATAATCTATCCTAGCGTAGCCCTCCGCTACATTTAAGTAACTAAAATCTCATAACAACTTGCTATAATAGATTAACGGCAATCATGAATGAGTACTGAATAATTGGACAGTGTGTACACCTTTTATCTAAGCTATCTACAGTTAGTTTAATTGTATAATTATGTAGTAGGCACATTGTCATCAATTACAGCATATTAATGATGTTATAGATGTACAATTTTATCTGTGATTAGAGTTATCATGAAGGTCTGATTATTTATTTTGGTAGCTCTCAATACCATGAAAGGTATCATTCACGTCTGAAACGGATTGTAAAAGTGGAGTTTTAAAATGTTAATGTGAGGCAAAAAGCCTATGGAAACTACGCTATTCAATTACGGAAAAACACCTTTTATTCCGAATCGTCACTACTACACCTAATCTACTGGCTATAACAAGGATACGGTCTAGTTTATCATTTCAGATCATTAGATAAATTAGTACAACAATCCTTACAATCTACTCTAGGCAATTCTAATAATTACCAAATAAAGAAGAATTAATTATTATACTAGGATACTAATGCGATAGTATAACGGTGAATACTTCCAAATTAAAATTAAAAATTCCGAAATTAATTTACCAAATTAATCCATCGTAACAGGAATATTATCATTAACAATATTATGATGCAATGCATGTTCTGAATGGCATGGTACGATTGTATACAGTAATATAGTAAACCAACTAGTCAATCAATCCCGTTCTTGATTTATTTCCATATTTTATGTATGCAATATTTATTTATTAATATGTTCAATATCGGTTTGATAGTAGCTTGCTGTATCCGTATTGCTTTCCTATTTTGTGAAGCTTAGTTTAATTGAGTAGATATTATTCTGGAAGTGATAAATACCTGGTGATCAATATGCTGTTTACTTTAGCATTATTTGCCGGAATGGTGCAGCCAATCGGCAATTTGGCGACATTTTATTGAATATTGCACTGCATGATCACTGTAACATCATTCCTATACTCATTCCTCTACTTGGTATATTCTATACCGTTGTAAACTGATAAATGAGTCGGTTGAAAAGGGAGATGAATTTTTTTTACATTTTGAAACGTTTTAAATCTCATCTGGATATAAATAAGTATGCTCAAGTCTATCGAAATCAATAAGAAATCGTAAATAATAATTGATTTAGACCACTGTTTAGTTGCGCTGTTGACATGCTTACATGCGGCTGAAGAAATACACTGTGCAGTACATCTGTGTGAAAGGCGATATTTAGATTGTCCTATAGGATTAGCCGGTTAGAGAAACTACAAATGTCATTAAGGACCAGTCTACATATATCTTTCATTTTTCAGTCATTGCTGTATAACCGAAGGTAATTGAAACTCTATTGCTCACCCTAAGCAGTAAGCATGGACTGCTAGAAGTTCCATCGTTAGTTATGTAACACCCACCCGGTCAATACCTTTCATTTAATCGATATTATCAGCTCAAGAAGGCTATCTATGTTTTGTACAGCACAATCTAGATATTGTAGCTCTTGAAGGTGGCTAGTCTATCAGCAATGGTTAAAATCCCTTCGTTGTCAATGCAGCGTAGGTGATACTGTCGACAGTTGGTACGTCATGCAGAATATGCTATGATGGAATGCTAGAGTTGTACTGCCAGAGTATTCTACTTGAATCTCAATGTGGCAAGGATTAATTAGCGTATTTAGTTGCTGTATGGCGTTAAAGAAGCGGATATTTTCAGGCTAGGGGAAAGGCGCAAAATTAGCTGGTCGTAGTCCCTGCATAATACTAACATGCTAGTATTGTTCCTAACGTGCATATAAGAGGATTGCACCATTGGTATGGTAATGATCAAAATTGGCGAGTTCTATTCAACAAGAAGGTCTGAAACGGACAAATTCTCTTTTGGCTATGTAGATTCTGCTCCTGCTGGAGCATATCAAAAGATAATTGCTAATTGCTGTGCAATTAATGTACTGTATAGTAGACCATACGAGAATAGCAAAAGTTGTTTGAATCCATGGCTTACCCCCTCTCGACTGAGATGGTTGATTGTACAGTACATTGTACAGTGACTGTACACTATACTGTACAGTATTACACAATGTACTGTAGGATATTGGTGTCCTCTTTATCCATACTGGATGACAGTCGTGAATAGTGTACCATGTCAGACATAAGTCATAGTTGAAATGACCAGTGGAGAATGTAAGGATTGCTGTATAAATTTCCAAAACATTTTCAGTCAATCTTGAGATTGCTAAACTTTCTTTCTCATCATTTTTTTTCAGTAGACTACTGTAATAACATATGACCACTAATGTTAGGAATAGTATCTTGCTAATAGTAGATAATATAATCCTCCCTGATTTATTGAATCATTACTGTTGTCCATGATTTTAGGCCACTCTGTATGATACAGTACTCATGACCTTATACAGTAAGCTATAACTTCATCTTATAATAGAGAGTATATAGGATAACTGTGATGGTTTGCAACGTCATGGGTACTAAAGTGTGTTACTTTAGTCGATGATGGAAGAGTATTCTCTGTATGATACAGTACCCACCACCATATACAGTAGGCTGTAATTTATGTTTATAATGTTGGAGACTAAGAGCGGAGCATTATTTAATGGTTTAAAGGACTATTTAAGACAACGATATCCACCATTAGAAACAGTAGTGGCACTGAATAGCTCGAGTAGACTTTTGAATGGTAGGAAAATGGATTAAAAACAGGGGAAGAAAATCCCAAATCGAAAAGGTTCTCATGGACAGCAGGATATCTGGACGCGATCCTAATTTGCCGATTTCAGTGGGTGAAAGTGATAATACGCTTGCGTATAATATCCATAGCAACGTCAACAAAAGCCAGAGATCTTAAGATTGAAGAAGACAACAGTGAGTAGAAACAGAACTCTTTGCTTTACTGTACTCTATCGGCAACATAGTTTATAATAGTGTCAATACGATCAAATACATAGAAACCCACCTCAATTTCGAAATACGTACAAGAGAAATTCAGTGGACGCATAATTTTTACATTATCCTTTTGCGGTAAGTTAAGATCAAATTATGATTTAAATACTTTCACAGTTTACAAAGAAGAAGTTGGAATTTATAACACAAGCCTACTTCATCGTTAAACTACATTAACATGGAATAATACATTCATCCATCAAAGTTGATTGAATTCCACCATCATTAAAAAATAGTTTAAGACTTGCTAAATGTAGTTTATACGGGTGCCTACTTATGTCATAGCCAATGAGTTCGATCCTGAAATCCAATTGATTTTTATAAATGCGTGATGGAGTGCTAATAAACTAGAAATAAAGGTCATAATGGTGTTCTGTCTTAGTTTACAGCATGTAATAAAGATAGATTCAAAATGTCGTCGTGTGATCTATAGATTGAATTATAATTCAGTAGCATGATTCATTGACGTAATTTTCCTTAGGCAGTTTATGTAGAGTATAGGGAAGAGCTAAAATTGTGATTTATTTGCCGTAGTCATGTTATCCGAAACATAATTTCTAACTTTGAGCCTATAAGTAATTGAGATTTTTATCTATTGAAAATAGATTCAGAAATTTAAACCATCTTATATCTATAATGGGAGCTACACTCTCAAGTCGTGCTCAGTGGACATCAGCCAGCGAAGGAGCAGTTGGAAAACTTGAAATTAATCCTCAAAATGAGCAACTTCTGACTGAAATTGCAGAATTTACTGAAGTATTTCCTTCTAAATATCCGGCTGAAGCGGAGAAAATATTTAACAAGCCATTTACTTGGAATTCCAGCTTAGATCCTATCAGTTTTACCTCTCTGGATGAAATTGAAGCCAGGTTTGTTTGTAATAACGTATCGAGTAATAGTTACAGAATTGATATGATTATCAACTTATCATTACAATATTGGATATCCTTTCCATTAACTATGTATCGGTTAGTGATATGGAAGCAAAGTCGAAGGCTTGTAACGCAGCTGATGAACCACTTCTTACAGTCATTAAGGTAAGTTTCAACAATTTTGAATGTCATTAACTTGAAGCCATTGACGACACAGGAAATAGAGTATAGCAATATCTCATTGACTTTAGGATAATGATAAATGCCTCATTACTGCCGCAACTTTCGAACAATTAAGCAATGTGCTTAAATGTGCTGGAAATCGAAAACTTTCCGAAGTACAAGCATGCTTAGAAGGTATACATTAATTTATTCTCGCTTTCAAATATTGTAATGATTTTTCGATATTTACCCTATTGATCGTTTCTTAGCTAATCGCGATCCTATTAGCAATATGATGGGGCCAGCATTTGCAAGGATTGGCATTGATGATACATCTCTGGTTAAGGCTCATCAGTTGCTGGTCAGAGCCCAAAAGGAGGGAAATGAGAATGTCGAAGAAATTAATACTGCATTTAATCTCTTACTGGTGGTGAACTCTTTCGATATGAAATTAATGCAGCTGTCTTTTGATATTGTGGCAAAGTATAGATCCTTGTTTTACATATTACAATGTTATTTATAATCTAAACTGTAATGCTTAACAAACTTATTTTACTTCATTGTCGATAGGGAGATTCGATTGAGTCCCGAAGCTGTAGAGGTAAGATATATCGTGTGTAAGATTTTATCCTCTGACTAGGTCAACTACTTATCAAGACCTCAATTAATACTTTTACTTACTGTGTCAATGTTATAGAGAGACGTAAATCTCCTGAGATCATTCTCTGGTGCAGATAAAAGTTGTTTACTAAGATCTATTGAGTTTATGTCAGGTAATATAGGCTATAGAATATACTTGTACATAGGATCCATTGCTTACATCATTCACTATTATCAGATTACGTATTTGCTAATGGATGCCGTGCACCACCATGGAGGCAAGTTCATGGTGATATCGCTTATATCATCATCAAACCTTTCGATATCGATGAACAATTAGTGTTAACAGCCAATACCTCAGGCTACTATCGTAATAAGGTTAGTATTGATTGATAAGGTTTTAAAATCAAAATTAATTCTATCTTGGTGATAACTGAGACAAACATCAAGACATAACAAAATCACATACTGAAGATTGCAATTCATGTGATATAGGGAGTTTCTAACGAAGGTGAAATTGATTATACTCGCATTGGCGAAGTTTTCCCGACTTTAGTCATGTTCATGAAAGAGCAAAGTGCCCATTTTGTCTCGACAATGGGTCGACAGGTCTGTTTATCCAAATAGAGTACCTGGATAACCAAGACTTTTAACTTTATCGATCATTTCGACTTTTGTGCGACATCTGTATCTGTTATTCTAACAAAGTCATTCTATCTGTATGTGTAGGAATTTGCTTTCTTTAATAAAACTGGCAAAGATGAAGACAAAAATATTTCCAAAAATATCAACTTTGACGAAGATGAAGGAGAATCAACTCCTGCAGCTATGACTAGAGACGATACGGGTCATTTAAGGTAAATATCAAGTTAAGTAATGCCATTCCATTGTAAATATTGCAGTCCTGAATTTTTTTATTACGTTGCTAGCGGGCATACATCGCCATCAAAAAGTGTTAGCGTAATGGATCGGAGAAAGCCCACCAATACTAAGAAGAAGCCTAGGCAATCTCCTCACTTGCAGCCATCTCAAAAATGGCGAAATCTTGGCTTTGGCGAGGATAAAATAGATATTCATGGGTAAAGTCCAACTTCTGTAGATACGTACAATAATCTATATTATATTCAGATATCCAATGGCTTAATAATATTATTATACTAGCCTGAAGGACAATAAAAATCAAGGAGGAAGAAGTAAGAAATCAGGGAAATCGACAATCGCAAGTTCAAAGTAGGAATTGAACAATTTCGTTTTAAAATCATTTTTTATAGTATCATTCCATTCACTTCTATGATATAATTTTGACTTTACTGTATACTCGTACATTATATTAGTATCAAGAAGACATTATCCATTCTTAAACCGGATGAAGACTTTAGTGAAAGCTCATCAGAAAGTGAAGAAGAGGAAGATAATGCCGATCGAAGACAAGTAATATTTGCGTGTCTTATATTGCTAGCAGTCCTGATCTTTCTCGTAGCAAAGGTGATACAAGCTAATAGATTTTATTTATAAATTAGGAAACGAATGCTGATTTACCTTCGGAATATTGGCAAATTCAGAAGCTTGTCAAATACTTAAAGGTATGTAAGACGTAAGATAGCTACGATGGTGTTCATGTCTTCTGAGGGCACTGTAATACAATCTGTTTATAAATGTAAACTTATTTGTGCTAGGTCGGTAATTCCACCGCAACAGTTTTAGCTTTATGTTGCATTCGCGATTTTAATTTGGCTCAAGAAGCTTGTCAACTTGCTATTCGAAAAGTTGGTGGTCTTGAAGTACTGATTAATTTATTGGATACGGACGAAATCAAATGCAAGGTGAGAAAATATTACAAATCAGTAACATTATTTACAAAATATTTAAGCGAGACTTTTGTTCGTGTTCCTTTGATAGATTGGATCTCTGAAAATATTAAAGGATATATCAAGGAATACTCAGTTACGTCGGGCAATTGTCGATCTTGGAGGTAAGCTTATAAAATTTAGATTCAGTTGCTAATATGATTATCTTCAAAATGCATAGTAATAATTTTGACTACGTTTAAGTTACTTACATTGCATGTATTAAAATAAAATTTTTTGCTATAGGTTTACAAACTCTAGTTAAAATTCTGGATGATGACAATAAAGATTTGAAATGTTTAGCGGCAGAAACGATTGCTAATGTAGCTAAATTTCGTCGAGCTCGACGTACTGTCAGACTTTATGGAGGGATAATCAAATTGGTAAGCTTTCCATTGTGATCGCAATTTATACAGAAATTCACTTTATTTCTAGCCATGAAGTATGTGTCAATTTGAATTAAAAGAATTGAATTAATTTTTCACTGATTGATTTTATTCAGGGTTATTTACTTGATTATTGCCTTCCTTCCAAGAATTTTAATAACAATCTACAAGCAGACTCAGAGAAAGACGTCAACGTAGCACGTTGCGGTGCTTTAGCTTTATGGAGTTGTAGCAAAAGCACCAAGAATAAACAAGTACGGCTAATAAAGCACACTTAATCAACATTACTGCACTATTAACCTTTTTGTCTTTGCATAAATAGGCAATTAGGAAAGCAGGAGGCATTCCATACTTGGCTAAATTGCTTAAATCGAAAAACGAAGAGATCCTCATCCCGGTTGTGGGAACATTACAAGAGTGCGCTTCTGAGGTAACATTTCGTTGATGTTGAACTAGTTCTAATATTAATTTATTATATGCTGTTATGGCTAAATTTCCACAAATAAATAAATTATTTTTATTGTAATTTATAAAATAGAGAAGCTATCGATTAGCAATCCGTACTGAGGGAATGATTGAAGACTTGGTTAATAACCTCAATAGTGAAAACCAAGAATTGCAGATGCACTGCGCTAGTGCTATTTTCAAAGTAAGTTGATATTTTATAAGTTCAAGCTATACATGAGGAGCTATAGTAAGGGAATTATGCTTGGCATTTTAGTGTGCAGAAGAGGAAGAAACAAGAAATCTTGTTAGGCAATATGGTGGCTTAGATCCTTTAGTTCGATTATTGCAACATCGTGACAATAAAGAGTTACTAGCTGCCGCTACTGGTGCAATATGGAAATGCTCCAAGAGTCCGGAAAACGTCCTACGGTACATTTACTATCTTGCTTTTTAAGCTATACTAGCTATTTACGTATTGTATACTTTCCACAGTATTTACTAAAGTTTTCCGAATTATTTTTTAGCTTTCAGGAACTAGAAGCGATTGAAAAATTGGTGGGTCTGTTAACCGATCAGCCAGAAGAGGTAGAGTATTGAGTTTAGTGCAATGAAGTACATATTCTAACAATTTTTAATTGTTATATTTTACTAATTCTGTTTAACTAAGTAATATACTCTCTTTATCGTCTTGAATAGGTACTAATTAATGTTGTTGGAGCGTTAGGTGAATGCGCAGCGGAGCATTCCAACCAGGTTGCTATTCGTAAAGCTGGCGGAATCCCTCTGTTAGTTAACTTATTAACCGGAACCAACCAAGCTCTGCTGGTCAATGTAACTAAAGCTGTTGGAGCTTGTGCAATTGATCCTGAATGCATGTAGTAAGTGCATTAAACATAATTTTGGATATTATTACCAAATCTGATTTATGTAATTCGTCTTTATTAGCAAATTTGAAAGTTTCTGCAAATGTACACCTGTATAACTTATGACTTTGCTCTCTTCCTTTATAGTATTATTGATCGGCTAGATGGTGTACGATTGTTGTGGTCCTTGCTTAAATCTTCCAATCCAAATGTAAGTTTTAACAATGGGTTTAAAATGCTAATCTGACTTTTTGCATGATTGTCTGATAATTAATTTGCGTGTTGTCATTAGGTTCAGGCTAGCTCAGCTTGGGCAATTTGTCCATGCATTGAGAATGCTAAGGTACAGTTCGATACTTGCTTGAGTTAAAATTCATAGTAATGGTGATATACTTAGACTGAAGATATTTGTTAGTATAGTTTGTCAATTTCCAGTAGACACTGTAGAGATTACATTTTATAACTAACATGCACTTTCACATCATATAGGATGCCGGTGAAATGGTAAGATCTTTCGTTGGAGGCTTGGAATTGATTGTCAGTTTGCTGAAATCGGAAGATAAAGAAGTAAGTTTATTATTGCCAACTATATCAGCATTTGAAACATTTTTCATGACGATAATTAATATATGTAGATCAATATTGCTTGCAGAAGACAAATTGTATTTACAGTTTTCTGTACTTTGATTTACAGGTACTTGCAAGCGTTTGTGCTGCGATTGCAAATATAGCTAAGGATGAGGAGAATCTCGCTGTTATTACAGATCATGGTGTTGTCCCTATGTTAGCTAAATTGGCTACAACAGTAAGTTGTGCTAATCATTATAATTTGTAGTGAAAATTTTGCAACGCTTACTCACTAAAACTTGATCGGATTTATTACAAATAGACTGATGATCATCTTCGTCGTCATTTAGCAGAGGCAATTGCGAGGTTAGTATTTTGTAGCAGCGAAATCTTTAGTAATTATTGACTTTCACGAATTTAGAACGTAAAAGTGATATTCATAGCTCTTACTTTGTTCTTAATCATTACCTCCACTCATTCCTGTAGATGCTGTATGTGGGGCAACAATCGTGTTGCATTTGGTGCAGCTGGTGCAGTAGCACCTTTAGTCCATTATTTAAAATCGCCGTCTGCAAGTGTCCATCGCTCAACGGCTAAAGCATTGTTTCAACTCTCTAAAGATCCTAATAATTGCATTACTATGCATGAAAATGGAGTAGTTAAGGTTAACTATCCTAAAATGATTACCACGCCTTTTAAGGTGTGCCTTGAAATTAAATTAATTTTGCGACATCTTTTATTCTTGTACTTAGCTGCTAATTGATTTGGTGGGCTCGACAGATAGTACTTTACAGGAAGCATCTGCTGGTTGCATAAGTAATATACGTCGTCTTGCTTTAGCAAACGAGAAAGCTCGCAATCGATAAAGCCAGAAAGTGGATGTATTAAAGCAAATCAGACTATAGCGATGTTTATTGATAGCAAATTCAAGTATCAAGTTGGATATGCCGCTATTATTTTAATCGATATCCCTGTACAAGTAGAGTAGAAATATTTTATAATTCTACTTATGAAATAGAACATTAACGTGGACACTGCAAAATACATTACGGTGTTGTTGTAATTATGGCGATGATAATGTCATGAAATGGACGTTAATCTATGCTCGTTGATTTTAGTTTTTTATCATTATTAAATCCATCACTTCATTTAGTTACTATCGTAGACTATACCCTACTGCATTTTATCGTATACCTATGGGAATAAGACTAGTTGATGACTGTTTAATAGTTAAGAGCAGGTCTTCTGGTTGTATATTCTGATTCTATAATATTCTATGGTTTACCACTTCTGCTAGATCTGTACATTATATCTGTAGCAGTATTAAATAATTTCCTGTTCAGTTTGCCGTTGTTTTGGTATCATTAGGTATCATTTTCTTTATTGCAGAATTGGTAAAGGATTTAGAAACGGATTTACCTATTCATCTAGTATTAATCTACTACCTGCGAAAGATAATATTCTATTGCATGTACTGATTGAATATTCTAGACATATATCATGATAGGATACGTATTAGAGAGCATCTATCTGATAAATAGGATATTATTCCTAGTAAATCTCAATGTTTATAGACAGTACTTAAGAGACTGCATGCGGAAATTAAGGTAAGCTGCATGTAGCAATCTCATTGATTATTATATAATTAATCATTTTATAGCGGAACGAATACTGGTTTTCGTGTAAAGCCTAAATCACAAGTTATAATTAATAGCATCTGTAATTTTCTTACGTATATTATCCTTATCAAGCTAAATGTCAAACTGTATGTCTTAACAATAAGTGTCATGTCTTATATTCTGTTTAAAACATTGTAATTAAATCTACTAAAAATTTTAAATGCCTTTATAAATAAAATTGCACAAGTAAAATTTTGTGAAGGCGTATGTATATATATATGCGTATGATTATCTTTGCCTACGCGTAGATTCATAAGATACGATTGACTGAATCCTTCAACGGTTAAGGTTATCCAAAGTAATAATATTAGCAGCAATATGAAAAGAGAAATTAAGAAGTTAAATAGAAGCAATTATGGTACTTTGATATAGCAGGAGGTTGTGCAATAACAGAGAAGCTAGAGATTGTAGCAAGAATTGCTGATGAGACAGCTTATACCAAGTATCGCTCGCAATTTCAAACTCTGAATGGGGGTATACGAAAGCCTACTGAAGTTGTCTATATAACCATTAACGGGTAAGATAAATATACTGATTGATAGAACAACGGTTGATGACCGGACCATCGACGATGGATAACGAAACTGTCTACAGTACATACCGATTAAAGGGTATAAGATTGTGTACTAATTGATGGAGCTAGGGTTCACGACAGGACATTCTACGATGGATAACTTATCGAAGATATAACGGCAGTCTAATGATAGTTTGCATCAGCTGAGATCGAATGATGATCTGATTTCAGCTGAAAAGTAATGGAGCAAACAAGGTTCGTTGCAGTCCCATAGCTGAGAAAAATTATGAGACTAACTAAGTTTACTACAGTATATGGAGAAGAGATATTACGAAATTAACAAAGACCTTATTTACTTGCTATGTCGAGAATATCTTCTTATACAGAACAATAAGATTTATTAATTTTTTATTGAAGTGCAATATCCATCTGTCTTACTTGTTTTTTTTGTAAACTTTGCTACCCTGTTTTTGCGAGTAGCTTTGCGGAAAGTAAAATTATTTATTGTAACTCATAAAATGAATTCGGTAAAGTTGAAAATTTTTATGCAATAACATCAAGAAATTTTATTTATTGTTGATCATAACTATTATTTACATACTACTAGTATAAGATAATAATTAATTTGTAAGAAATAGAAGTTTATACATGGCTTTTACAATTCAATAACTTTATCAAGAGCAAGACAAATCCATAGCAAATAGTTAAGCAAAGTCGACATGAAACAAATATTCGTATTCTACCTGCTTTATACATTAACAAAATAAAGACGCAGATATTATAAGATGGAATGAGATATTTCGTGCTATAAGCACTTAATTTTACTGAAATAATCATCTTTTTCATCTTATTAATTTTAAAATACAATCTCCATCGCCGCAGACCAAATCTTTATATGGCAATTAACGCTATAAAGACCGATACAGAATAAGGTCATTTTGCAAAATAATAAATGCAATGATTAGATTAATTTATAGAAGCATCAAAGAATTAAACAGGAGGATGATTAAGTTTACAGACTGCTATCAGAGCCTATTATGATAATAATAAATTTAGTGACTTGATACTGCAATAGAATAAAGAAATACACGCGTAAGACTAGCAGATCTCGAAGGCTAAGGATCATAATTTGATACATAGTAATAATTCCTCCCAAATTAGGCCTAGGAAAAAGTCAGTGAATAAAAAAGCTCTGCCATCCATTGGAAGTATTAAGAATGACATCAGAGCAGTCTAATAGTAATAACCTTACTCTTGATCTGACAATTAATTTTCACTTTAGAGGCCAATAAAAGCAAAAATTATCATCTATTTAATTATGGATAGAAATGGCAAATAGGTTTACACTAATGTTTAAAAATTGTCCGAGGAGATCTGGTCGTCACCCATCAGGTGTCGTTTAAATTACAGTTTTTTATTGACCGTTATGGGAAAGTGATTGCAAAGTCGATAAATTGATAGAAGTATGCTTTAATAATGTTTTAAATGGAATGAGTTTCTTATTTGTTTTCTAAATCCAAATTCAAACAAAGCTCCTTTCTTTGTCCGGTACTAGATAGATAGCCGCTATAAATCAAGATGATTTTCTTAAGGGTAGAATTCTCGAATCGTAGAAGGCATAAATAACTATAGAATTAAATATGAGAATAAGAAGTAAGATAAATCATTTTCTAATGGGTTCCGGAAAGGTATAAAATATACACAGCAGCAATTTTAATAAGAATATTTACCTTTAAGGCAAGAGATTAACTTTCCTCCATTAGGCCTTGGTCTGATAAATCGCCCATAAATTCCTCGAGTTGCTTACTTTGTTTATGTTGGAGATTGTCCAACCGATTGAAAACATTGGATAACTCTTCCTGATGGCGTTTTTCTTTCTCTACTAGACTAGTTGAAACTGGATCCATTAGAGGTGGATGTAGGGAAAATTGATTATAATTATTATCACGATTGTTCAATTGGTTAGGATTTGGATCAGGATTATTCAACATAAGATATTTGAATTCATTCTGCCGACGAACTAAATCACGCAATTGCCTCTTTAAGTGTGATAATTCAGCATCGGCTGTATGTTGGATGGCTTGTTTCTCTAACTCATATTTCTCTTTTCTACCTTTTAATATGTCAATTTTCTCCTTCATTTGCCTGACGATGGATGAATATTTCTCTTTGCGTTTCTTTTCAGTTTGTTTTAATTTACTGTAACTGCTTTGGAGTTGTTTTAAATTTTCGTTTTGTTCATTAAATTTTTTCGTGAAACGTTCTCGTTCTTCAGACCATGTTGCCTGTTGCTGTTCTATCGATCTGAGTAAGATATGAAATAGCATAGCATCAATGAGCTGGATGTTTCATGGAAAGAAAGGAATGCTCGTATATTTGCATAGGCAGAGATTGGTTAAATTGCCTACAGTACTATAGCAGGCTTATTAAGGTAGATTTTATAGTGGATGTTTATGATTTTCTTATATTGGCTTCTTACTTGCCGGATTGCAAAAGATTTATATCTAAAAGTGCTCTATGTGCCTAGCTGGTTAACAATTTAATGATTTACTCATACTGATTCGCTACTACCCAGATCGTAAAAGATTTATACTTAAAAGTACTCTATGCGTATAGCTGGTTAGCAGACTTAATAATCTACTTATTTATCTACTCCTGAGACAATAAAGATTAAAAATACAAATATCTACCTAGTTGCATCGTGCTGTAATTCTTGAAGATTTTGATGATATATCCTAACTTCGTCATTCAGTGCTTCTATCGTTGATTGCAATTTGTCATTAGTAGCCATAACTTCTTGCTCACGACTAATAATGCTTTGCATTTGAGCTTGTAGGTGATTATATTTCTGTTTTAGGTCATGATGTCTAATGGAAGCAAATAGAGGATAATTAAGGGTGGGAAGATCTGTAAATTGCGTTTAGCTTTGAAAGGATATAGACGTGTACGATTTCTCATCACTACCGCGTAATACAAATATGCACTAAAACCCTCTAGATGTATAGGATGTTGAAAATTTTTAATTAAGTATACATCAGCTAGGATGGCGGTATATCCGCTCTTTTAATGCTTTAGAATAATTCTATAAAGGCATTACCTAGACCTCTCAATTTCAATCTCATCTTGAAACTGTTGTTGTAGTTCAATCTGAGACTTTAAAGATTCATTCTCTTTACGCTCAATATTTCTTTGATCGGTTAGTGACCGAGTCTGATCTTCTAGATTCTCAATCTATATAAATTTAGACGGAAAAGATGTTTTAGCTACTATAAAATATTAGTTATATGATTAGTATATCTTGATTAATCTTATAGATGGTACAAATGACGGACTGGAAATACGAAATGCTATGTAGAATGACCTTTGATTTATATTCCACTTCCAAGTCTAAACGATGGCGCTCCGCTTCCGATAATGTTCCTTCTAAATCTAATTTTTCTTGTTCAATCACTGCTAATCGTTTCCATTCCTCCTGTAATCGCGTTTGGATTCTACAAGTAATATCTTGCTCTTTGCTAACAATATTGCTTTCCAATTGGAGCTTTGTTTCCTTTAGTATTTCATTTTCACTCTTGACCGATGCTAATTCAGCTTTTAAAGCATCAATTTCTCGTTCTAAATCCCCATGAATTTTCATAGATTCTAATCTAAAATCACTGAATGCCACGCGTTGGTTATGCTCCAATTCATCATTTCGACTTTGTAGAGCAATTTTCTCACGTTCTAATAAATGAATTTTCGAATTAAATTCCTCATGTAATTGACGATTATTTTCCAATTCTGATAGTAAACGTTGGCATTTTAACTTCATTGATTCTCTTTCTGCTTCAGCTGATTTCATTTTTGCAGTTGCTTCGGATAATTGTCGAGAATGTAAGCGATTGCTTTGATCAGATTGGGTCATGACATTTTCAGTGCGGCTTTGCGATTCCTCTAATCCAGTTTGTAGTCCTAATTAATTTGAAAGGTAAGTAATAATAATGCTTTTTAGCAAGTATCGTGTGTACGTGCTTAAGTTAAATGCTTCCAAGACTCAGACAGAGACTTTTTCTGAGTTAAACTACCGCAATCTCGCCAAGATGGCTTTCCCTCTCACCTTTGATTTTTTGCTGCAATTGAGTATTTTCACGCTGCAGTGATCTCATCTTTTTCTCTTCCATAGCATTCTCCTCATCACGATGGGCCATTAAAGCATCTTTATCCTTTTTAATTTCTAATATTTCAATCTGATGCTTTTTCTGTATTTCATCAAGAATAGTTTGATGTTGAGATCGGCTATGCTCGTATTCCGATTTTAGAAAGGCGTGTTCATAACGAATTCGATTATACTCGTTTCTGAAATGATCGACTTTCTTGTCCATTTCTTCAATTTGTCGACGAGCAGAGCCTTCAATTTCTTCACGCATTTGAAGTCGTATCACCTCCATTCGTTGTGGTGTCATAATCTGTAAGAATAAATTGTTAATATTGAAAACTAATAATCGACGATACTTAGCCATCAAGATGGTATCATATTGAATTTTATTTGTCTTTTATCTTGGCTTAAATAGGATATTAATTTTTCTATGGCATGATTGAAATTAATCCATTTCTAAACAGACCTGTGTTTTAAGTTGCTCGGATTCCCTTATTTTACTATCAAAGTCGTTCTGCACTCGAGACATTGCATCTTTAAATTGACGTTGCATTGTAGCTTTTGATTCTTTCTCCAAGGCTAGTTCTGATTTCAGTCGATCGTGAACATCTTGAAGCTGTAAATGTCTGACTTTTAACGTTTCAAAGTTAGTCTTATGTTGTTCAATTTTAATTTTATAATCAGTAATGATGGCTTCAATATTTGCTCGTTCTTCCAGCTCTTGCATGAGCTCTTCCTCTTGCGATGAATCTTGGGTCTTGGTCATGATGCTTTCGATGTTACTTTTTGTGGACGTTGAAAAGTTTTGACGGTTTTGCAAATACTAGTATCTTAGCCTATGTAGAGATGATAAAAAAATTAGTAGAGTTTAGTATTTTTATAGAATTTGAATCATTGTTCAATAATCAATGGTATTTCGGAAAATGATTTTAAATAGAGATCTAGTTAAAAATAAATTGCAACCGTTAGGAAATAACATTTTAGTGGAATAATCATTTGAATCTCAATTTTAGATGCCCTAGTATGTCGGTGACGAAAAAATTACCAATATTTCAAACACGAATGAAAATATGCATTTAATTGAATAAAATTATCGATATATTCAGTATTATCTATGTAGCGGGTATAAATAAAGTGATAATTATGAAATTTGTATTTATTCGGTCTGAAACTAAATTTTAGATATCGTAGTATACTGTTTAAGAAAAAAATATTGGATAATTCAAATGTTTATAAGATGATGCATGAATAGAGCAAATATCATTAAAGCATCAAATGACTTACTATGCAATAATTTTAAATAAGGTGAAAGTTGATAATTTTGCATTTTTCCAATTTAAAGCTAAATTTTAGGTACAATGGCGTATTGATTTCTATAAAACTGCCGGATAATTCAGCTACTTATAAAGTGATAAATGGAATGAAAATAAATATCGTCAAAATATTTAATAAAATATTGTATAACATAATTAAATCAATTGATGATCCATTTAATTTGCATTGATCTCACATCACATATTGTGGGCTATGGCTTACAGAAAAGACGGCTAGATAATAGAGATGCTGTACTAATAAAATGATGCATTAAATGGAGAATAAAAATTATTGAAGTATATACCGTGCGACAACATTAAATAAACCAGCTGTTATTTAATTTGTATTTATCTAATTTAAAACTCACTTTTTGATATGCTAGTTTTTCGCTTATATAGAAATTGCTAAACAGTTCAGGCACTAATAAAATGGCGTATGAAATATTAATGCCTTGTATAACGTTTACGAATACAGTAACAGTTATTCAACTTGTATTTATCTAATTTAAAACAAAATTTTAGATGTAATGGCTTGTCGTATTTAGATATTGTACTAGATAATTTAGATACTCATAAAATGAGGCATGAAATAGAATAAATGTAACTGAAATATATATTGCCCAATGAGTTTAAAGCAACAGTTTACAATTTGTATTTCTCTTTCTCTACGTATCATATACAATTATATTTTCGGATATTGTAGCCTATCATTTATGGAAAACTGCTAGAAGATCCATACACTAATAAAATGACATCTGAAGTATTATTACAATATATTTTATATAACGACTACGAATAAAGTAAGAGATATTCAATTTGTATTTATCTAATTTAAAGCAAAATTTTAAATGTTCTTGCTTGTTACTTTTAGATATCATACTAGATAATGCTGGTACTCGTAAAATGAGGCATGAAATAGAATAAATATTATTGAAATGGATGCTGTACAACGGCTGTAAATAAATAACTGTTGTCCAAGTTATGTTTGTTAAATTTCAAACTAAATTCTAGATATCCCTACGTATTTCTGACGGAAAAATGGCTCAATAACTACTAGAATGTCAAGATGATGATTGATTTACTCTAGGATTTTAATTGACTCGATCAGTATAACAAGGATCATCAACACCCTATTAACTCTGGTATAGTAAAATCTTACTATGTGCTCATTATAGCAGTCACTACCGTTGCTAAAATGTTTGAATTAGATTTGACAAGAGCTAATGTCAACTCATTTAACTGTCAACAACAACAAATCACTAGAATAATCCATGGCGTCACTTGGCATCGTTATAAGTCAGCCAAGATTACCGGTATCTTCATTTAAATCATCAAGTTACCTTACCTTTTTCAGATCGTTTAGTCAGGATTAATTGAGTTGCAGTAGCATAGTCTTGGGGGCCAATGTCTCGCTTGGGTTTGTCAACGTAGTGTCCCTCCTCTTGTGATTTTTAAATTTGATTTTATTAATCTTACAATTTAAATTTTTGTCCATCCACTGGTGCAACTAGTACAGTATTGTTTGGATCATGCTGATGATGAATAGAATCTACTATAGTGTCTTGAATAGTGTTGGATGGATTAATTTTTGAAACTCTAGGAGTTAATTTACATAACGGTAAAGTTAACAGTCTGTGGTCATAATAGAGGACAATACAATCGGTTATAATCGAGTTGGGTAGCTATTCATGTTGAATAGAGTATCGCATTCACTACTCTTCAGCTTAGTGTATTGTATGGATTACCTAGTAGGATAATTGTTCGTATCGAGTGGTTACTTTGCAACAGTGATTCGCTTTCGAGCTCTTTGCTATATACTGGATATACTTAGTTTAGCCTATAATAAACAGTACGTGGTCGATTGCCAAGCATAGAGTAATTCTAATCGATGCCATTGCAGCTGCAGTAAACATTTATTTTGGCTCTATTTTGGAGCAGAGTGAGATCTAGGAGATCTGTATTGTTGAATTGCTAATTGGAGGATAGTCCAGCTTGAATAAATAAGATATCTATAGTAATTTGTGCAGATTATACAATCGATTATGTTGTAGTTTGCGCTTTTGGTGCTGCAGATTTGGAGGGTCTGTTAAAGTCAGCCTATGCTGTATTCTAAAGTGCCGATATCAACGATTCATTTTAAAATATGTGCGATGACGGAGAAGAACATTGATGCTCGATGATGCGATTCATTTTAAAATATATGCGATGATGGAGAAGAACATTGATACTAGATGATGCGATTCATTTTAAAATATAGGCGATGATGGAGAAGAGCATTCAAGCTCAATGATGCGATTCATTTTAAAATATGCCCGATGATGGAGAAGAGCATTCATACTCGATGATGCGATTCATTTTGCTTCTTAATCGCTCGATATCTCTAGTCTGTACACCGAACGATAGGCATTGTACTCATTTTCTGATACTTTTTTATACGAGAAACTACTTTCTGTCTTGTCAATGCAAGGGTGAGGTCGCATGGACATGCACAGTTTATTTGGATCTATACTATAGCTACTTTTAGATGAAATTGAACATGTATTGTGGAAATAAGCAGTACGAAATAGTATAATAAGAATTATAGACAGAAAATTGTCGTAAGAAATAAATCAGTTCCAGCTGTTGCCTTGGGTTTGATAGCCAATAAAGTGGTTATTACTTAATACTGTACATTATTCGATAATTGCTCGTAATGAACAGCTTTGTTGGTGGCGGATATCTATTCTGCACAACTTATTGAGGTCTGTATAGCAGCTATTTTAAGATAAAGTGGAACTTATTTAGTCGAAATATCCAATACTACATTAAGAATGAGAAAACAGGGGCGAACAAAATTGTTGTGGGAAAAGAAATCAGCTCTAGCTGTTACCTTGCTTTGGGCTGCCAATAATAGGATGTTAATGTCACGGCTAAAATCCGATCCGGCTATATTGTATAATAGTCCGCTAAAGCCCGAATTAAGAGTAAAATCTTTTGAATTTCAAGTTTTAGACGGCTATGCGAATGCTTTAAGTACAATATCCATCATATTTAGCCATTTTATTCCTCTACGGAAGTATTTAATTGCATTGCATACCTAAAAAGAACTAAACGAAGTCTGTTTCCTTTCTCTGTAGCGAGGAATCTTGCTTAAAGTGTATATGTACTCTTATTTCGGGCCTTAGCCGTAACATTAATACTACCCATTTTAGAATAATGGACAGTTCTTACTGATCGCTTTTAACTCTTCGATACTGCTAACTGAGGTCTTCCAGCAGTGATTTTTACATGAAATTGAACATGTTTAGTCGACGTGCAGTGCAAAAGTAGAAACCTTCTACAGTAAAGTAAGAATGTGAAAACACCTATGAGCAGACAAACTGTCGCTCAAATAGATTAGCTCTAGCTGCTATCTTGCATTGGACCATTTATATTAGATGTTGTTCATTAATACTGTATATTTAGGATAATAGATAGTTCTTATTGATAGCTAATAACTCTTCTATACAGCTCATTTAGGTCTTTGAGTAGCAATTTTTAGGTGAATTAAACTTGCGAAACGCTCAGTTATCCTATAGAATCAGAACGAGAAAAAAAAGGGTGTGAGCAGAAAAGTTGTCGCGGTAAATAAATCATCTCCAGTCACTACCTTGTATTTGACTGCATACATAGCGACATTTAATACATTCGATCATCGATTGTCGACAATATTTCTGCACACCCTGGTTACCTCTGTTGTCTGAGAGACCGTTAAGAATAAGCTCTAGCCAAACTAGACACAGTACGGTATACTATCCAGTATATAATACTCTATCACATACAAATCATACTATAGTGTATCATATCGGTCATATCGTTCTAGCAGACACTATGAGAAAGTTAAAGTGCTGCTGTTGATCAAGAGGTCAAGACAAAGTAAAAGGAAGTCATAGAGGTCAGAATAATATTCTTCCCGATCAGATCTTTCCATCTGCATTTTCAAAGTGCCATCGTTGATTGTATCGCCTCGTTTTTAAGCTATTTCCAACTCAAAATTGGAATTTCATTTCTTCTATTGTCATTCCGTTACAAGATCATATGGAAAGACGATGATGAGTAGGCAAGCGTAATGGATTAGACCCTAAAACTGGCCATACGGTGTTTAGATTGGCGACAAATGATAGACTCTTAATTGAGGTAAGTTTGCCAGCCAGTTATGATAGTTAATAAGAGAGAATCAATCCATCGGACTGTTGTAGGATAATATCAAGACTATGAGTGAGTCAAGATAGCACAGATGGGCGATATTCAATCCAATCTTATGCTATAAATAACTGGAGAAAAACATTGCCCGTATCTATGTCTACCTTATGTAAATAAATATAACAGCGTACGGTTATGGAATAACGGTTCTCGATTTAGATAACATCTTCCTTCTTAGATAATAGTCTTCTTGTTCATCGAAATCAGTTCATTCTCTTCTACTTGATACTTATTCCATGGATCGTTGCTAGAAAAATTATGTTGATAGGAGTGTACGATGGAATAAAGAATCGCTTTAAAAGGATGATCGTCTTGTCCGATATCCATAATCCGATAGGCAGTCGTTGACATACTTTCCATTTCCACTTACTTTTTTTAAGGGCAAAGTTAGACCTATTTGAAGCAGTATCAATGTACTCCAAATCATTCTTTATTATAGACTTTGATCTTGTAATTTAATTTAATTTTAATCCTGGATCCAAATAGCATCTGTTTATTCATAATCGTAAGCGCCAGTGTTTTATATCATTTCTTTACTCTACGGGTATTATTTAAAGAGAAGTACTAAATTATCCATTCTGCCTAGTCTTGACCATCGTCGACATTAAGGTTTTGCACCTTTATTCTTTTGCTATTTCTAATTTTACCTTCTTAGTTGATGATTGTGTCTATTTGAAATGATTGCTGTCAATGTTAGACTAATTTAGTCAGTATTAATTGGCTGATAGATTGATTGATATAGAAATTGAAAATCTTTGCCTTGCTGCCCTTATTTTATCACATCTTGTCTTAACACTGGCATCGACACAAGGCGAAGCTGCTATTAATTGCAGCGATCGACCTCTAACAAACGGCAGTAGTAAGGAAGAAGAATATAGCGACAGCAATCTCAAATTAGCTACTGCTCGAGAGTGTCGTTTAAAATTGTCTCAAGCTTTAGCAGAAACACCCATTGCTGAAGATGTCAATTTAACATTGGAGCAAGCTGACGAAATTTTACAATATTTTGGTAAGTGTTTCTATGATTAAGTTAACATTATTTTTCATAATCATCATTATCAACCCCGACAGTAATCGCCTATATCGATATAAAGATAGTCGAGAGGTTATCTTATCCACCTTCTTCCTGATACCCTAGCTTATAATATATCGCTATACAATGACAATTTGAAACATTTTGAGCGACTAAGTAAATCGACTCTTGTAGCTCTCTTTCAATGATCACTGTCATCCTAAAGTATACCGACTAAGTTGAAACGATCATGTTGGTAAAGAGTTGATTATTTTTTTGGGGGGGCTAGGATAGTCGATTCTACTCTAATCACGGTTGTGATGACAATTGATTAAGCAACATCATTTCTTTCATTTAAATTCTTTCCTTTCATTTAATAGTTTCTTTTTTCTCTCCATTGTTGCTGGTGATGATGAAATTCATCGTCATATAGATATTATGGAAGAAGATTAATTCAATTACATGAGGCATTGAGCAGCACAGAATTCCTTTTACATGTTCATGTTGCAAAGAAAAACTTAATCATACCCTATCCATTCAGTCAACATGTACCGCAATAACGGGTAGTTAAAAAGCATGTATATTTAATCGTTTTAATTTATGAACAGTAATGGCTGCCATTGCTAAACTGCAAAGAATATTAGCTGTTCTCATCTTGAAGATGATTATTGCAACAATGGCATTTAACCTAAGGGCTGAATGAATTCAAGAGCAACAATAACAAAATACGAGTGCAGTACTAAGAAAACGGTTTTAAATCTCTAATTACTTCATTGATGACGAGTACTGTTGCCGGGGCTAAAATGGATCCGTCTTATACTAACCTTCTATTATCCCGTCTTACCCAAAACGGATTCTATTAGAATATTAACACATTAGAAGGAGTATTGTACAATCCGTGATTGGCTAACGTTGAGAAGTACTACCGGTACTAAAATAGATTCATCTTAGATCCAATTTATATTATTTCGTCTACCCCAGGATAGGATAGATAATATTAGAATCTAGAGCTATAATGAAAGAGAATTTTATAATCCTTGATTGGTTTACGTTGAGAGAATCTTGTCGGTACTCAAATAGATCCTTCTTACATTAACCTTTTATTATTCCATAGTACCTTATGGTAGGTAATAATAGAATCTAGAGCTATAATATTAACGAATCTGCAACATTAACAAATACGAAAGGCTATTCTATCATCCTTGATTGGTTTATGTTGAGCAGTACTGCCTGTGCTATAATAGATTCATCTTCTACTACCATTAATACTATGATTCTGTCTTACTGAAGGGGCTGACAATATTGGATTCTAGATATGTCATATCAAAGTTAGGAAATCAATGTTAAATTCTCTATCTGTGACTTATTCATTCACCATCGGCATTGCCACCTGCGTCCAGGCAATTTTATACTAAACTAGATTGATTGATACAATTCTAGGGCTACCATGCCAAAATATCCGGAAACTAATGTACGCTAGAATTTATTGATTTACTGTAAGCAATACTGCCCGTCCCAAAATACTCTTGTCTTACGCTAGATTAATTCGATTTTCGAGCTAACTATATCAAAATATCGGAAATCAACGTTAAATCTTTAATGGATGACTCGATAATGAATGTAATACCTAGTCTTATTGGTGCTAGATTAATCTCGTGCTGTGTTTGCTTTTAATATCAACTCCACCATAACAATCAATTTCACGTATAGATTGATGGATCGAATTCAAGCGTAGCAATTTGATACATTCAAAAACAATCTCACCCTTCATCCTGATTATAAAACTAACTAGACTGTGGAACAGTAGATTCTATCGTAAATTGATCCTCTAGCTATAGCTATTAAATTAGATACGACTATTGAACATTCGATATATTGAGTTATGAAGATGATTTTATTGTCCGAACGACCATTTTATTATATAAACTCCTCTATTCACGTTCCACTTTTAAGGGAAAATGCCATTTCCTATCGCACTCCATTTATTCGTAGACTTAGCAGAAGCTATTCGAAGGAATAATTTAAGGCATGATTCCTATTATAGTGCGGTAGAGTGTTTTCAATTAATTAGACTAATTTAGTATTAAAAAATCAGAGCGAGGATTTTTCAATTTGATAGCTACATATGGATATTGCTGACTTGATCAACTAGGCTAAATTTAGAGCAGTCTTGTAAAATTTTAATCAAGACTACAGTAGTTATTTAACTTGGACTTGGATAGAAAGGCATTACTAGTAGATTACTTTATTACTACTTTATTAAAAACTGATTCATAGATAGTTCCACACAATGCTAGTAATCTTTTTTACCCCTGCATGTTAAAGCTAAATCTAGGTCAACGTTGTGAAACTATAACCCAAATCAGTTATGCAATGTGTAATATAGGTATCTCCTGCAATGAAAACACGTGTCGGATATTTATAATATTGATAGGTTGGTATGTGTATTCCAATGCAAATCTAAAAGTTGTAAACTGCTTCCTGAAGTAGGCATTTGGCCAATGCGGTAGTTAAATATCTGATAATCAAAATACGTTCCATAGATATTCTCATCAACATTGATAGATTAATATTTCAATTTGAAAGCATATCTATCAAGTTGTAAAAATGCGAAACCAAACTAGTTATTCGCCTATTCCATTATTTGAAGGCAACTGTGTAAGTTATACAAATATAGGCTAAGCTAGTTATTCAACTAGCAATATTATAGTCTCCTGCAATCGAAATATATTCCAGTCTATACAGTGTGTAAATTTAGAAGTTGTATAGGTTGATATTGCAATTTAAAGGCATGCCTATAGATTATGAAATTACGGCCTAAATTCGTTGTTTGACTAGCAATAGAAAAGTTATATACAATTAAAATTTTTTGCAGATGTATATATTCTATAAACAGTTTTAGCTTGATGTCGTATTGCAATTTAAGGACACGTCTATATGTTATAAGATTACAATCTAAACTAAAGTATAGTTATGCGACTAGCAAGGTAAAAGTCTTTCGCGGTCGAAATATGTTCCAGTCTAAACAGAATATAAATATTAGCTGCCGGTATTCCAATTTAAAAGCAAATCTGTAAATGGCTACCGAAAATACCTTCTAGTTTACTGCTCAACTAATCATATAAAAGTCTCATGCATTGGAAATATGTTTCAGTCTAAACAGAATATAAATATTGGCTGTCGGTATTCCAATTTTAAAGCAAATCCATAAATGGCTACCTAAAATACCTTACAGCTTACTGCTCGACTAATCATATAAAAACCTCATGCATTGGAAATATGTTTCAGTCGATGTGGAATATAAATATTGGCGTTGGTATTGCAATTTATCAGTAAATCTATTAGTTATAAAAGTAGGTTCTAAACTTCCNGTACCGTTTTTCAACTAGTCATAGAAAAGCTTTATGAAATCGAGTTATGTAGCAGATATCAATATTTGTAGGTTGATGCGAGCTTGCGATTTAGAGATAAGTCTATTGTTTCAAAGACTACAATCTAAATTATCATATAGTTTTGCATCTAGTTATGAAACAGTCTCTTGTAAAGGAAATGTTCTTCGGATCAAGACAGTATATAAATATTTGCGGGTTGGTGTCAATATTCCAGTTTAAAAGCAAATCTATAAGTTGTAAAACTGCGGCCTAAACCTCTCATTCGACTAGCACCTTTAAAGTCTCATGCATTGGCAATGTAAAGTAAATGTACAAGTTGTAAAACTACGGCCTAAAACATTTATTCGATTAATAACATTGCAATGTGAGGTAAATCTACAAGTTATGAAATTATAGTCTAAAACTCGCCAGTCGTTCGACTAGCAATTATATCATAACAGGAACTCGGTTCCCTCTATCTAAAAGGTTTTATAACAGAAGCAAATACAACAATATCGTCGACAATTTCTACCGTACTTCCCATTTCTAGAACGAAAAGTCGATAAGCCAATCTAAGGATAAAGCTTACAGGGAATCTATTGTGGAGTACTTTAACAAGCTGTTGATTTATTCTTTCTATCCACATCAATGTTGTCTCCTATCGTTTACTTCCGCTTGTCTTTTAATTAACTATTTAAATTGGAAATCTTGTCTATGAGAACACCAATAAGTCATCCGTTTGTGCATTAATTAAAGTATATCATAAATATTTAGTAGTAATTGAACGGCTGTAAGGAAAAATTTCTAGTTTACCAGCGTATCGCTAACCAGTTTGATTTACAATATTTTTAGAGTTTATCAGAAATCTCAGTTATTTTAGTAGCTTACTTTGTGTTGATCAGAAAGTCCTGGCTATTTTTAGTAGCTTACTAATAGCCGGATGGGAAGCATACGTACCGTTTAATGAGGGCTTATTAAAAAGTCTAGGATATTCTAGTAGCATGCTAATAACTTGATTTAGAGCATACTAAGAGCATGCATGTAGAAAACTAAACAATTCCTTGAGCATTCAGTGAAATACTCATCTAGGGGTAGATGACGATGCGTAAGGTACTTAGGAAAAAGTATCGACGAATTATCGGTAAATCGTTATTTGGTTTGATTTACTATTTGCTCGGAGCATACTCATCTAAGAAAGTTTTTAAACTGCTTCCAACTAGCTCGCTTGATGCAGGGCTTTTCTAGAACTTGTAAGGATATTTTGATTGTTTATACGCGTAACAGCATATCATTGCCTAGATTACTAGAGCTAGAAAGGGTTTGAAATAGTAACATTCATTTACTCCAGCAAGGTCTCCATTACTTTGGCAATCTACTACAAGCCAAGGTAAAATCGTATACGGCTTTGGAACTTTCATGAAAATATCGAATGTTTGAGCTGCTTGCCTCCAGCTTCTAAGAGTGTTTGCTTGATTGCTTTGGCTGCATGAAAGACGCTTTTACTTTGCATTAGTACGGTCTCCATTACTCTGGCGATATGTAGTAAGCAAGTTGAAGTAGTACGCGAGTTGGAGCTTCCGTGAAAATATTAGTTATAGTTTACACTTCTAGCTTCTGGGAGAGTTTACTTGATTGCTTTCATTCGAATACCATTCTTAGAGTATAGCAAGGGCTTGGGCGAAAGACACTTGTTAGTTTGCTTTATTAGCAAGGTCCCAGCGATGTACCTGTAGCCGAGTTAAATTAGTACTGTATATGGATTGGAGCTTCCATGAAAATGTCGGCTATTCGCCATATGCTTCTAGCGTTCAAAAGAGTTACTCGATTGCTTTGGTGACAAGATTCTCATAGCACTACTTAATTTAGAGTATGGTAAAAGCGTGAAAAGATAATCTACTAGCCTATCAACATTCTCGATTCATTTTGGAGTAAAGCGCTAGCCAGGTCTAATTGTCCAAGGTTATACCTTGCTACAGGACGTAGGCTGCTTTCATGGCTTTAGCCATTGGATCGCTGATTGACGACCATGGCTAGGCAATATTGACATGTTTATATAGATCCAATGACAACCACAGCATGAATCAACTGAGAAAGATAAACGTGGATCAATATCGCTGATGACATGGATCCATGCCAATTAAAATTACTAACCTCCATGATGGGGTTAGTTTCGGTTAACAAACCCGTAGAATTTCTTACTTTCTCGTATTCGTTCGGACATGCCGTTATAATAAACGCTTGAGATAAATCCTTTTCACTGTTTGTTGCATAGCTCTAGCGAGCGATTGGATTCCTGATTGACGACCATTGCTTGCTAATATTGGCATGTTTATAGATCCAATTACAACCACAGCAGGAATCGGAAAGATAAACGTCGATAAATTATAGTCGATGGCATGGATCAATGTCCTAAAATACCACTAACCTCCATGATGAGGTTGGTTTAGGTTAAGTTGCGCTTACAATTTCTTCCTCTCCCAATCGCTCAAAGACTCCATCAGTATGAACGCTTGAGAGGACATGCTTGCCACTGTTTAGCTTGTCCATATCTTGTTATCAAGAACTAATTTTAAAAACAATATAGTAAAGGAGAGTGGGCTTTACTACTTCTATTCTTTACTCTCCGAGTCCTATTGAAATGGAATCCATTTCACTTGTAAACAACCATTCACGACCCAGAGGGGGAAAAACGCTTCCATCGTCGCCATAACACTAGCGGGAATTTCTCACCAATCTCCTCTCTGTTGTAGACAATTTCTTCCATCGCTAACCCTCTTCAATGACCACAATATCGCTTACTTTACCACCAATCCATGGGCCATTTCCCACTCGTCAGCAAGCTATATGCACAAGAACTTATGTAAAATATTTATAACCATTATTGATTCTCCTTATGCTTAGCTATTGTCATGCCTTAGGCTTTGTCTATCCTATATTGATTTCCATTAGCATATAAAAAGAATTTTTAACGGCCACAGAATAGTTTAATTGAAACAGACATGGCAACCTCTTCCCTACTTTATTTATGGATAGAACAATAGTCTATCCATCATTTCTTTGATAGAAAGGATAGTAGGAACAAGCCTTGAATGATAATTCTCCACATTTGATTTAAAAAGCTACAATCATTTGGGATAGCGTTAGTTATGCTCGGCTATCCATGACAATCTTTCTTCATGACTTGGGATAATCTTCCTCTCTCTCTCTCTCTCTTGCTTTTCCTTAGCTTTATTTGCCCAGCATTCCAATCAAATGACTAAAGTTTACGCTGAAGATGTCGAAACACTTACCATGTTGATCGTAGAGGTAAGTCGAATTCTCTTTCTTTCTGTTGTTTTTCCTTATAGATTGATCCAATCCAGTAGTTTTGGTTGCAATTCTATCATAGTAGCTGTAACATTTTCTTCATCATCATATATGTAAAGAGATTTATACGCGATGACGTATAAATGCAATGAAAGATTATCTGTTTTAGTGAAAATGGAGTTAAAACCAGAGTCGGTAGTTGCCTAGCCTATTCTCTTACTACTTACTCTCTTATCGGATAAATTGGGTCCACATTTTTAGTCGATGATTGATGAAATAGATCAGTTATGGACATTCCTCGTTGGCCACTATACGGCTTATTGAAACCATTTTATCGTTATTGCCTTGATGATAGTATCGATAACTTGATCATGATGCCATCGATGATGGCAGTAGTCAATTTCCTCAGTTTTCCATACCTTTTGACGAACAGTAATGTAGACTACCCGATGCACAAAATAAACTAATGGTAGAATCAACAAAGATGAACGACAAAATATCTTACAAGCATCACGTTCGATGAACTACTCTACTACTTTGCAATACAAGATGATTCATTTGTTGATCAATTCTAGTTTTTTTTCTCCCATATTGCCGTAATACTGTAGTGGATAACTTGCCTAATCTAGATTGATTCTCAACATGCTAGCAGTGATACTTTCCAACAGTTAATTCATTCAGTGTTTAATTTCTTTCGGATTAAGTAAAATAAACTGTGATCTTCATCTTCCGATAGAGAATATCTATCACGATCGATACTGTAGGATAAGGATAAATAGGACTTGTTGATTATTGGATAGCAAATTGCAAGTCTTTTTTAATCCCAACTCCCATGATACTACCGCCGATGATAAATCAAGAAGCCATTGATGATTGGCATTTGAACCCTGGATTGATTCCATTTCATAAATTGATAAAACATCGGCTCGAATTGGTGTTGGACTTTGTATAACATCAATGGAATAGATAAATAATTTCAAACACTTGACGGCAAATCCTGGTTTTGATTGCCGTTTCTAGCGTGAGATTGATTATAATATTGCATGAGGACGGCTACTAACCAGGGTGCCATCCATAGCTTGTGATTAGCAGCGGTTGGATTATGCAATAGCTATTTAATAAGATCAATGGCGGCCCAAAACTTGAAAATTAGCCATACATAATGTGTGTCTATCATGGCTGAGGGAATGGGCAAATAGCTTGAAGACTTTGCGATCTTATTGATGGCTAATGACTACTCTAATTGCTATCATCGTTTGTACAAGCACAACGATCATTAAGCAGGCAGGATGCTATGCTGTAGAAGATTTGAATAGTTGATATATTATATACCAATTATCATTCTCGAATGAGTAAAATAAACTATCCCCTTCTTGAAATCGACTTAAGCTATCGATATTAATCATCTTTCATCTTTTACACCTTTTAGAAAGAAAAAGATTTAGAATTAGCAGCAAGGATCGGCCAAGTAAGTACTACAACATTCTCCTAATACTGCCTAGATCATGTCAGCTACATGGATATTTTCTTTTTGAGCGTGTACTAGTAGTAAGAATGGCTGTTTAATCTCATAACAGTTTCTTTCTCCAGCCATAATGAAATAATATAATCTCGTTAGCGTAGCCTTTGCTTTGTTGCTTAAGACAATCTTTCGGCTTACTTTACGAATGTCGGATATCGATTGATACTTTCTTGTTGACCTGGCATTGGAAATGTCTGTTTAAATTAATAATCCCCAGTCTCTTCTTACAGCCATAACTGAATAAGAAACTAGTTAACGTAGTAATATGTCATTGCCTACGGCAATTTTTTAGCCTCGTTTATGTTAGATACATCGACACTTTTCACTTAAGTATGGACTGGTAGTAAAAATGGCTGATTAATCTCATCGCAATTTCTATCTCTAGTCATAATGGAGTCGTATAGCCTTGTTAGGATAGGTATTACTGGGCTACTAACGACGATTTTCGACCTACTTCATGTCGGGTATAGATCGATACTTTCTTGTCGAGTCGGCATTGGAAATATCCATTTAATAATCGCCACTTTCTTCCTACATCCGTAGTTGAATAAGAGAAACTTGTTAACGTACTAATCAGTTATTGCTTACGGCAATTTCTCAGCCTATTTCCATACTAGATACATTGTATTGGAAATGGCTGTTTAATTCCATCTCAGCTTCTTCCTCCAGCCATAGTGGAGTCATCGGAACTTATTAACATAGCAATCACACGGCTCATTTTGTTGTCTAGGAGAGTTTTTTCGCTCTATTTTATGTCAGCTACACCGTTGCTTTCTTTCCAGTCTACATCTACAAATGCATGCTATACCGCATAAAATCTAAAATCAGGAAGGATAATTCGATAGCTCTCACGGCCCTGTATTTCATTTATTTTATCATGCTCATGCTAAGCAATTACAGATATCAAATAGTTTATACTTGGTTTATATTCCAAAGTTGATATTCCAATGATGGCAGAGAATTAATCAGTCGAATCCTAAATCATTTCGCTCTGCTTACAATTAGCACTATTCTCGATTGATTTATGACAGCTATTTCATCCTAATTTTTCCTTCTACTTTCTCTTTACCTTGATAGCGGTAATCTACTCGTATAAATCTCTCTAGACTCTAGAATTCTCATCGATCGACTATTATAAAATCGTTCCTATCCTATCTCTACCTATCATTCATCTACTCGCTAAATCTTAGCTATTTCAGAATCCTCTTCTATCATCGTTTTAGGTCCTATTTGTCCTTAGTCTACTCATAAAATCTTACACAGATCTCAGAATCTTCTTTAATCAACTTAGACGAATCGTTCCTAATCGTATAATGTCCTTAATTTTATCTATCATCATTTATTAACGCAATTAAATAATTCAATGCCATGTGCTAGCTTGCCTACCGTAGTAGCCCACTATTAGCCTTGACAAACGACTTGAGTAATTTTTTCTCAAGTCTATTTAGTACCTACCCTACCTATGATCTTTTCAATATCGATAAAATTCCATCTACTGGACACTCCATCTCTTAGTCATTGGCCATCTATCTACGAATCGAACGCTAATTCTAAAGCTTCTTAAATCTACACAAGATTTTATTTTTAAAGCTGACTTGACTGTAAAATAGAATCAATGAAAATGAATAGGATATAGCAATCCAGAATATACCTTTACGCTACAGTAGTTGTAGGAAATTCCCTTTTGGTTTATAAAATAAATATTAATTAATCGAGGTGTACAGTAAAATTGCATTAATTATACTAATAGAGAAATTAAGGTGCCGCTGAAATACAGGCAAATAGAGCGACCTTGATTAGCTAAAAAGTTCATCCTAAAATCTATACACAGAACATAACTAAATCTCTTCAGCTGCAATCGATAGATTGGTATAATGTGGCCATAAATGATTGCTGCTGTTTTTAAATAATATCCGAAAATTTATTATTTTCACATCGGGAAGACGAGTATTATTGAAGTGCATTGATACTCATAAACTGTAAAATAAAGTATTCCAATGTCATTATCATGGAACGTAGGAAAATAGCGTTAATCGATAATTGAATTCTTTTGGATAATTAATATAAATGGATTAATTATGATCTCTTCCCCAATAGGCATTATTGCAAGAAAACGTAAGCCTCTTAGCTAGAGTTGACAGTTTAGAAGGGCATTTGGTGGATACAGAAGACAGGGTAATACAACGAATAAAATTTATATCATGTTTACTATTTATGGATATTTCATGAAAATAATTAAATAGAATTATTAATACGGAAGATAAAGAAAAAGAATCTGATTCAGCACTCTTGAAAGCCACAATAACTAATTTAAGAATACTAAGTTAAAGTCACGTTCACTCATGGACTAAACTATATTATTTCTATACCTACTCGTCATGTCTTTTCACGATGATTGAATTATTTTGTTGGTATACATTTTATTTTTCCTCGCCTTATTTACGTGCAATGCAATAGATCGTGACGTCGAAATTTTATTCTTACTTTAGCCTTTTATGACAGACCCACAACTTATCATTAATCTATATTATACACTGATCACGTAGGAATGTTTGAATAAAGTAACGCTATATCAATGCTTATTATTGTAGGTTATCCAGATACAGCATGAGATGAAAATGAAGGAAGATTTATGGAAATCATTGCATAGCGAAGATGATAGTATAGAAGAATTGGATCGTGCTAGCGGAAGTGATGATGTCTTTTTTGGCAATCTTGGGTAAAAATAATGACAATATATCGTTAAATAGCTATTGATATTGCTAATTTGAGCCATCAATCTATTCAATTTATTATTTATGATACAAACTGAATTTTCTTTCATTAAATTCATTAGTAATCATTTCTGAAGATATTTGATTTTACGTTATGTTATTATAAATTGCGTGATCGATGGATTAGTTTGATAGATTGAAGAGATATCGTAGGTATTAAAGGCTATAAAAAGATTGCTCATTGATTAGATTATACTGCATAAAAGAGCATGTCTTATTATTAGTTCAGTAAACTGTAGAAGTGAATAGTAACTAGAGAGCTATTCGTTACAAAATTTTATTTCAAGTAATTTACAATTGATACAAGTGCCTATCTTGTGTTCAAATCGTATTAATATAATGGAACCGAGATCATGACACGTTCCAATTATTTCTGAATTCGAATAGTAGTCTTATACACTGTAACTGCGTTACTAAATTTCTTCTCGCGAAATTTCAAGATTGTTTATAAGTTGAATAGCTTAAACAAAACTTACTTTACTGCTATTCTAGGAGCTCCAATCATGATGACCTTCAAAATTTAGCAAATAAATGCAAATACTTGGAAGAAACTAATAATCAATTAACGGAAGAAGCTGCCCGATTAAGAATAGAAACTGCTAGTGTTGAAGAAAAAGAAAAACAGTTAGTTGAAGATTGTGTTCGTCAGTTAGGTATATTTTAATGACTAACCTTATTGTTACTATCAGCTTTAGCATCCAATGAGTAACTCATGTATTGAATTAAATCTTACTTTAGCCGAAGCTAACGCTCAACTGAAAAGCTTAAATAATGAAGTTGCAATCAAGGGAGAAGAAAACTTGAAATTACAGGTAATTTTTGCAAATTTGGTTACACTCCTTACTGGAATGATTGGTTAATATTTTACTCGTTTTAAATGGTTAAACTTATAAATTGGTGCATGTTATAAATCTAGAATGATGTCACAGAATTAATGGAAACCTCTATTGCCTTAAAAGCGGAGCTAAAACAGGTAGATGTGAAATGTAAATTCACGTTTTAAATGCAGAAATTTATTTATAATTGACTCAAAAACACGTTAATTGAATTATTACTGACCTATATACTTGTATAGATCATGTTTGAACATGAACAACAACAACTGATGATTCGCCGATATAAAGAAAGTGATACGAAGTTAAATTCAAAGGTAATTACTTTTTGTAGTGCTAAAATACTGCAAGAAGGTGTAAGAGTTTATCTTTTCGGCAATAATATCAATCTTTGCTTTGTGATTTTTCATAATGTTATAGGTTGAAGATCTAAAAAAGAAATATGCTGAATGCTCTGAATTGTTGCATGATGCTCAGGTATATTTATCTGTCCAATCTTTCCATTAATATTATACAAATCTTAACATATCTTTCAAACACTAATGGTGTTTAAACTTTTATCCTGCATTACTGTTCATCAATTTTTAACACCATCGATACCAAACTTCTTTAGAGTGAAAGCAAGGACTTACAAAGCCAATTAAGGTATCGAATAAAAATACTTGTAAATAGTCTTTATGTTCGATTGCCATTCTACGCGCTGAAACTACAGTAATTTTCTTCGGCAAATTGATTATTTTATAACCTTTGAAATACTACTTTACTGCATACATCGTTTTATTAATGAACTCATCATTGTTATTTTAGTACCCTCAATAACCAAGCCATGTTCAATGCGACAGATTTATTCCGCAAAAGAACGGTAGGTTATTTTGCAAATTTGATCGTGACTGGATAATAATTGTACGGCTATATTTACATCCTACAATTTCATGTAGTGACGTAGATCTAAACTCTTGGCGAGATCTAAATTTGTAAAAATGTTAATCCTTCGTTTTAAATTCATCTAATTAGGATTCTATGGCTGTAGAATTAAAAGACAACTTGAATAGTTTCAAGCTTCGGTCTTTTCCTTCTGAAAGCGACATAGTAAACGATATGAACGATGAAGTAACGCAATACCGCCCGCTTCAGGATAACGATAAGGATATTTTTTTAAAGGAACAGGGTGGACAGCGCAAGGTTAATTGTAGCGTAAAATGCTAACCGTGATTGTAACACCTATCAAATTGTTTAATCCGTTTATTGAGTTTGATATTTTTGTATCCCTGTAACAATGTTGATGGTATTTCAGTTCTTATACTGAATATAATAAAAATGGGGATCCTTAATGAATGATAAATTTTATATCGATGCTAGTAGTTACAGTCTTATATCTGTGGCTTTTAGAAATAATGATAGCGAAATTGACGCCTATTTTCCTCTTATTACCAAATTAACGATAGTTTCTTTCCTAAATCTAGATGACTGACATAAATGAGGATGCAGAAAGTAACAGGAGTGGATTTAGCAGAACAAGTTCTTTCGGTGAGAGTGATAGTATGAATCTACTAAGCAAAAGGAAGTTCTATCCAGAAAAGCTACAGATAGTTAAACCGATGGAAGGTATACTTAATTTCTCGAATTTTTTATTTATCGTATTATGGTTATAAGAAGCATTTCGGTGCACTAAAATAAAACTAAAACCTAGCTTCAGCTCTTTTGCTCATCTATTTCTAACCTTTGATTTTTGAATCAAAATAGGCTCTCAAACACTACGACAGTGGCAGAAGTTAGCCAATTTTGGATTAGATGGCCTAAATGAAGAACAAGATGAAACGAGCGATAAGCCAAGCGGTTTAAATTTGGATATTCGACCGAAAGGCTTGGAAGATTTCGAGGGCGCAGATATTATTAATACCTTATTCACGGATACTTCTACTAGGGAGGAAAATAGTGCAAAAGCTCCAACATTAAAAACTACAATATCGCAACCTCTTTTAGATAGATCTACTACCATTGGCCATCATTCTATAGCAACAGTTTCTTCATCATTAAATACAATTTCAACGATTTCTACTCCTATTCAGACTTCTATAGCTAATACAATGAAAGGAGCCACAAACATGTCGATGCTAGATTTAGGTGATATCAAAACGAATGGTCAATTGAACAGGACAACAACGATACCAACTTTTACTAAAGCAAAATTTGCTGATAAATCTCAAACAACAATGACCTTTACTTATTCTAATGTCAGTCTTAATCAAACTAAAAAGGTAGAAGAATCTCCAGAGCAAATAAGTATAGACAATGTAGCCAATGATCAAGATAGAAGTAGTACTGAAGATAGATTAGGTTTAGGTATGAATGCAAGTCCATTAGTTGCTTTTGCTAAAACGATTGGTGTTCGTCATGGTATAGCAAGTCCTAGGATACAAGAAGCTAGTGGTTTTAATAGTATTAGTCATGTCAGAACGCCTATTATATCATCATCCCCTTCCAATGACAGCGAAATTGATGATGTAATCCCCAAATCTTCGACACCTATGAGTGATAAATCTATTCCGCCTATGACAAGTATCATGTTGATGCGATCCAATTCTGTTGTTAAACGTAATTTATCATCTTTACTATTACAGCCCAAACGATTTCCGTAAGTATTGATTCACAGCCATGTCTAGGCACTTCTATATGGAGTAATTTTGAAGAGGCTATTACTGCCATCAATTTGTACCAGTTATGGTAACCATCCTCCGATGTAAACTAATTCTATCGTTCAAATGAAGATACCTAGGTTATAACAATTCATACGATTTGTCAGAATAATGACATTATTACTAATTGCTAAGCCCTTCTGGAATAGTTTTAAATAACGATAGGCTATTACTGAAAGTAACTTTTTAAACATTGGTGTATTCTATTATTAATATCAAGATATTCTTAAGTATTAAGTCTATCTCGAATGATTGTATAAATAGTAATTACTCTATACGAGCATGTATCCATAATAAGCAGCAATTTTATTATAGCAAATGATCAATAGCACCTATTCGATTAAATGATATTTATTAACAAAAATTTTTAACTATAATAGGACATATTACATATGCAGATGTGATTATAGCGTTTTATTCTTGAAATTTGTTAGTTTCTGATGAGAGAATAGCTGTACAGTAATTGTATAGAGAATAATTAAAGAAGCTATATACTTAGATACAGTCAATCATTGCTTTATATTCGATATTGCTGTAAAAATATTCGACTAGATATTTTAACGCCAAAAAACAATTGCCATTGACTTCTATCATTAGAATAATGGCGTTGACTAAAACTGATGGTTATTATATAATAGTGCAGTTATCAAAATCTTAAGGCGATTTTAGCCTGCTGCTATGCCGTATAGATCTGTCGCTAGCATTTTAAGTTCTGGCATTATCTAATCAATTGTACAATAAAAAATGCGATGAATTTGATTAAATTATGGTAATTGAATGATTCTTATTGGTTACATTAGTTTGAAGTAATCAATATCATGATCGGATTTTGCATAGATGATCTTAACAACTTTGGTTCTTCTAATAATCGAGTTAAGGCTTATTTTGAAGATATTGATTTCTTTTTAAGTTTAGTCGCCGAATATTGACCTAGTTGGTATTATAGAGAGAAAGAATTTTAATTTTATAATTGTTATTAGATGCAAGATTGCTCCCTATAAACTAGTTAATATACTGTACAATGGATTGAGTTACTGACCACTTTTCCCCGATATTGAAGGCTGTTTGCTTTTGACCGATGATTTATCTGATTTAGCATCAGAATTATCATTATTTACTCGAACGCGAGTACTATTGGATAAGACAACGCGAGCACGAGCATTGCCTTTTCGACTGTAGAAAGGATGATATTGGTAGACCGCAAAGTTATAGGAAACAACTAATGCAAAGATAAAGCAGTATTATTAATGTAATTATAAAATAAATAAGAAGTAGTAGTTGATATTTCATATTGAAATTACCTGCTGGAGAAGGAACATATTTCAAATATTCTGGTCGAGAGGAAACTTGTGCATCAGGCATATAATTACTGACTTGTACTGAAGAATCTACATAACAATGAGAACAAGATTAGACTGATCGTTATTCTACTTACACAGTATATACAATATAGCACAAAGACGAGAGAAGTTCAGCTTACTATATGTATCCACAATTTTCTTTTTCTGCCTATTAGTAATAATCCTAAAGCCATGTAAGCAGTTTATTAATAATAGTGGATAACTGAACAGAATCTTACTTAATGGAGATATTAGGCTTACTTTGGATCCCATGTTTGAACTACTTTTTGTTTCTTTTTAGTGATAGATTGATATTTTGTCCTTAAATACTGAACGACAGAGATATTTGATTACTTACTTTGTAATGATGTAGAAACATTTTAGATATTTAATATATTAATTTATCCTTCATTCAGATATTTTTTTAGACTATATTCATATAGGCTTTAAGATCGTTTACTCCTTTTATAGTTGTTCAAATTAAAGTGTCTTATAATGATTATATTCCTATTTTAAATTACAAATTACTTTTCTCCATGCTAATTGAATAGTTAAGGCTGCCATTTGCCTTCTTAATTCATCCGCTTCTTCCTGTATTCATCCAATTCAAGAATAAAATGCTACTTTAATAAACCACCAGTATATTAGAGTCATCATTTCAATAATTACTTACCGTTTTTCGGTAAAACATATTGTTGGCTTTGTCTTTAATAAATCTATAAGACAGATCATGAAATATATACCATAAATATTAAAAAAAAATACCAAGTATTTGGATGCTTTAGCCTTATACGGCATAGCTACCTCCGCCATGCGCGCTGGATAATAGTGACAGCTCTAACTCTGGATTTAATGTGATAAATTCGATGGCGTTCCCGTCTAGCAACAAGCTGAGATTCTGTTAAAGGAGTAACCTGAAAAGGAGTACGTCAACGAATAAGATTATGTGTGAAATAAATAACAATGACATTATTAATTCCTGGCCTGTTTACTTATTTATTCTCTAATAGCACTGAATATTTGATTTATTTATTATACAATAATAGACTACCAAAGCGTGCTATTAATATTTTACTATTAAGTTCCTACCAAGACATGTGGAGCTAGCAATTCATCTGTATTAACGGCATCATCTACAATGCCTATAAATCTGGAATAGAGATATAGGTGATATCATTTATTTATTTTAAAAGTATGACATCAGATTTGGATATCGATAGGCCTTGGTACTTATTGTTTACAGTTGTAGTAGTAACTACATAGAATTATTATTGCCACTTACTTTGGTCTTGCATCTCCGTCGGGTTGCTGAGTAGCCTAAAGGGCAGAAATTACATATATTCAATTTATTGTTTATCTGCCTGCTTTTAATACAAATCTAGACTAGAATGATTGCAAATGAATCTACTAGTTTATTATTTTAGGTCGCTATCTATTCAGTTATCATAATTAATCATCATTATTGCTTACAGATTCATCGGTATGATACTGGTCTCTTTTCCTTTTAAGAAGAAAAATATGAATTTATACCGTCATTAGTAATTTAATTTAATAAGTGGTACTATAAATGATTACGTCATATGCAAGGCTAGAGTAATAGAATCTCAACCAAACTAACCAAGTTTCACTAATAAACTGCTGATATAAATACAAGTATAGTGACAGACTATTATGCAGACGTGGCGTAAAATTACAGTCTATAATTTCTGATAGAGCGCTCCATTATAAATATTAAAGAAGACGTGTATGATGTATTTTATAAATGAACATGAGAGAATAATCGTACAGATATTGTACTATTCCAGCATAATGCATTAAAGATATATTTACTTCTATACTTGTAAATTTCTGTAAGAGAATTGTATAGCAACTTATAAATTCTCGTAAAATTAATTTACTTAGTATCCGATTTTAATCGCTCATGGGCTTGCATCAATCGTCTTTGTTCTTTAATATTTTTTCGTACTCGATAACCTCGATAGAATGCCTAAATATTGAACGTAAGTGGTAATAGAAGAAGAAACAATGATCTAGTTAGTAAGGAATGATAGATACTCATAGGCCTACTGGCTACTAATGTCGAACCTGGATGGTTGTAGCACTCAAGTCCTGAATGCTTGTTATGGTCAATGCTCCATGTTCTATTAGATACTATAATTTCAAAATAGGACAGTAAATCGTTCATAATCGTGAGCAAATGTGTTGAATATCAAGTCTGAATTTAATCAATCTTAATACTTGTGCTGTGTCAAGTCTTTCATCCATAATAGCGTAATCCAATGGTGTCAATCTAAATTTATGAAATCAAATCATAGCAGTTGATTGACTACCGTAGGTCCATAATATGAATTAAGGTTATGCAGCTAATGTTAATTACGATAGTAGAAACTGGGATAGAATACTGAGAAAGTTGAAGGATTTATTACTTTTCTCCGCCGTATTCGGTAAAGTTAGGATTAGCATTGTAGTCCAACAATGTCTTTACTGCTTCTATATGGCCGAAACTGCTTGCCCAATGAAGTGGAGAAACACCCTACAATGCGATGATTATATTTTATTGAGTATTAACTACAGAATGGATTAGAGATGCCATCGACAAGCAATATTTCAAGTCCAGCTCTAGAAGATAGAGTCATCGATGGCGCTCGCACTGAATGAATATGTATTAAAATACGCAAATCTACCACAGCAGACGAATAGTTTACGATTAAAATTTTCGAAAAATTCTATCACGTTCACTTAATTCACGATTCTAAGCTGTCAATTTGCTATAATATGAAGTCAAGTTTTATACTCAATAAGAATAGTACTGTTGCTGCGAATTGATAGAGTAGTTCATTACAGTGATAGAATATCTATTATACTTTTTAAGTCCGTAGTAAACTATGAAGTAATTGAAAGGTACTCGGAGCTTATGGTTTTCATTAGTAGTATTATCACTTAAGTAACTATTGTATAATGTTGTATAATTCAAATTTCGAAATTGTGGCATAGAATCGCAAAACTATAGTGAAGTCATTCACGTAGGAACGATTAAAGACGAGTATAGCATCAATATTGTCAATTTCCTGCCGATGATTTAACATGTTTTATAAGTTCAAATGAATCAGATATGCTGCTGTTACAAATTGCTAGCTAATTATAGCTTTAGAATAGTACGATGTAGAATTAACTCTGGCGATTAAAGATATCGGATTAGAAGATAAAAATTGCAATTTTAAACAGAAATAGTAATAAAACAATGAAAAAGTTGCCATGCCATACCTTAACATCGCGTTTATTTGGATCGGCGTTGTTATCAAGCAAAATTTTGATACATGTTGCATGACCATTATAAGCTGCCACATGAATTGGAGAACGACTATAGAAATTAATTGCCGATTGTAGTGAATGATAGAAAATACGATGAATAAATGGATTATACAGTCGTTCAACATCAAATTAGAATGAAATACGATAGCAGGTTACAAATAAATACTAGAAACTTGTACTACGAGTATAATTAATTTGACAATTCAGAGCTATCTTGCAAAAATTGAAAAGTCCTTACTTATTGTTATCACCCTGGTTAACTTCAAGGGAATATTGCAGGAGTGTAGAACA